AATTATAAATATAAATAATAATATGAATAATATTTTAAACTATTTTTGTTATTACAGTAATTAAAAAGAAAAGACAGTATAGATATAATTAATTCGTTACAAATAAATTCTAATTACAATGGGCTAACAATGTTCCTTTGTCCTCTTTTTTGTAGAAATTCAATTAAAAATAATAACTCACATTATTTTTGTATAGAGAAAAAATTTGCCCTTCTCTGTGTGTACGAAAACCACTGTACTGTAACGATTTTCATTTAAGTCCTGACGAATTAGATAATCAAGAGTAAAAGCACGTGCGAATTCCGATAGGAATTTCGTTGCATTACGAAGTTACCGCTTCTATACGTTCTTTTGACATACACTCGAATCAATAAATCGTAATAATTACATTACTACATTTCCAAATTCTAAATTGAATTATTGAAATACCATTCGAGTAAAATATTTCATTTTTAATAAAAAAAGAAAGAAGTAAAGGATTGGATTTTTTTAAATTTTTCCCGCAAAAATTCTTATATGAAAAATAAAGTAAATTTTCTGAATTATAGTTAAAGAGATAATTAATTGTTAGTAAAATCGTGGATGGTTTTATACTTTCATAATGTGAAGAATTCAATTTGTATTAATTTATAATTTTTAACTATTTATATAACTATACTTCTTTTTGAAATTCAGTTATGTAAATCTATTTTCCAAAGTAAATTGCAATTCATCGCGTTTCAAGTTGTTATATAACGAAATCCTGCTGACAATGTTGAGCAATTATCCCTCATTTTAAGGTATTCCGTTTTCTTATTGTAATTTTCCGCTTAATGCGCGAATTTAATTTTTCGCAAAGTTTCTATATTGCACGAAATTAACGTTATAATATACCCATTTGTTTTGTTTTTATCTTCTTACGAACTTTAAATTCTGAAAGGTATAATAAAATTTATCCTACTTTATTAACATTTTGATTTAATGAAAATTAAATAATCAAGATTCGCGGTAGATATATAATCGGATATGTACAATATTCTAGAAAATTATTAATAATTGGGTTAAAATCTCGATATATATATTTCAAGAAATTTCATTAAATTTCGTATTTTTTGAAATATTTGAATTTTTCCCAAAAAATTGAAAAAGAAAAAAAATTTCTAAACCATTTCCCTTTTAATGTTACTTCATGCATTTATTAAAAAGTTGAGATGATGCAAAAAGTTTTAAAATCCTAACAAAAACATCTTTGATGCAAAAAGTTCCGCTAAGTAAAGAATTTTGTAATTGTCCAAACAATTAGTGAAATAAAAGTTACAAAAACTTTTACTGGTCCTAAACTATTACTAGAACAATCCCAATTAATATCTGGGTCATCAAATTTAATTTAATTCAAATTTAAAGAGTATAATCATTATTAAAATTTTATTAAAAAAAACCTTCGATTCTAAGATTTCCTTTATTTATTTCTTCGTTTTCCTTCTATTTTTATTTTAAAAAAAATTAAGAAAAAAGAAACTGTGTAATGAAAATAGAGAATATACGAAGTTTTGAAGAAATATTATAAGCAGTAGAAAATTATGAAAGTGAATAAACAAAAGCAGAAGTGTAAACCAAGGTGTAAAGGAAAGGTGAAATATGAACAAAAGAAAATTCAAATAAAGATAAGAAAAAGAAGAAGGAAAGCATAAGAATGAAGAAAACGTATAAAAAAGAGAAGAAATGAGAAAGAACTGCAATTATTATAATATCATAACCGAAGTTTATAATTCCCTAAACTAAGCTAACCTAAAGCATAAAATATGTTGATATTATGAATTTATACATGTGAGAATGTAGAATTTCGCCTAATTTATAATTTCATAAATGATATTTGCATCAGTGTCCAAAATATTCATCCTCTGGACATTGTTGGAAGCTATAGTGGCTGTAACTTTTACTTTGTAGGTGCCATTATTATATTACACTTGCCAACATATATATACATATACACATATAAATACACATAGTTCAGTGAAGTTAAAAGCCTTCATATCTGCCAGATGTTAATGAATAACCGACCCTTTACACAACTATACACTTAATGAAGCGTTGAACATCCGTCTTGATTGCATATAATACTATATACATTTGCGCAGTACCTTCTCTTCATACTTGCAATTGAAATTCTCCAAATTCCAAGTATTCATTTCCCTATAAATTTTCAATTAATATTATACATACAAATACTTCCATAACATTTATACATCTTAGGCGAACAATTTTAAGCGCACTCTATCATTCCATTATCGAAAATTGTACTCCTCTAACATATCTTAAACCAAAATTGAACAATACTAGAAATAACAAAGAGCGTATTATATTAGAAAACAAATTAAGAAAGCGTGTTAAAAATTTAAATTAACAAACAAATGAAAATAAATTAAGAAATAGTGTTAGAAAATTAAATTACATAATAAACAAAAAGAAATATTATTAAAAAAATCGTATATATGTGTCGTATAACATAAACCAAATTGTGTACATACATTTTTATGTGTGTACGTAAAATAAAATATGAAATAACTTTTTTTTATTGCAAAAATATAAGTAGCACGTCATCAGTAAATACCTGTTTCCCGCAGAGAAAATCAGTTTCTCTTGCAAAAATAGTGAAAACTGGACCAAAACCAATCCCGTTACTATATAAATTTGTACAACACGAGTGTTGACATCAAAGGATAACGTGGAAAATAAGTTTTCATTCAATGTTTACCGGTAAATTTCTGTCAGAAGTCAAATTTTGTTGCAATAACCGGTCAATAGATACGATAAACTTTTCTCCTTCTCTCTCTCTATATGTATATCGTAAAAAAATTCAATTTTCTTTTCTTTAAACCAATTTATTTCTTCTCAATTTTATTTATATGTAATAATAATTTTGAGATCATTTTATTCTTATTGATTAAATATTTAATCAATAAGAATAAAATGATCTCAAAATTATTATTTTTTATCAAATTATTCTTATTTAAATCAATTAAATGGTATTTGCTTCAAACGCCTGAAATTATTTGAAGATGAATCAAATTATTTTTATAGTTTATTTAATTTAAATAAAAATTATTTGATTCAAATAAATATTTTTTTGAATATTGAGAGACGTATATAGTTAAACCAAATAAATTTTTTTTAGTGTTTCAACTTTGTTGCTGTTATTATTAGTATAATAACAATAATAGTATAATAACTATAATAATACAACAACAAAGTTGAAACACTGAAAAAATTTATTTGATTTAACTATACGTTTCTCAATATTTAAATAAATATTTATTTAAATCAAATAATTTTTATTTAAATTAAATAAACTGTAAAAATAATTTGATTCAACTTCAAATAATTTCAGGCATTTGAAGCAAATACCATTCAATTGATTTAAATAAGAATAAGTATAAATAAATATTTATTTGATAATAAATAAGTAATCGTTTATTTAAATCTAAATTTGTTTGAGTGCTTACTCGCAGCTTTCTTAAAAGTAGGATCAAATTGATACCAAAAATTTGGTTTATTTTATAATTTGATCCAACATTTTTAATATCAATCGTTGATTTTCAAGTTATCAGTGTAGGTCAGGGAAATCAGTCAGAAAAGAGTCAGGAAAGTATAAACTTGATCAAAGATATGATTTTTTTTAAATAATTTAATTCTTGAAAAACTTTCATAAAATAATCAAAAGATTTTAGTGTCAATCCTGAACAAAATAATATTTTCTAGTACCTAATAGGGTAAGTGCGGGTATAGTCGGACAGTACTAGTAGTCGGACACTTTCATGTTTTTTGTCAAATAAATAATAATGCATTGTGATATTTACTTAAAAAAATATACTGGACGAATGTGTAAAGTTTATATTTTATGAAAATAGTGTTATTTTCGAAAATAATTAAACAAGAAATATTTTATTTAATGTTTTAAAAATCATAGTGTCCGACTATAGATACAACCATTTTCGAGTAGCGCAATGAGTAGCACAAAGTTTTGCTGATAATTAATCATAAATTTTAAAACTTATACGATTTAAATATTATATTAATAACTTCTAGTATGGTTTAATTCCATTTTCCAGCCGATAGCAATTAAAAAATTATCTGTTTTACTTTATAAATCCAAAATATCTGACAGATGTCCGACTATAGAAACAAGGAAAAAAAGTGTCCGACTACTAAAGCATTCGTAATTTTTCATTAAAATGTTTATATTTTATTAAATACTCAAGTATTTGTAACAAATTTACATGATTTTTAATCCTGAAGAACTCCTTTAATTAATAATGTGCTTATAAACACAGTAGATATTTGCTATTTCAAGAAAAAAAGCATAATATAAGATCGTATCCTTAAGTGTCCGACTACTAGTGCATTTACCCTATATAAATAATAATTAATAATAATAATAATAATAAATATTGCGTTCCTTTTTGTTAAATTTATTAACAAAGAGATGAAATAAAATTTATGTAACATCCTACATAATTTAAATGGATATTTAAAAATAATTGCTCTCAAAATTTTAATTAGTAAAATTTACTAATTCAAAGGCAAAAAGTCAGTCACTAATTAAAATTCGTTAACATTTTTACTGATTCAAATTTAGAGAGTGATTTGATATTAAAAAAATTTAAATTATTTAGTGCAGGTATTTAATAAATTATTATCAATAATTTCAATTAATTAAAAAAATTAAATTAAATTAAAAAATTAATAACATTAAGTAAATAGTAAAATAAATTAATGATTAATTAATAAATAATAATTAATAGTTAATAATTATTAATTATTAATTCCTACTTAATGTTATCTCTTCATTTTTTTATTAGGAAAAACAATTCTTTATTAGAAAAAGGAATTCTAAAATCTTAAAATTAAGTGAAATTTCAAATTTCCCTCTTAATTTTGTCATTTTACCCGCCCTGACGTTTGGGAACTAGAAACTTTTAGTCTAAAATCTATTTCAAACTCTCTGTCCCTGTGGTTACTAGAATTATTTTTTAAAAATGGCGACGTCCGCTGTCAACACTTTAACAAAAACAGCAAATAATCCTATTCGTTTTTTTCTCGGAGTGTGTTTACCAAGTACTAAGGAAAATGCTGCAAAAATCCGAATTCCAAAATTAATTAAAGATGATTACATTAACATGGTTAGTTAACCTTCATGGTAATTATAGCATGTTTAAAATTCGCCTATCATTTTGAGGTTATATCGAAATTTTCATTGAGATCTTGTTATTTATTCACTTCTTTTTACAGTATTTCCGTGAATTTGATTTTGTTTATGCACACGATCCAAATAAATTGTGCAAAGTTGGCGACACCGTTTTAGTAAAACCTTTATGTGAAAGATTAACACGTCTCATAACCCACGAGGTCCTTGAAGTTATTTATCCATTGGGTGATATTGTTGATCCTGTCACTGGAAAGAAAGTTGTTATGAGCAAATATCGGTAATTAGTCTGCTTTGTCTCTTCTTGATCTTCTATTATTTTTTTTCCTATTAGCATTTTATTTTTTAGTAGTTTGGAAATTGTTTCTAATTTCGATGAAATTAATTTTGCAGAGAGGATAAGAAAGCTTTGCGAGATATGTTTGGTAGGAAAAATGGATTTGATTACGATAAAGCTCCTCCTCGAGGAAGATTGGAGGGTATTCGTGATTTTACTCATAGACCACAACATATTAAATTTTACGAAGGTCAACCTGACACAGTTTAATGCGAAAAATATTGAAAAATCCTTTTGTACATACATATAGAATTACAGAAAATATAGAATCCTCATAAAAACGCAAGTAACAATTTTTATTTAATTAAAGAACCGGTACCATTATATTTCGTAAAACGAAAATTAAATGTTTGTTCAATTCTTGATTCTTTCTTTTGTTTTAACGTATATAAATTATAAAAGCGCATTTTTTAAATGTTTTAATTTATTTGTAAAAAAAATCTAAAACAGTAACTTGCGATTAATATGCAAGTTTTCCTTTTCATCTCAAATAATATAATTGAATTAGTAATACACAAATAGTACAAATATACAGTCTGTAAAATGGTTTATTTTACCAATCGAAGGACCCAGGCATATTTTTTTTATGTAATTGTGACCACGGTCAAAATCGACTTTTTTTAAAAGAAAAGAAATTAAAGCAACTATTTATAGAATTTTTAAAACCGAGATCACATTCACGAGTATGTTGGTATCCTTTAAAGCACTCAAATCTCACATTTCAAAAGCTGACGAGATGATAAAGCGATAACTTAATCAGACAAAAATTCTCTCTCAAGAGCTTCACCCATTGCGTTCCATTCTCGTTCATCTTCATAATCTTCAGTGTCGTCAATTTCTACTGAATCTTCGGAAATATCACCTAGATCTAAATCATCTGGTAAACCTTCTCCTCGCCTAAAACGCACTATTGGATCATCATCCTCATCATCATCTTGTTGACTATTTTCTTTTGATTCATCATCATCAACATCGATATTATCATCCCGATCGTTAATTTCTACATCAGATTCACTTGAATCTTCATTCTTCTTCAACCGCTTCACAACAGTTGGACATGAATCTAAAATTTTTTTATTGTTTAGAAACTTGTTAATATATTACAATTACAAAAAAAGAATTTATTACCTTCTGCTGAATCAGATTCGGAACTTTCGTGATCTCTCTTTAAACGCAATTCATTAGGATTGTCCTGATCGTCGATAGGGAAATCAAGTTCAATGTCATTCATGTCTTCCTCGACTTCTTTGTCCATATCGTTAATTTCTTCCTCACTAACGAAATAAAGGGGATTTATTGTATTGGCGAAAGAATTTTTCTCCGATCGTTTACGGGATGATTCCGGATTACTGCAGTGTGGTGGTGGAATTCTTGATCCTCGTACCTAAAAACAATTTTTGTTTTAATTTCCAAATTAAATAAATTTATTTTATCTATTTTAATTTATTTTTAGAAATGAATGGATTTAAAATCTAATTCTAATGAACTCTTACTTTTGATGAAAGTGTATACAATCTTTCGTCGACATGTTCCCAACGTTCTGCACACGTCCAAAGCCAATCTGGATTCACAACTTTAATGTTCCCCCGTTTTTTCGCAGTATTCACCTTTTGTGTTCCTGGTTTCATTGCAACCAAATGGGTCGTCTCGTCCATTAAATCCTTGAGAAGTTCAAAAAGATAAGATTTCGAAATTTATAAATACAGTCAATTTTAAAATTTATTTATTTTAATTCTAATTAATTTTTTGTAAATAAATCAGGTTTATCACAGGTCAGAGATATCAGGAAAAATATAAATGGTCAGAGAAATTAGGGAAATATTTGTCAGGAAATTTTATCAAAAGTATTAGAAAAATACCAAATCTTTATAATTACTACAAAAATTCTAGTTTTTGGGGTTTAAAAATATTTTTAAAAAACTTAAAGACCTTGAAGTCTTTCTAAATATAATTTAATTATTTTAAATATAAACATAATTGAAATTTTGTAATATCCAAATGGAAAATAATTAACATTTGATTGAATTTTTCTAAAAGAAATTAATTGAAATTTTGGAAAATAATTTAGAGAAATTTGTCGCAGTATTTAATTTTATTTTTAAAATAGATAAATACCCTTAAAGTCTTAAATGAAATTTTTGTTTCTAAAAATTATCTTTCTTATATTTGATCTCCCCTTGAATTTTTTTCATAGACGTCAGAGAAAAAATTAAAATTCTGTTTCGAAATCAGGGAAAAATGAAATGAAAGTTTTGTGGCAAAAAATTGAATTTAATAAAAAAAGTTATTTACCTGAGTGACTTGTGCTCCGAAAGCTTGAGCCACTTTGTAAGCCCGACTCTGATGAAGTTTCTGGTGAATTGGTATAATGCCACTAAATGTTAAAGTCAAACCTTGCAAGACCTTGGCTCGAACTTTCAGTATAACATCACACAATGACCTTCGTTCCTTTTCATTTTCAAGATCAGTGTAATATTCAGTGTGAATTCTCCGCAAAATATCCTCTAAGTACAATAAATAATCATCCTGATCTTCACACTCTACGTCGGCGTTCGATTCATCCCCACCTTTTGTATCCTTTTCTTGTACATATTTCTCTTCTTTTTCCTCCAGAGATAATTTTTCTGCATCATCTGCTGCTTGATCTGCATCTTCTGTCACCGTTTCCTTGGCCGATTCATCACATTTAGTCTCAGTTGTCTCAGTTTCTTTACTAATTTCGTTACTTTTAGTTTCTGGTTCTTTAACTTCGTTGGTCTTAGTTTCAATTTCAGGACTACTTTCGTTAACTTGAGTTTCATTTTCTTTGCTAACTTCGTTGACTTTTGTTTCAGTTTCCTCACTATTTTCAGTTTTATCACTATCAGTGGGAATATCTTTAACTTTTTCTTTAGTTTCATTAGTAATTTCACTGCATTGTTCTTTAGTAATATCATCGGTTAACATTTCCTCGTCTTGTTCACTATCAATTTTTGTCTCGGGTTTAATATCCTCGACCTCATCTTCCTGATAAACTTCCTCCGTTACACCATTTTTGTCATCCTCATTTTCTTCTGGCGATTCACTACAATCGTATGATTCTAATTTCCTTTGATCGTTTACTTTATTCATACCGGGAGGTGCATGAATATTAGCCGAATGTTGAAAGAAAAAATAAGGCTTTACTTGTACCAAATTTCTACATCCTTGCCAAACATCTTCTCTGTCGTCTATTATGCAAACCATTTCATCTCCACAGGGAAATAGAGCCCTAAAAAATTTTTTTGAATTAATATTCCTATTTTCGATTGAAATTAATTAAAAGAAATGGACTTACTTGAGATTAGGATATTTAGATCCAGGATCAAAACACTCATTTCTAGAGAGTATCCTGTGAGAAAAGAGTTCACCGTTTTTGTCCAATAGAGCAGCGACTGTATGAGCATATTCTCGAACTCCAAATGTACAAATGTGTAATTCATAAAGTTTACTCATTTCACGAAGAAAATGTAGAGTATGAGGTCTTAAACGTGTATGATACCATTGTGATCTTTGGCTGGGAAGTTTGTAGTGATAGACATCCTGAAAATATTAATAAATTAATTAATTGTGTAATTTACAAATGATTAAAAAAATATAAATAAATTAATAATTTTCAAAAGTACCTTTATGTTCGGGTCAACATCGTCGTTAGTTGTGTGAACAATGGTTTGATCAAGATCAACTAAAAGCGCTAATTTCTTATCACTAAGTAACCTTTGTTCATCTTCTTTTCCAATTTGTTGAGCCAATTCGGGACATACTTTCAATTCGGGAATACTATGTACCATTGATATACTCGCTTGACATTCAACGACACCATCTCCTTCTCTTAAATCAACTCCACAATCGGCACAAAGATCCTTCATTACTGTGTTATGTTTACATGCCTCGAGCAGAAGTATTCCTTGTCTAAATTAAAATAAACAATCAATGTCATTAAAGACGAAATTACTTAAAAAACATTACTACTTATAAAAATATTACTCATTTACAACATAAATATTGTTTATTCAAAACTAAATTATTCAAATTTAATTCAAAAACTGCAAGACAATTTTAAAAAATCGAAAGAAAAGGAAGAAATGTTTATGTTTTCATGTAGCGCATTGATAACAATAACAATTTTGAGGTTATGAATTAATACAAACCCTGGTTGTACAATATCATTTGATTTTGCCAAAAATTTTTTGACAAGACCACGTTCTGTTTTAGAACGAAGTTTTTCTTCAACATTTTTATTGTCATCATTATTTGTTGACAATGTTTTATATAAAAGTAACACTTTTCCTGGCGAAACCATTGTTCCAGGTGATACTTTCCATTTTACAATTTTCGCTGGTTTTTTACATGAAAATGTCACTTCTGTTGTTGACATTATTATTTATCAATGATCTGACAATTATATTTTCTATTCACAACACTAAATTTTTCTTTATTTAATAGAAAAAAATACTTAATATTTTACGCGGGAGAATAAAATAACACGTAAACATTCACCGATATATATTTAGGAATGGGTGTGATGTGATTTTTCTATTCTCGATTCTTGATTCGATTCGATATAAATCGATTGGTTAGGGAATCGATACAATTTTCAATTTTTGAATTCAAATTCATTAACCGTAGAATTTAATTGTTTTTTTTGGGTTTTACATTGTTACTTTTTGATTTATTTATATTTTTTTTGTGTAAATATACTTGTGGGTATTGATTCAGTGTGATGGAGAGAATCACGTGACCTATAGTGATAAGTGAACTTAGCGCGGGAAAATTGTGTTACATTTGAATTTTACATTATGAAATTTTAATTCCTTTTTTATTTCTGCGGTAGTTTTTAATTAAACGAATATTATTAGTTATTTATTATTCATTTTTATTTTTCTCTTTTCTCTGGATTTAATGTTTCAAAAAATTTAATTTAACTTTAAAATATAATTTAAAATTCCCCAGTCGGATGAGCGGAAAAATATGAAATATTTAAATTTTGCAATAACAATTTTTATATTTATTTTATTTCTTAAAATAAAATTAATTTTTTTTGTATATTTTTTAAAATAAATATAGTAATCAACAAAATCGGGAATTACACTGAAAAAAAATTATTTGATTCAAATAACCGATTACTTGTCTATTCTCAAATAAATATTTACTTGAAACAAATAATCTATATTTGAGTCAATTAAATTGTATTTGATGCAAATACTAAAATTATTGTTTTAAATGCAATTTATTTGACTTAAATAAAATTTATTTGATTCAAGTAAATATTTTTTTGATAATAGACAAATAATCGGTTATTTGAATCAAATAAATTTTTTTTAGTTGTCAAAAAAATTGTTTATTTAAAATAAATTTATTTTATAAAAATAAATAAGTAAAGTTTAATAAATAAATAAATAAATAATAAATAAAGAAAGGTTTAGAAATCGAAGTCAGAGTTCATTCATAATAATTTAATTTTCCTTAACTAATAAATTATTACAATAAAAAGTAACGAGTATGCGACACAGAGTTGGTGAATAAATGATGTTAATTTGCACCTATATTTTTACGTCTCGAGGTAATACCAACGCTGCGTGGCATTTCTCTATATATTTTGGATTCACAGACATTGTCAGTAATTAATAAATTAAATTAAATATCGGAAGGAAATAAATTAAAATGTATGATTAAATTTAAAATTAATTAAAACAAATAATTATATCGTTAATATAATAATAATAATAATCTCGTTTGTTTTTTTCGGCAAGCAATATATAAATACACAACAGGGTTGAAATATCTTTTCTTATACATATTTAACAAACTTTCTTTAACGGACGTTCGGCTATCACATTTTTTTTCTCCTTTCATTTAATATAATTATTAAATTCTACAATTTCTCCTCAAATATTTATATATCAATATAATAATTATATTTCATTTCACATAAAAAATAGTCGCACCGAACTCCATTTTCTTTGAGATATATATGTTTTTTTATTATACATTTAAATATATTTATATCTCTCTACAACGTCTCAATGGGGTTTTTATTGCATTTATCGAAAAAGTTTGATAACACTTTTCCAATAAGTTCTTTGAAAAAGTTTTCCTTTTTGTAGACGACGATTCGATAATTTTTTATTTACTTTTGGTCCGTTCATGCGACAAAATATAAATAAATAAATAAATGACAACTTTCTTTCGCTTTGACTAGATTCTACACTCAATGGTACAAGAGAATATTATACACTCGTACCCCCACATACATGCTATAATAATTTAATATATTTTATATGGATCTAGTCGTTATATATATATTATAATTTCTATTATTTGATTTCTATAAAAAGGAATAAAGAATAAATCGTGAAAATATTTCGATTTCACGATATATTTTATATTAGTCTCATCGTTTGTATTTTTTTATTTGTATAGAAGAAATAAAAAAAATGTTTTAGGAAGAGAAAGAACGAGTTTGAGGTCGTCCGGAATAGTAATAAAAAAAAAAAATGCTTATTCAAAAAGTTTTTTGGCATAATGCCAAATTTTGAAGAAATACTCGTCCTTTCTCAACAGCCTCGCTCTCGCATAAGAATGAATATCCGCATCCATATTGTGATCGCGGAGCCAGGAACTTGTATTCTCTGTGCTGAAACTTAAAGATGTTGTTTCTCCTCGATCTGGAGCTTCGGCAACTGGTTCAATCACAGTTAATTCTGAAAGAAAATAGATTATTTTTTTCTTTTCTTTTAAATATCGATAGAAATTTTTGCTTTAGAAAGAATTGTATAGTTTTAGGAATTGTTTTCTCATTTAGGAAATTAAAATACAAAATCCATATATTCTTTTGAATTCAAGTTGGAAATTCTATTAAAATAATATTTTTTATTTGTGATTTAAAAATTAGAATAAAGAGAATTTTTGAGAAAAAGAAATCTTACCATTAGCAGGAACGATTTTAATTGGTTCATCGGATTCCAATGGTTCACTGAAACCGACTTCGTTCTTTGCAAATATTCTAAAGAGATATTCGTGTTTTTCTTGAAGATCTCTGATTGTGAGTTTTTGAATGTCAGCCTTAACACGGCCAACTTCCATCCACATTGTTTTCTTCACGTCTCGAACTGCGATCTTATAGGCTTCCAATGGTGCTCCACCATCGGATTCGGGACGACCCCATTCAATAGCTATTGTATTTCCAGCGATTTGCCTTATCTCCAATGGTGCCGTTGGTGGTGATGGTACGGCTAGAATAAAATCATAATTAATTAATATTCCCCAAACTTTGACAATTTTTTTTATGTTTCGTTAACTTCTTGCTAATTACATGCAATTTTCTAAGTAACATATATATTATATTTGTTTGGGTAAAATATAATTACACTGAAGAGAAATTTATTTTATTCATATATAACTAATTACTTGACTATATTATCAAATAATTATTATATTATTAATAATTTTCGTATTTGAAGGAATGATTTCAGTATTTGAACCAAATATTAATTTAATTCACTTAAATAAAAATTATTTGATTGGAAAAAAATTATTTGACTCAAATAAAAATTTTTGGATTTAAATAAAAATTACTTGACACAAATAAATATTTATTTGATAATAGACAAGTAATCGTTCATTTGAACCAAATTCATTTTTTTTTCAGTATATTATGCATTATTAACTAATATATAATGTATTAAGTACTATTAAATTATAGATTATTAAATATTATTACACTTTTGCTACAAAATAATTAAAAAACGATTTCAACAAAAAGGAAATATTATTATTTTATATTATTAAAATATTTTCCTTTCTTAATGCTATTAAATTATTATTATTATTATTATTATTATTATTATTATTATTATTATTATTATTATTATTTTGTTCTACAACTAAATCATTTTATTGTTAATTGAAATAATTTAATACTCGCTTACTAGTAACTAAATATTATTCAAAAGCAAATTATTTAAAATCAAGTATTAAATGAGAAATGAAATAAGTGATATTATTATTGAATTAAAATTAAATTATTAAATTAAAAAAGGGGATGATTTTATATGATTATGATAATTAGAAGGATGATTAAATTTATTGTAGGATGAGCTAAGCATAGAAGTGTTGTACTTCTGAGAATGAAGCGGAGGCGTTGATATTTCTTTCTGCGAGCGAAGCGATGATTTATTTCTCTCTGTGAATGAATCGACGATGATTTTTTTTTTAAACAAAAAGAACAATTTTTTTTCGTTCAATTTTTCGAATCAAATATTTCTATAGAGAAATAAAATTTTTTAAATATTTAAGAACAAATGCACTACATCTATTGTGTATAATTATTTTATATGAATAAAAAAATTAATCCAGCAGATAATAATTATCTGCTTAAATTAAATTATTAATTATTAATAATTTAATTTCGAGACTTACATGCATGAGTTTGTAATGTGACTGGTTCAGAGGTTGCTGGTGGACTTAGACCAATGCTGTTCTCAGCATATATCCTAAAGAGGAATTCACTTTCTTTGAGATTTTCCACACAATAGGAATTATTTGCAGCATCCAATGTTGCAACTTTGGTCCATTTGGCACCTTTACCGGCTAGTGGTCGTTTTTCTATCACGTAACCTAGGCAAGTTTTTTCAGTTATTAATTTTTTTCAAAGTAGATTTATAATTTTTCGTAGTAGATTATTTCTCCTTTGTTTGAAAGTTGAAGATAAAATAAAAATTTAAATCCTCAATTGAATTTGAATTAATTACCTGTTAGATCGACTCCTCCTGTGCTTGCCGGTGGAGACCAATTTAAAGTGACACTCTTACTGGTGACATTTGTCACGCTCACATTAAGCGGACAGGATGGAGGTGCTAAAAAATTAATATAATTATAAATAAAATAATAATTAATTCTCTAAAGAGTTATTTTTTGGTTTTTGTAATTATATTCTCATCACACGTGGAAGTATTTCTTTTTTATAAAATTTGGATAGAATTGTTTTTAGCAAAAAATTGATCGTAACTCACTTTTAGAAACGACAGCAGCCCCAGCGGGAAAAGTACCAAGCAATGCGTAAATTGTTCTTTCATTAACCATGGTTATTTCTAAGAATAAGCGTTAAAGCAACAAATAAGCGATAGTTTTTTTAATTCAAGAGAAAAAAGAATTAGTGAAGCGAAAATTGTTAAAAGTAAAATATTAATTTTGTGATAAAAGATAGTTTTATACTTACTTAGACGTTTTCCGGCAACAATTGGTTCTTCGGACACGTACGGTGGTCCTGTACCAATTTTATTTTTAGCTGATATTCGGAAATCGTAGGAAACATCTGTTTTTAAGTCAGATAAACTGTAGTGTGTGATTCCTTCCCGTGAATTGCCAATCTATGAAAGAAATTGAAATTAGGTTTTATTTAGCCATTAACGTGATGATAATGATGATTTTGATAATAATTATTATGATTGTGATTAATTATTATTAAATAAAATACCTTCTTCCAAGTTGTTTTCGAAGTTTCTTTCATTTCAACGATGTATTCGATAATTGGTGTTCCTCCATCATATTCCGGTGGTTGCCATGCTATCGTGAATGATGTTTTCGTCATTCCAGAAATTTCCAACGGTCCCCTTGGCGCTCCAGGTTTTTCTAAAATTAAAGAGATTCAATTAATTGTTTTCTCCTCGAATGCTAATTTGCACGAAGTAAATTTAGATGATCAAGAAAAGGATAATGATGAAAGTAAAAGTAATTTAGAAGAAAGTAGTAAAACAAGGTTTCCACAGGTCAGGGAAAAGTCAGGGAAAAACAAAGTTAAATTTTTGTGGCAACCCTGTAAGAAACTACAATGATAGAGATAAGAGATAACAATAAGAAGAGAAAAGAAATTAGGAAAATAAGGAACAAATTCAAGAAGGTTTAGGCAAACCATGATGTCTCACCTAATGATGATGTTAATTTCACAGTTTCGGATTCCAAAGGTTCTGACGAGCCAACATCATTTCTCGCGATAATTCTAAATAGATAATCCGTTTCTGGTTGCAATTTTTCAACACAATAGCTCGTCGACTCCGGATCAACGTCAGCAATTTTCATCCAAACCTTTTTATTCGGATCGCATTTCTCTATCGTGTAATGATTGAGATCAAGTCCTCCTGTGTCTGTGGGTGGTTTCCAATCAATCGTGACTCGATCCGGTTGAATCTGTTTCACGACAATTGGTCCCTGAGGCTTTCCTGGTTTATCTGCGAGTGCAAAATCAAAAAACAGTGAATTTATCCGAATTCATTCAATTTTAAGCAAATTGAATTAAAATGATCATTATGATAACTCACCAATGACTTTAAGATTGATCTCAACCCAAGCACTGCCAGCCTTATTCTCAGCTGTGACAGTGTAAGTTCCAGAATCTTCTCTCGTCAATGAGTAGATGGCAATTGTTGATGATGTCTCTTCGGTGTAAATCGAAACTCGTTTATCTTCAATTGTCTTCTTGTTCTTCGTCCATCTGATCTCTGGTTTAGGGAAGCCGGTCGAGTTGGCTTCAATTTTCCATTGACCTTGAGCGTTGATTCTCTGTGAAACGAGAGCCTCATCCACTGTTATTGTCGGTGGCTCTTGGATCTTTAATTCACAAGTTGTTTCCGCTGTGCCGGCTTCATTCTCCGCCTTCACAGTGAACGTTGCTGATGATGTCTCTGTAGTTTCTTCAATTGAGTATTTCGCCACCCGATTTTCATACGTGATGTTTCTGTTCTTGAATGGACTGCTGTCTTTGAACCTGCATCAAATTTATCAATTTTGTAAATTGGTAATCGGTAATTGGTAAATTATGAATTATTTAGAAACACTTCTGCTTTTTTTCCAATAATTTTCTATTATTTAGAAACAGAAGAATGATAAAGGGTTTTGCGATTGATCCACGTGATAATCTGGGAATGTTTTAAAAATTAAATGTAGGAGAAGGACAAGGAATGATCGCTTTTACGAACCATGAGACTTGTGGAATTGGAGTTCCTCCGATGACACAGGAAAGCGAGACGGTCTTCTTGAGTCCAGTAACGATACTCTTTAGTGGTTCCAAAATCGTTGGTGATTCGGCAGCCGTTGGTCTTGTGACCTTTATAAATTCAGAGTTTGGTGAATTTTCACTAGGACCCACTTCATTCACTGCTTTCACTCGGAATGTATATTCCTTGTTGGTCGTCAATTGTGTCACCTTCTGGGATGTTTCGGTAATCTTTTCCGTAACACTCGTCCAGCTGTGAAAATAAAAATAGTTGAATCAATTATTTCCAAATAGGTTTTATTTGTTTCTGAAAATAATTATATTTTTTGGGGGAGAAAACGTACGAAATCTCTTCTCGATCATGATACTCCAAGATGTACTCAATAATCGGCGAATTTCCGTCTGATTCTGGTTCTTTCCAGTGAAGAGTCACTGAATCGTCTGTGACCTCTGATGGTTCTGGTCTTCCAGGTGGACTTGGTACTTCTATTTATTTTTGAAAAGAAATAACGATAAAATGAATTATTTTACTTATTTATCCAAATCAAATTTTTTTGTGATCCTCTACTTATGCTAACGACCGTTATCGACCAAAATGACGGTCGTTAACATCAGCAGAAGGTTAAAAAAAAGATGGGGACCAGGCCAAATATTCTTTGATAAATCGATACGTACGGACAATGACGACTTTAATGTCAGCTTCAGCTTCACCGTGAGAATTGACAAGTTTCAATGTATAATCGCCGATGTCTTTTTCTTCAATTTTCTTTATAGTCAAAGTTGCCGATTCTTCTTGAATATTGGGAATAATTCGTTTGGTTTTCGTTACGACTCTTCCATTAACAGTCCATTCGTCTGTTGGCATTGGCGATCCTGAGAATTTAACATTTATATCCACGTCTTCGCCCTTCTTCACTTTGTAGACTTTTGGACAATCGGTGATCTTCGGTGGTGTTTCAATTACTGGGGAAAAGGTATTGAGTTAATTTTTGAAATTTATGTGCTTGAAATGAATGCGATCATTAAAGTCATGTATTTGGAAAAAGTAAAATTATTTAGGTTCGAAAAATATAATTTGGTGAAAATTTTCTTTTAGACAAATAATATGATCTTTTGAATAATCATGTAAAAAATGGAATAGAGATGGAGGTAAAATGATTAGATACTTACTTTCAACCTTCAATTTTGAAGACGATTTCACATTCATTGCAACTACGCTGTACTCGTATGCATCTTCAATTGTACATTTCTTGACGATGAGTTTCTTAACGGGACCTTCATCGACGATAATGTACTTGGGAGATTCTTGAATTTCTTTTCCTTTCCTGTAAAGAGTAAAGTTAGATGATTAATATTGATTTGTTTTTATTAAAACAAATCTTAATGATATTTAATATATTTATCAAAATGATAATGATAATTGATTAATTTATGAGTGAAGAAACTATGATAGCTACTTACTTGAACCACTTCACAGGAACATCTGGTCTTGAAAGTTCGACCGTAAAGATAGCGTCAGTGTTCAAAGGCACTAAAGTCACGTCTGGCAATCTCGTAATGAAGTCCACTTGCGGTTCTTCAACAATCAATTTAGCAGATGATGTTTGTTTACCGACTTCACAAGAATATACACCAGCGTCCTCGAGTTCAGAATTGTATATTTTAAGTTTCTGCCTCTTGCCATCGATGGAGAGTTGAACATGTTCGGAAAATTTGAGTTCCTCACCGTCCTTAAACCATTTGACGAGAGCGTCGCCTTTCGTGAGTTCAATCTCGAAAGTGGCCTTCTCTCCCTTGGCTATTCTCACATCTTGCATTTTGTTAATAATCTCCGGAGGTAGTTCTAAAATGTTTGCAAAATTTCCGTCAATAGATATTCTATTTTTAAAGAAACGATTAAATTAATTATGTTAGAAAAATTATATTAGAGGAATAATGATTAAAGTGGTGATGATTAGAGGGATTATGATTAGAGGAACGATAGTTAGAGAAATTATGGTTAGAGAAATGATGATTAGAGAAATGATGATTAGAGGAATGATAGTTAGAGAAATAATTATATTAGTAGAATGATGATTTGAGGAATGATAATTATTAGAGATATGATGATCAAAGGAGTGATGACTAGAGAAATGATGATCAGAGAAGCGATGATTAGAGAGACAGTAATTAGAGAATTGATTGAGTAAAAGAAACCTACCGACAACGGTAACTTCTGCTGAACATTCTTCATCGACGAGAGCACAAGTGTATTCACCCTCGTCATGTACGGATGTGCTTCGAATAAGTAATTTACGAACTGTACCCTCCTTGACAAATTCAATCTTCTCCTCGGTTGGTTTTAGGGGAACTCCATCCTTACGCCAGGACACTTCCGCAGTTTGTGATGTAATTTCCACCTCTAGAATTGCAACCTCCCGTTCCTTGACTTCCGAGTCTTGTAATTTTTTCACAAACTCTGGTTTCGTGGCTAAAAAATCGTAATTAAAACAAAATTAATTCATTAACAATTCCAACTTAGCTGATATTAGTCAACTAATTTCATAATTAAACCAATAATTAAGAGTAATTTATTATTATATTATTTATTATTTATTATTTATATTTATTTATTTTATTATTTATTTTTATTATTTATTATTTTATTATTTATTTATTTTATTTTTTTTTATTACCTTTTACGGTAACATCACAAGTTGTCTTTTGATTCTTCACCGTGCACTTATAAGTTCCTTCATCAGGTGGACTTGATTTTTTGATGACTAATCTATGAGTGCGACCTTCTTGAATGATTTCACGATGATCCATGCCGCTGATTTCCTTGTCATTATGCCACCAAGTTGTTGAGACCGTGTGTGATGTTTCGCATGTTAATTCCAGTGGTTTATATTCAACCACAGTGATCTTCTTTTCCAATTTCTTGGTGAATGTCACTTTATCAACATCCACAGTCACCTTTGCTCCGTGAGATGCTTTTCCAACTGGATTAACAGCCACGCATTTATAATCACCTGAATCAACTTCCGAATCGGCATTTTTTATTTCCAAAGCAATATTCTCTCCATCGTAGCTTTCCGTGATGTTTGGTGATTTCTCCAATGGTTTGTTGTTCCTAAAAGCATATTCCATTAAATTTTATATCTGATACATGATCTAGAATTTTCTGATCTGATCTAGAATTAATTTCTACAATGTGATCTAGAACTAATTTTCTGACATAATCTGGAATTAATTTTCCAAGCTGATCTATCATTAATTTCTAATTATTTATTTATTTAAACTTTTGTGAGTTAATTAATAAAAATAGAAGTTGTACCTTAACCACGACACCATGGGAACTGGATTTCCGGTGACTTTGGCCACTAATTTGAAGGTACCCTTTTCCGGAACCGTAACTTCCTGGAAGCGTTCGGTGAATAATGGTGGTTCCGGTGCACCACTCGGCATTTCTGCGAAATTTTATTAAAGTTGGATTAAAAATTTCGAAAACTAATTAGAAAATAGAAACGTAAAGAATTTATTAGCAATTATAAGAAAATTGCAATTATAAAAAAATTGTAATTATTAAAAAGCAGTAGCGGTATTAAAAGCACATTCGTACCCTTTTGTTGCGCAGGAAGTGCGTAGCCTTCTTTTGCTAATTCTACCGCTAAAGCAAGCGCAGCTTCAAGAACAGCAGCAGCTGCAATAATTATGAAGCCATAGCGCAAATTTTGTTATTAAACGCGTTAATTGTCCATTTAGTTTTTCAAACAAAATTTGGTTAGTTTTAGATTTTTTTTCAACAATGTAAATAGAACAATTTTTCAGGAATTTTACCTTCAACTGTGAGATTAGCTCGAGTTTCTGCTGTTCCAAGATCATTGGTTGCTACAACTGAATATTCTCCAGAATCAGACAATGTAGGTTGAATTAAAGTTAGAGAATTCATGTCGCCATCTTGTTTTGGAGTGACACCCTTCAATGGTTTTCCATCTTTCAACCATTTGATCTTTGGAGTTGGTTTTCCGACAATTTGTGTTGTTAGAACAACAGTTTCGCCTTCTCTGATGGCAAATGGTTTCAGTGGTTCTAAAATTTCGGGTGGTTCTTGTTCGCCGGTCATCACCTTTTTTGGGGGAAAGAAATTTATTTAAATTTATTGAAATTTGTTAAAATAAATTTATTAAATTAATGAATTGTTAACTATTAAAATTTATAAGTGAGCGAATAATTCTTTTTGGGATTAGTTACCTTTAGAGGGATTTCGATGGTAGCTTCACCTTCTCTATTCTTGGCAACGATCTTGTAACGACCTTCTTGATTCTTTCGAACCTTGGTGATCTTCATGACACTGCAGTACATGTGCATGTCACTCTCAGTAACAACCACTGTATTCTCCTTGCTGGTAATTCGTTTCTCTTCGTAATACCATGTTATTTCCGGTTCTGGTACTGCTACCAGACGACAATCGAGAATTACATTCTGTCCTTCGTCAACGCATTTTGCCTTTGGTTTTCTTGAGAATGTAGGTGGAATTCCCTCCAGGATATCAGCGAGAGATGATTCTCTGTAAAAGTATTAAATTAGTAGAGTAAAGTATTAAAATATATATTAAACTTTAGATTTAAAAAATCATTTAAAAATATGATTTTTGATTAGAATTTACAAAATCTTAAAAATTGCATAAAAATTAGTGGAAAAGATATGGTTTTTGATTAGAAGAAGAGAAAATGAACCTTGATAAACTCTTTCGAGAAAGTCCAGTGCCATCGGAACCGTGATCGGATAGTGGAGCATCAACAGTTAGTTCCGTTGTACTTGAAGCAAATCCAGCTGTATTTTTAGCAACACAGGTAAACATTCCTGCATCTTCCGGGAAAACTTCTCTGATGATGAGAGTTGCAACATTATCTTCGTCGTAGAACATTTGGAAGTCCTGCGATGGTTTGATGATTGCTGTTTGACGGAACCAGGTTATTTGTGGTCTAGGCGAACCTTCTACTTGACATTCAAATTGTACAGTATAGCCGTCGGGTGTGTGAATTGGTTGCAATTTCTCAATGAAGCGTGGAGCAGAAGCCTTCTCCCCTGGAGCTGGTTCTGCAGATTAGGAAAAAAAACGTTATTGTACTCTCCTCTAATTAAAATTATTATCATTCTCTAAATTGTGAATTGAAAGCATTTTAAATTGTTTTAAAGAAGTTATAAATTTATTGCTATATATTTATTTATTGTTGTGTATTATTCATTTATTGTCAAACACTTTTTTTATAGTTTATTAAATTCTATTGACGTACTTTCAAATACTGGAAGTTTATCAATCTTCTCGTTTAGTTTCCGTTGAACGTAGAGTGTATAGTTAGCTTCATCAAGCAAGTATTGAGCTGGTACCCAACCCTTTTCTTGCGTCAAGTGTTTTTTGACGAACCACCAATCGGTGTTTGTATGTTCTGAAAGATCATTAAAATTATTTAACATCATTTGTGTGGATAAAATATTTTATCAGGTAGTAAATTAATTTTACCAATCAAATAAACACGTTCTCCTTCAACTAAATTAATAGCTTCATCTGTTTCCGCCACGTATGAACAAATCGAAAACAGCGTGTCCCCGTCTTTAACCACATATTCGATCTCTGTAACTAAAATACAAAAAATTATGTAACCAATAATTTTTGGTACTATTCAAGAAATTATTGGTACCGTGATAAAGCAGGTGGTACCAACAAGCAACTACTGGTACCATCAAATAATTAATTTTGGAACCATTTGTAAAATTATTGGTATCACTAAAATCTGTTGGTATCATTTGTAAAATTATTGGTATCATTAAAATCTGTTGGTAACATTTGTGAAATTATTAGTTATTTGATGATGAAAAAAACTGTTGGTACCATAGAAAACTTTTAGTACCATCTTGAAACCGCTGGTACCATAAATCAGCTATTGGTACTATTTGCAAAATTAGTGGTACCAACAAAAAAGAAGTTCATAATCAAAAAGCAGTTAGTATAATCGAAAATCAACTGATAAAGAACAGTTATTGGTGATAATAAGTAAAATAAATAAAAGTTTACCTTCTTCCACAATATCTTCTTCCCTGGTGATGCTGAGAGTAGCTTCTTCTACGAACAGAAAAGTTACAATATTAGAAATGTCGAAAAATTACTAAATTCTAATATTTGCTTAGACCGATATGCTTTTCATTCGCAGCTAAAGAAAAAAAATAATTAAATTTTATCAGGAGGAATTGTATAAGGAAGCAATTTACTCACTGGTCGTTGAAACTAAAAATGATTAAATTTAGCAGCAGAGAAATTGTTAGGATTCCTGATAGACAATCTGAAAGCAGTGTTAGAAAGCTGATAATTAATAGCAGTAGTAAATCAATAGAAATATCGAACCTTCATCGAATGTTGAAGGACGTCGTTTTGATTTTAATTTCAAAGCTAATGATTCATCAGCCTCTTCTATTGAATATTTCCTCTCACGTTTTAATGTCATTTTCACATCGTCTTCTTCTATTTCTTCAATTGAATAGGGTTTCGGTTGTTGTTTCTTCTTACGTCTTAATGGTAGATTCATCTCGTCTGTTTCCAATTCATCAATACTGTATTCCTCTTTATCGGATTCGTCGATGATTTCTTCGATTATTGGACCAGTGTCGTCGTCAAATTCTTGAATTATACGAATTGTTTCCTCGCCAGCTTCCTCGGAGTATGTTTGAGGACGTCTCTTTGGTTTGAGTCGCACTTTACCGGACATGGAAATATCTTCCTCCTCGTAGGTGTTCAATGAGATCTTGAATTCTTGCTCGACATCTTCTTTTCTTTTTGTTGTTCGCGGTCTGAAGGTGACAGTTTCTGTTTCGGTGACTTCTTTAATGTCGGTACGTGGCTTTTTCTTTGGTCTGAGTTTACGAATTGTGACGTCTTCGTATATTTCTTCAATTGGTTTGGGAGCTGTTTTTGGTGGGGATTTGCGTTTGAAGGTAAATTCGCCGACAGTTTCTTGTTCTTCAGTGACGTCGACAATTTTCTTGATTGTCAATTCTTCGGCAGCTTCATCAACAGTGGGTTTAGGTTTTGGTTTCTTCTTGAGTTCCACTTCTGCAGAAACTTCTTCTGGTTTTTCTTCTTTTTCTTTTGGTTTAGGCTTTTTGAAGGTAACTTCCTCTGTTACATCCTCAGTCTTTTCTTCTGGTTTAGGTTTCTTGGGTTTTTTCTTTAATGTAACTTCTTGTACCACTTCCTCTTCTGTTTTTTCTTCAATTACTGGTTTCTTTATTGTTAGTTCTTCGGCTGCTTCATCAACTGTTGGTTTTGGCTTTGGTTTCTTCTTTAGTTTAACTTCTTCGGAAACTTCTTCCGGTTTTTGTTCTTTTTCTTCTTCTGGCTTAGGCTTTTTGAAGGTAACTTCCTCTGTTACATCCTCAGTCTTTTCTTCTGGTTTAGGTTTCTTGGGTTTCTTCTTCAATGTAACCTCTTGTACCACTTCCTCTTCTGGTTTTTCTTCAATAACCGGTTTCTTGATTGTTAGTTCTTCAGCAGCTTCATCAACAGTTGGTTTCGGCTTTGGTTTCTTTTTCAGTTCCACTTCTGCGGAAACTTCTTCCGGTTTTTCTACTTTTTCTTCTTCTGGTTTAGGCTTTTTGAAGGTTATTTCTTCAGTAACTTCTTCTGTCTTCTCTTCTTCTTTGGGTTTCTTTGGCTTTTTCTTTAATGTAACTTCTTGTACCACTTCTTCTTCTGGTTTTTCTTCTTTTTCTTCTATTACTGGTTTCTTTATTGTTAATTCTTCTGCAGCTTCATCAACTGTTGGTTTCGGTTTTGGTTTCTTTTTTAGTTTCACTTCTTCAGAAACTTCTTCCGGTCGTTCTTCTTCTTTTTCTTCTGGTTTGGGCTTCTTGAAAGTGATTTCTTCAGAAACTTCTTCCGTTTTCTCTTCTACTTTAGGTTTCTTTGGCTTTTTCTTTAATGTTACTTCCTCTACCACTTCTTCTTCTGGTTTTTCTTCAATAACCGGTTTTTTAATTGTTAATTCTTCAGCAGCTTCATCAACAGTTGGTTTTGGTTTAGGCTTTTTCTTGAGTTTCACTTCTTCAGAGACTTCTTCCGGTTTCTCTTCTTCTTCTTCTGGTTTTGGCTTCTTGAAAGTAATTTCTTCAGTGACTTCTTCAGTCTTCTCTTCTGGTTTAGGTTTCTTTGGTTTCTTCTTTAATGTAACTTCTTCCACCACTGTTTCTTCAACTACTTCTTTCTCTTCAATTATTGGTTTCTTTATTGTCAACTCTTCAGCTCCTTCATCGACAGTTGGTTTTGGTTTTGGCCTTAATTCAAGTTTAACATCCTCTGTGACCTCCTCTGGTTTTTCTTCAACTTTTTCTGGTGCGGGTTTCTTGATAGTTATTTCCTCTGTAACATCTTCGGTCACATCCTCCGGCTTCTTCTTTGGTTTTTTCTTTATTTTCACTTCCTCAACAATTTCCTCCTCAATTACTTCTGTCTCTTCGACGACAGGTTTCTTGATTGTCAACTCTTCAGCTCCTTCATCGACCGTTGGTTTCGGTTTTGGTTTCAATTCTAGTTTAACGTCTTCTGTCACCTCTTCTGGTTTTTCTTCAACTTTTTCTGGTAAGGGTTTCTTGATTGTTATTTCCTCAGTGACATCTTCGGTTACTTCTTCTGGCTTCTTTTTCTTTGGTTTTTTCTTTATTTTAACTTCCTCGACAATTTCCTCCTCAATTACTTCTGTCTCTTCGACGACAGGTTTCTTGATTGTCAACTCTTCAGCTCCTTCATCAATGACCGGTTTCGGCTTTGGTTTTAGTTCCAATTTGACATCTTCCGTAACTTCTTCTGGCTTTTCTGGTACTTTCTCCGGCGAGGGTTTCTTGATAACTATTTCTTCAGTGACATCTTCTGTTACTTCTTCAGGTTTCTTCTTGGGTTTCTTCTTTATTTTCACTTCTTCGATAACTTCTTCTTTGATTACTTCCTTTTCTTCCACAATTGGCTTTTTGATTGTTAATTCGTCCGGAGCTTCATCTATTACTGGTTTTGGTTTTGGTTTCAGTTCTAATTTAACATCTTCAGTGACCTCTTCTGGTTTTTCTTCTTTTTCAGGTGAAGGTTTCTTGATGACTATTTCTTCAGTAACATCTTCGGTTACTTCCTCAGGCTTCTTTTTCTTAGGTTTCTTCTTTATTTTCACTTCTTCGATAACTTCTTCTTCGATTATTTCCTTATCTTCCACAATTGGCTTCTTGATTGTAATTTCATCCGGAGCTTCTTCAGTTACTGGTTTCGGTTTTGGTTTTAGTTCCAATTTGACATCTTCCGTAACTTCTTCTGTCTTTTCTGGTACTTTCTCCGGGGAGGGTTTCTTGATAACTATTTCTTCAGTGACATCTTCTTTCACTTCCTCAGGCTTCTTTTTCTTTGGCTTCTTCTTTATTTTAACTTCTTCGATAATTTCTTCCTCGATTACTTCCTTTTCTTCAACAATTGGTTGTTTGATTGTTATTTCGTCCGGAGCTTCTTCTATTACAGGTTTTGGTTTTGGTTTAAGTTCTAATTTAACATCTTCAGTGACCTCTTCTGGTTTTTCTTCTTTTTCAGGTAAAGGTTTCTTGATGACTATTTCTTCGGTGACATCTTCAGTTACTTCCTCAGGCTTCTTTTTCTTTGGCTTCTTCTTTATTTTAACTTCTTCGATAATTTCTTCTTCGATTACTTCCTCTTCTTCAACAACTGGTTGTTTGATTGTAATTTCGTCCGGAGCTTCTTCTATTACTGGTTTTGGTTTAGGTTTTAGTTCTAATTTAACATCCTCGGAAACTTCTTCCGGTTTTTCTTTTTCTTCTTCTGGAAGAGGCTTTATAAGAACCTCTTCGGTTTCTTCTGTGGGTTTAGTTTTCTTTGGCTTTCTCTTTACTGTCACCTCCTCTTCGATTATTTCCTCCGTTACTTCCTCTTCGGTTGGATGTTTCTTCACTACTGTTACTTCTGTAACTTCTTCAGGCTTTTCCTTCGGTTTCTTCTTCTTGAGTTTGCGGGTAACTGTCACTTCCTCTGTTTCCTCAATTTCTTTCTCAACAACTTCGGATTCTTTAGGGAAATAATCTGTACCTTCTTCTTCTGGTTTATCCTTCTTCCATCCCTTAAGAGTAACAGTCTCAGGTTGTTCTTCCGGTTTCTCAGAGGTGGGAATTCGGAATTTAACATCTGGTTGTTCTTCAGGCTCCTCAGGTTTTGGTTTTCCTTTTTCAATTGGAACTTTCTCGATTTCTTGCTCTGGTTTTTCTTTCTTAGGCCGCTTGTACGGTTTGGGGACTTTTTCTTCTTCCGGTTTTTCTGGTTTCTCCTCTTCTGGTGGTACGTACTGTTCAAGTTCGGGTCTCTCAAAATCTGTTGGTTTGAAATCCTCCGGTTCGAGTTTAGGTACTTTTTCTGATTTTTTCTTCTTAGGGACATCTTCCTCAGGAACTTCAGGTTTTGGTTTCTTTAGAGTAACTTCTTCTTCCTCAGGTACCTTATCCGGGATCTTCTTTAATTTCACATCTTGCGGTTGCTCTTCCTCCTTCTCCGGAACTTTACCTTTGCCTATTTTTATTTTTTCCTTGGGCTTCTCTTCCTCCTTGGGTTTCTTAGGTTGACGTTCGTAAATCGATTTATCTTCAATTTTCTCCAAGGGTACCTTCTTCAATTCTTCGAATTCTTGATCTAATTTTTCCAGTTCGGTAATTTCTTTCTCGGGTAATTTCGGTTTTTTGTACTTCTTCTTCAAAACCTTCAGGGCTTCCTCTGTGTTTCTTGATAGTTCTCCAGCTTGAATAGGATTTTCTTCGAGAATTGTGATTTTTGGTAGTTGAAGTTTGGAGGGGAAATCATCAATGATTGTAATGCGACTCTTGAGGAGAAATTTGGGTACTTTTGAGCTTTTTGATTCTCTTCGTTTTGGTGCGGGTGCCTTCTTTAGTTTTATTTCAGCAAATTGAACAACTTCTGTTGGTTGAGAGTAAACCAATTTGGTAGGTTTTACTTCCTTTCGTTCGATTTTAAGTGGTTGTAACTTTTCGGCAACTAGTGGAACTGGTTTGTCTTCCTTCTTCTTTTTACTGGGTACAAATGGAACTTTCTCTGGCATAGCTTCTAGGACGGGTCTTTCATATTCTGGTTCAACCCACTCGTCGATGTCATCTTTCTTTGGTGCTGGCTTCTTTTTCTTTTTCTTCACTATCTTTGTTTCGGTTATTTCCTCAGTTGTCTTTATTTCTTCCAAATCAGCCGGTTTTGGACTTTCTTCAATTTTGGGAACTTCTTCCTCTGGAGCTTCTGTAACTTCTGGAACAATCTTTGGAATTTCTTCAACTTTTGGAACTTCGTCAACCTTGGGAACTTCATCAACCTTTGGAATTACTACAGGTGACTCTTCAGTTTCTGGCGCCTCTTTTTCAATATCTTCCTTTGGTTTGACTTTCTTTTCTTTTGGTACCTTCTTCTTTGTTTTGGGCTTAGTTACCTCTTCTTCGACTTCTTCCTCAGGTTGTTTGTCTTCAGGTTTGAATTTAAGATCCGCTTCTACTTCGGGCACCTTTTCTTCTTCTGGCTTATCTTTCTTCCATGGCTTCAACGTAATTTCGTCAGGAACTTCTTCCGGTTTCTTACCAATAGGAATTCGGAATTTCACATCCGGTTGTTCTTCCGGTTCTTGAGGTTTAGGTATACCCTTTTCGATAGGAACTTGCTCCAATTCTGGTTCAGGTTTCTTTTTCTTTGGTTTTTCGTAAGGTTGGGGAACTTTTTCTTCTTCTGGCTTCTCGGGTGTTTCTTCTTCAGGAGGAACGTATTTTTCGAGTTCTGGCCTCTCAAAATCGGTTGGCTGGAAGTCCTCCGGTTTTAGTTTTGGCTTCTTCTCCGATTTCTTCTTCTTTGGAACATCTTCCTCAGGAACTGTAGTTTTCGGTTTTTTGGGAACAGTTTCCTCTTCTTCGGGCACCTTCTCTGGAACCTTTTTCAATTTCACATCTTCCGGTTGCTCTTCCTCCTTCTCCGGAACTTTACCTTTGCCTATTTTTATTTTTTCCTTGGGCTTCTCTTCCTCCTTGGGTTTCTTAGGTTGACGTTCGTAAATCGATTTGTCCTCAATCTGTTCAAGAGGAACCTTTTTCAATTCCTCGAATTCTTGATCTAATTTTTCTAACTCGGTAATTTGCTTCTTTGGTAATTTCGGCTTCTTGAATTTCTTCTTCAGAACTTCTAGAGCTTCTTCTGCATTTCTTGATAGTTCTCCAGCTTGAATAGGATTTTCTTCGAGAATTGTGATTTTTGGTAGTTGAAGTTTGGAGGGGAAATCATCAATGAATGTAATGCGACTCTTTAGGAGAAATTTGGGTATTTTTGAGCTTTTTGATTCTCTTCGTTTTGGTGCGGGTGCCTTCTTTAGTTTTATTTCTGCAAATTGTATAACTTCTGTTGGTTGAGAGTAGATCAATTTGGTTGGTTTGATTTCTTTTCGTTCAATTTTCATAGGAGTCATCTCTTGCGCAGTTTCGGGAACAGGCTTTGGAAGCTTCTTTTTCTTACTTGGTGTAAATTCAATTTTCTCTGGCATTGGTTCCAAGACGGGTCTTTCGTACTCTGGTTCAACCCAATCGTAAATGTCATCCTTCTTTGCAGGTTTCTTCTTTTTCTTCTTCAACTTCTTTTCTGGAACTTCCTCCGTTGGTTGTTCCTCAGGAACGGTTTCGATTTCCTGTTCAAGAACTTCTTCAGGAACTTTCTCTTCTGGCTTTTCTTCAGGAACTTCAGGAATTTCTGCAGGAGTAACTTCATCTTCCTTTTGAACATCAGTTTTCACCTCTTCGGGAGTTTCTGTTGTAACTTTCTTCTTCTTTTTCTTTGGTGCTTTCTCTGTTGGTGTTTCGGTCATAATCACCTTATCTTCCTCTTCTTCGACAATTGGTTTTGCTTGCTCCTCGGACGGTATTTCTTCCGATGGTAGTTGGTCTAAAGTTTCTCCTGGAACAACTTCTGTTGTTTCCAGATTTTCCTTCGGAATTACCTTCTTTTTGCCTTTGGACTTTTCGGGTTTCGTAAGAATTACGTCTTCTGTGATTTCTTCAACTTCTTGTAGTTCTTCGGTAATTGCGTCCTTTTCAGCTGGTAGTTCAACATCCTTTGGTTTGACTTTCTTTTCCTTTGGTACCTTCTTCTTTATTTTGGTTTTAGTGACTTCTTCTTCCACTTCCTCATCTGGTTGTTTGTCTTCAGGTTTGAATTTAAGATCCGCCTCTACTTCGGAAACCTTTTCTTCTTCTGGTTTCTCTTTCTTCCAAGGCTTAAGAGTAATATCTTCAGGTACTTCTTCCGGTTTCTTACCAACGGGAATTCGGAATTTAACATCTGGTTGTTCTTCCAGTTCTTGTGGTTTAGGAATTCCTTTTTCGATCGGAACTTGTTCCAATTCTGGTTCAGGTTTCTTCTTCTTTGGACGTTTATATGGTTTGGTAACATCCTCTTCTTCTGGTTTGTCAGGTTTTTCTTCCTCTGGTGGTACATACTCTTCAAGTTCCGGTCTTTCGAAATCTGTTGGTTGGAAGTCCTCCGGTTTTAGTTTTGGTTTCTTTTCGGATTTCTTCTTTTTCGGGACCTCTTCGGTTGTTTCGGTAGGTTTCGGTTTCTTGGGAATAGTTACCTCTTCCTCTGGTACCTTTTCTGGAATCTTTTTCAATTTTACATCTTCCGGTTGCTCTTCCTCCTTCTCCGGAACTTTACCTTTACCTATTTTTATTTTTTCCTTGGGTTTTTCTTCCTCTTTGGGTTTCTTAGGTTGGCGTTCGTAAATAGATTTGTCCTCAAGTTGCTCAAGAGGGACCTTCTTCAATTCCTCAAATTCTTGATCCAACTTTTCCAATTCGGTAATTTCCTTCTTTGGTAATTTCGGCTTCTTGTATTTTTTCTTCAGAACTTCTAGAGCTTCTTCTGCATTTCTTGATAGTTCTCCTACCTGAATTGGATTTTCCTCCAAAATGGTTATTTGTGGTAGTTGAAGTTTTGAAGGGAAATCATCGATGAATGTAATGCGACTCTTTAGTCTTATTTTAGGAACCTTTGCGCTCTTGGACTCACGTCGTTTTGGAGCGGGAGCTTTCTTTAGTTTTATTTCAGCAAATTGAACAACTTCTGATGGTTGAGAGTAAATTAATTTTGTGGGTTTAATTTCTTTACGTTCTATTGTGATGGGAGTTAACTGTTGCGCACTTTCAGGAACCGGCTTTGGAAGTTTCTTTTTCTTACTTGGTGTGAATTCAATTTTTTCTGGCATTGGTTCCAAGACAGGTCTTTCGTACTCTGGTTCAACCCAATCGTAAATGTCATCCTTCTTTGCAGGTTTCTTCTTTTTCTTTTTCAACTTCTTTTCTGTCACTTCTTCTGATGGTTGCTCTTCAGGAACAATTTCAGTTACTTCTTGTTCTTCTGTAGGTTGTTTTTCAATTTCTGCCTCTGGAATTTCTTCAGGAGCTGCTTCGGATGGTTTTTCTTGGTCTTCCAATTTTTCGGTTGGGACTTTCTTCTTTTTCTTTTTTACCTTTTCAGTTTTGATTTCAGTTACTTCTTCCTCTTCTTCTTTAGTTGAGTCTACGATCTCTGGAACTTTCTCTTCGGGTGTTTCTTCAGGAGCAACTTCTGTTGGTTTTTCAACATCTTCAGGCGTTTCTGTTGGAACTTTCTTCTTTTTCTTCTTAGGTACCTTAGCAGTTGGAGTTTCGGTGATGATCAATTCTTCTTCCTTTTCTTCTTCAGTTGGTTTTGCTGTCTCTTCAGTTGGTACTACTTCTGATAATTGTTCTAAAGTTTCGTCTAGAACAACTTCGGTTGTCTCAAGAGTCTCTTTGGGGATTACCTTCTTTTTGCCTTTGGACTTTTCTGGTTTGGTGAAAATTACGTCTTCGGTTATTTCTTCAACTTCTTGTAGTTCTTCGGTAATTGCATCCTTTTCAGTTGGTAGTTCAACATCCTTTGGTTTGACTTTCTTTTCCTTTGGTACCTTCTTCTTTGTTTTGGGCTTAGTCACTTCTTCTTCGACTTCTTCATCAGGTTTTTTATCCTCAGGAATAAACTTCAATTCTGGAGATTCTTCGGCCGATTTTTCTTCTTCTGGTTTCTCTTTCTTCCAAGGCTTGAGGGTAATTTCTTCAGGTACTTCTTCCGGTTTCTTACCAACGGGAATTCGGAATTTAACATCTGGTTGTTCTTCCGGTTCTTGTGGTTTAGGAATTCCTTTTTCGATCGGAACTTGTTCTAATTCTGGTTCAGGTTTCTTCTTCTTTGGACGTTTATATGGTTTGGTAACATCCTCTTCTTCTGGTTTTTCAGGTTTCTCTTCCTCTGGTGGTACATACTCTTCAAGTTCCGGTCTTTCGAAATCTGTCGGTTGGAAGTCTTCCGGTTTTAGTTTTGGTTTCTTTTCGGATTTCTTCTTTTTCGGGACCTCTTCGGTTGTTTCAGTAGGTTTCGGTTTCTTGGGAATAGTTACCTCTTCCTCTGGTACCTTTTCCGGAATCTTTTTCAATTTTACATCTTCCGGTTGCTCTTCCTCCTTCTCTGGAACTTTACCCTTGCCTATTTTTATCTTCTCTTTAGGCTTTTCTTCCTCCTTTGGTTTTTTAGGTTGACGTTCGTAAATAGATTTATCCTCAATCTGCTCAAGAGGAACCTTCTTCAATTCCTCAAATTCTTGATCCAACTTTTCCAAATCGGTAATTTCCTTCTTTGGTAATTTCGGTTTCTTGTATTTTTTCTTCAGAACTTCTAGAGCTTCTTCTGCATTTCGTGATAGTTCTCCAACTTGAATAGGATTTTCTTCTATAATTGTGATTGTTGGTAGTTGAAGTTTCGAAGGGAAATCATCAATAAATGTAATACGACTCTTTAGTCTTATTTTTGGAACCTTTGTGCTCTTGGACTCTCGTCGTTTTGGAATTGTAACCTTCTTTAACTTAATTTCAGCAAATTGGACAACTTCAGTGGGTTTGGAGTAAACTAGTTTGGTTGGTTTGATCTCCTTTCTTTCTATTTCAATTGGAACCAATTGCTCTGCTTTCTGAGGAGCTGGTAATTTTTCTTTTCGTTTCTTACTGGGTACAAATGGCACTTTCTCTGGTATAGGTTCTAGAACTGGTCTTTCATATTCCGGTTCTACCCATTCTTCGATTTCTTCTTTCTTTGGAGTTGGTTTCTTCTTTTTCTTTTTTATCTTCTTTTCTGTGACTTCTTGTTCTTCGGTAATCTTTTCAGTTTCGACTGTTATTTCTTCGGGTGCTGATTCTTCGGGTCTTTCGGGACTAATTTCCTTCTCCGTCGGACGTTCTTCAATTGTAACCTTCTTTTTAACTTTTCGCCTCTTTGAATCCTGTACAAGAATACCTGTTATCTTGACTTTCTCGGGTTGATCAACTGTTTCCAATGCTTCCTCAGTTTGTGGGATTTCTTCAGGAATATCATCTGTTTTTTGCTCGGGAATTATTTCTGTTGTTGTTATACTGTCCTTGGGAATAACTTCCTTCTTTGCTTTCACTTTCTTTGGTTTCTTTACTTCAATTTCTTTGGTTTCGTCCTGAAGGATAACTTCTGTTATTTCGACTGCTTCATTTTCATCAACAAAAGCGTGAGCTATTTTTTCGGTTGGTTTGTCGAGTACAATTACTTCGATAACTTCATCGGGAATAGTATCTTCAGATGGCAGAGCCTTTTTCTTTTTCTTCTTAACAACTTTCTTTGTTGGTGTTTCGATAATTTCGACAATTTCTTGTTCCACCATTTTTATCGTATCTTCAATTGGTGTATCAGTGATTTCTTCAATAACCTTTTCTTCCTCTCCCTTTTTAGTTGGTTTCTTCTTCTTCTTTACTATCCGTTTTTCTGGTGTTTCGATCACTTGAATGATCTCATCTTCTATTATATCTTCTTTCGTTAACAAATCTGGAATTTCCTTGATGTTTACTTCTATTATTTCTGCAGTATCAAGTTCCTCAAGTTTGGGCTTTGCTTTCTTCTTTAGTGGCTTCTCGATAACAATCTCCTGGATTGTTTCTTCAGGAACTTTGTCCTCGGTGATTCGTGCCTTCTTCTTTCGTATGATTTTCTTTGTGGGTGTTTCGATAATTTCGACAATTTCCTGTTCCTGCATAACGACGACATCTTCAATTGGTGTTTCGGTTACTTCTTCAAATACCTTTGTTTCTTCGCCCTTCTTTGTTGGTTTCTTCTTCTTCTTTACAATCTTCTTCTCTGGTGTTTGAGTCACTTCGATAATTTCTTCCTCCTCTGTTACAATTTCTTTCTTAATTAGATCCGGTAACTTTTTAACGTCAATTTCCGTAATTTGTACAGTTTCCAATTCTTCAACAATTGGTTTCGCTTTCTTTTTGGAAGGCTTATCGATTACTATTTCTTCAATTGTTTCCTCTGGAATATTATCTTCAGTAATGTGTGCTTTCTTTTTTCGAATGATTTTCTTTGTTGGTGTTTCGATAATTTCGACAATTTCTTGCTCCTCCATGACAATTACATCCTCGATCGGAGTTTCTGTGATCTCTTCAGTAATCACTGGTTTTTCACCCTTCTTCGTTGGTTTCTTCTTTTTCTTAACAATCTTCTTTTCTGGTGTTTCAATCACTTCGATTATTTCCTCTTCTTCTGTTACAACTTCTTTCTTTATTAAGTCTGGTAACTTTTTCACATCGATTTCAGTTATTTTTGCTGTATCCAATTCCTCAACTTTAGGTTTCGCTTTCTTCTTTATTGGCTTTTCGATGACAATTTCCTGAATTGTTTCTTCGGGCATTTTATCTTCGGTGATACGGGCTTTCTTTTTGCGTATAATTTTCTTTGTGGGTGTTTCAACGATTTCGACAATTTCTTGTTCCTCCATGACGATGACATCTTCAATTGGTGTTTCGGTTACTTCTTCAATTACCTTTGTTTCTTCGCCTTTCTTTGTTGGTTTCTTCTTTTTCTTTACGATCTTTTTCTCTGGTGTTTGAGTAATTTCGATAATTTCTTCTTCCTCCGTTACAATTTCTTTTTTAATCAGATCTGGCAATTTTTTAACGTCGATTTCTGTAATTTCGGCTTTTTCAAGTTTTTCTACTTTTGGTTTAGCTTTCTTCTTTGTTGGCTTTTCGATAATAATTTCATGGATCATTTCCTCCGGAATTTTGTCTTCGGATATTTGGGCTGTTTTCTTTCGTATTATTTTCTTTGTTGGTGTTTCGATTATTTCTATTATTTCCTGCTCTTCCATGACAATGACATCTTCAATTGGAGTTTCGGTTATTTCTTCAGTTACCTGTGGTTTTTCGCCCTTCTTTTTGGGTTTCTTCGTTTTCTTAACAATCTTCTTTTCTGGTGTTTGAGTTACTTCGATTATTTCTTCTTCCTCTGTTACAATTTCCTTTTCAATTAAATCTGGTAATTTTTTAATGTCAACCTCGGTGATTTTGATTGTATCTAATTCTTCAGTTTTAGGTTTTGCTTTTTCTTTTGATGGTTTGTCGATGATAAACTCTTCTATTGTTTCTTCAGGAATATTGTCTTCGGTAATTTGGGCCTTCTTTTTGCGTACTATTTTTTTCGTTGGTGTTTCAATTATTTCGATGATTTCCTGTTCCTCCATGACGACGACATCTTCAATTGGTGTTTCCGTTATTTCTTCAATTATTTTTGTCTTCTCGCCTTTCTTTGTTGGTTTCTTCTTCTTTTTCACAATTCTCTTTTCTGGAGTTTCCGTCACCTCGATTATTTCTTCTTCCTCAGTGATTTCAATTTTCTCGATTAGTTCTGGTAATTTTTTCACGTCAATTTCTGTAATTTTGATTGTATCTAATTCTTCAATTTTTGGTTTTGCTTTCTTCTTGGTTGGTTTCTCGATAACGATCTCTTCTATTGATTCTTCGGGTATATTGTCTTCGGAAATTTGTGCCTTTTTCTTTCGAATCACTTTCCTTGTGGGTGTTTCAATGATTTCAACAATTTCCTGTTCCTCCATCACGACTACATCTTCAATCGGTGTTTCTGTTATCTCTTCAATTACTTTCGTCACTTCACCCTTTTTAATTGGCTTCTTCTTCTTTTTCACGATCTTCTTTTCTGGAGTTTGAATTATTTCGATTATTTCCTCTTCTTCAGTTATAATTTCTTTCTTGATTAAATCAGGTAGCTTCTTGACATCGATCTCAGTGATTTCAACAGTATCAAGTTCTTCGACTATTGGTTTTGCTTTTTGTTTCTTTGGAGTTTCTGTTATTAGTTCCTCTACAATTTCTTCAGTCACATCTTCTTTGTCTTTACGTGGTGTTTTCTTCTTTATTTTCTTTGTCACGATTTCTTCAACGATTTCCTGTAAAATTTAAGATTGTAATTATAATCCAAATTTTAAATCGCAAATTTCTAGGTACTAAAAATTTAAATTCTTTATTGAAATAAACTGTGCTTTTTTTAATCTATAATTTTACTATTATTTAGAAAGTAATTATTGCTTTTTATGACTTGAAAAAAGAAAATGTTTATCAGTAAAAAACATATGGAGCAAGTACTTACTGTTTCTTGTTTCTCCTCAGTTACATCTGGAAAAATAAGATTTTATGAAAGAAGGAACGATTTTTTATTTTCTTTATTTTTGCTTTCATGAAAAGTTAAAAGTATTTTTAAAAATTAATAGTGAAGATATAAGAAATGTATATAATGTACGTTTGTAGGTTTATAAATTGTTTAGTGAATAGATAGTAGTATTTATAAATAGTATATATTATGTGATATCAGATAAGTAGAAAGTGTAGAAATTAGAGAATCATTAGACTGTGTGAGCTTACCTTCTGGTTTTTTATTGTCATCATGGATTTGTGGTGTTGAAGTAGTGTGTTTCGGTTTTTTGTGTAATGGAGTAGTGTCTTCAAAATCAACAGTTAGAGTAGTAACTGGTTCTTTACCTTCCTCCTCAACAGTTATCGTTTCCAAAACTTGTGCTTTACCTTCACGAAGTTTAGTAACACGTTTTTTTCGAATTTTCCTAGGCTTTTGATCATTAGTTTTTACATCAGATATAAAAACTTCTTCATGCGTTTCTTCAACCACAACAGGAGCGAATTTTTCAATTACAGGAATTTCACCTAAATCTATATCTTCTTCCTTTACCACAACCTCTTCAAGTACTTCAGGCACATTGTCCTTTAGAGTTTTTATTATCTTCTTTTTGGTTATTCGTCGTTTCTTTTCGTTAGGAAGTATGTCTTCAGTTGTGATGGTATCAATAACTTCAACAAGATTATCATCAGGAGAAACTTCTTCGTCAGATTTATCTTCTTTACCTTTAGGAATTTTCTTCTTTGGTTTACGTTTCTTCTTACTTTCTTCCTCCACTTCTTCTTCAGGTTTTTTATCCTCTGGAGTAAACTTCAATTCAGGAGTTTCTTCAGTTGATTTCTCTTCTTCTGGTTTATCTTTCTTCCAAGGCTTAAGAGTAATTTTTTCAGGTACTTCTTCAGACTTCTTTCCAACAGGAATTCTGAATTTAACATCAGGTTGTTCTTCTGGTTCCTCAGGTTTTGGTATGCCCTTCTCGATTGGAACTTGTTCCATCTCTGGTTCAGGTTTCTTTTTCTTTGGTCGTTTATATGGTTTCGTAACTTCTTCTTCTTCTGGTTTCTCAGGTTTTTCTTCCTCTGGTGGTACATACTCTTCAAGTTCTGGTCTTTCAAAATCTGTAGGTTGGAAGTCTGCCGGTTTCAGTTTTGGCTTCTTTTCAGATTTTTTCTTTTTAGGAACATCTTCAGTTGTTTCTGTTGTTTTCGGTTTTTTTAAAACTACTGTTTCTTCCTCATGTTTTTTCTCCGGAATCTTCTTTAGATCAACTTTCTCTGGAGTTTCTATCTGTTCATCAGGGAATTTTCCTTTACCTAATCTGATTTTATCTTTTGGTTTCTCTTCATCTTTCGGTTTCTTAGGTTTTCGTTCATACAAAGATTTGTCTTCTACCTGCTCCAAAGGAATTTTCTTCAAATCTTCGAATTCGTTGTCTAATTTTTCTAAATCAGCGAGTTCCTTTTCAGGCAACTTAGACTTTTTAGATTTCCGTTTCAGTATTTTTAGAGCTTCTTCAGTGTTTCTTGATAAAATACCAGCTTGCAATGGATTTTCCTCCAACATAGTAATTTTAAGAAATTGTAATTCGGCAGGAAAATCATTTATGAAGGTAATACGACTTCTTAACCTAATTTTTGGGACTTTCTTACTTTTTGGAATTTTAGCTTTCGATACAGTAGTTTTCCTCAATTTCACTTCAGCAAAATGTTCAACATCAGCAAACCTCGAAACAATTACTCTAGTAGGTTTAACATCTTTCCTAATGATTTTCATTGGAACTAATGGTAGCACAACATCTGAAGAAGGTTTCAAATCATCAGTTACATCTTCCTCTGATTTCACAATAACTTCCGTAACTGGGGCCTTTCCTTCTTCTTCAATAGTAACAGTTTCTGTTACTTGTTGTCTCTTTCCTTTTCTCTTGATCAACTTCTTCTTTGTTACTTTTCTTGGCTTGCCTTGCTCCGTAATCTCCTCAGTGACTGTGACTTGTTCTTTCACTGATTCTACCTCAGATGGTTTTACAAACTCTTCAGATGGCAACTCTTCAATCGTTTCTTCAGATACTTCTTCTTCTGGTTTCTCAATAACTTCAGTAACTGGTGCCTTTCCTTCTTCTTCAACAGTTACAGTGTCTATTACTTTTTGCTTCTTTCCTTTCCTTCTAATTACCTTCTTCTTAGTTACTTTTCGTGGCTTGCCTTGTTTAGTAATCTCTTCAGTTACTGTTACATATTCTCTTACAGATTCCACTTCTGAAGGTTTGACAAACTCTTCAGATGGCAACTCTTCAATCGTTTCTTCAGATACTTCTTCTTCCGGTTTCTCAATAACTTCAGTAACTGGTGCCTTTCCTTCTTCTTCAACTGTTACTGTTTCTGTTACTTGTTGTTTTCTTCCTTTCCTGCGGATCACTTTTTTCTTTGTTACTTTCCTTGGTTTGCCTTGCTTAGTAATCTCTTCAGTTACAGTTATTTGTTCTTTCACTGATTCCACTTCTGATGGTTTTATAAACTTTGTAATAGGTCCTTCCACAATCATTTCATCTGTTACTTCTTCTTCAGGTTTTTCAATCACTTCAGTTATAGGAGCTTTACCTTCTTCTTCAACAGTAACAGTTTCTGTTATTTGTTGTTTCTTTCCTTTCCTCCTGATCACTTTTTTCTTAGTTACTTTTCGTGGCTTGCCTTGTTTAGTAATCTCTTCAGTTACTGTTACTTGTTCTTTAACTGATTCTATCTCAGACGGTTTAACAAACTCTACAACTGGCATCTCTGTTATGATGTCATCTGTTGCTTCCTCTTCTGGTTTTTCAATGACCTCAGTAACTGGTGCTTTACCTTCTTCTTCAACAGTAACAGTTTCTGTTATTTGTTGTTTCTTTCCTTTCCTCCTAATCACTTTTTTCTTAGTTACTTTCTGTGGCTTGCCTTGCTTCGTAATCTCTTCAGTGACTGTGACTTGTTCTTTCACTGATTCTACCTCAGATGGTTTTACAAACTCTTCAGATGGGAACTCCTCAATCGTTTCTTCAGATATTTCTTCTTCTGGTTTCTCAATAACTTCAGTAACTGGTGCCTTTCCATCTTCTTCAACTGTTACTGTTTCTGTTACTTGTTGTTTCCTTCCTTTCCTTCGAATCACTTTTTTTTTTGTTACTTTTCTTGACTTGCCTTGCTTAGTAATTTCTTCCGTAACTGTTACTTGTTCTTTAACTGATTCTACTTCTGATGGTTTTACAAACTGTGTAACAGGTATTTCCTTAACAAATTCATCAGTTACTTCCTCTTCAGGTTTCTCAATAACTTCTGTAACAGGTGCTTTTCCTTCTTCTTCAACAGTTACAGTTTCTGTTACTCGTTGCTTTTGTCCTTTCCTTCTAATGACCTTTTTCTTAGTAACTTTTCGTGGCTTGCCTTGTTTAGTAATCTCTTCAGTGACTGTGACTTGTTCTCTTACAGATTCCACTTCTGAAGGTTTAACAAACTTTTCAACTGGTAAATCCTCAATCAACTCATCAGTTACTTCTTCTTCCGGTTTCTCAATAACTTCAGTAACTGGTGCCTTTCCTTCTTCTTCAACTGTTACTGTTTCTGTTACTTGTTGTTTTCTTCCTTTCCTGCGGATCACTTTTTTCTTTGTTACTTTCCTTGGTTTGCCTTGCTTAGTAATCTCCTCAGTTACAGTTACTTGTTCTTTCACTGATTCCACTTCTGATGGTTTTATAAACTTTGTAACAGGTCCTTCTGCAATCATTTCATCTGTTACTTCTCCTTCAGGTTTTTCAATCACTTCAGTTATAGGAGCTTTACCTTCTTCTTCAACAGTAACAGTTTCTGTTATTTGTTGTTTCTTTCCTTTCCTCCTGATCACTTTTTTCTTAGTTACTTTTCGTGGCTTGCCTTGCTTAGTAATCTCTTCAGTTACTGTTACTTGTTCTTTAACTGATTCTATCTCAGACGGCTTAACAAACTCTACAACTGGCATCTCTGTTATGATGTCATCTGTTGCTTCCTCTTCTGGTTTTATATTGACCTCAGTAACTGGTGCTTTTCCTTCTTCTTCAAGAGTAACAGTTTCGGTTACTTGTTGTTTCTTTCCTTTTCTTCTAATCACCTTCTTCTTAGTTACTTTCCGTGGCTTGCCTTGCTTCGTAATCTCTTCAGTGACTGTGACTTGTTCTCTTACAGATTCCACATCTGAAAGTTTAACAAACTTTTCAACTGGTAAATCCTCAATCATTTCATCTGTTATTTCTTCTTCAGGTTTTTCAATCACTTCAGTTATAGGAGCTTTACCTTCTTCTTCAACAGTAACAGTTTCTGTTATTTGTTGTTTCTTTCCTTTCCTCCTGATCACTTTTTTCTTAGTTACTTTTCGTGGCTTGCCTTGTTTAGTAATCTCTTCAGTTACTAATACTTGTTCTTTAACTGATTCTATCTCAGACGGTTTAACAAACTCTATAACTGGCATCTCTGTTATGATGTCATCTGTTGCTTCCTCTTCTGGTTGTTCAATGACCTCAGTAACTGGTGCTTTACCTTCTTCTTCAACAGTAACAGTTTCTGTTATTTGTTGTTTCTTTCCTTTCTTCCTGATCACTTTTTTCTTAGTTACTTTTCGTGGCTTGCCTTGCTTAGTAATTTCTTCCGTAACTGTTACTTGTTCTTTAACTGATTCTACTTCTGATGGTTTTACAAACTGTGTAACAGGTATTTCCTTAACAAATTCATCAGTTACTTCCTCTTCAGGTTTCTCAATAACTTCTGTAACAGGTGCTTTTCCTTCTTCTTCAACAGTTACAGTTTCAGTTACTTGTTGCTTTTGTCCTTTCCTTCTAATGACCTTTTTCTTAGTAACTTTTCGTGGCTTGCCTTGTTTAGTAATCTCTTCAGTGACTGTGACTTGTTCTTTCACTGATTCTACCTCAGATGGTTTAACAAACTCTTCGGATGGCAACTCTTCAATCGTTTCTTCAGATACTTCTTTTTCTGGTTTCTCAATAACTTCAGTAACTGGTGCCTTTCCTTCTTCTTCAACTGTTACTGTTTCTGTTACTTGTCGTTTCCTTCCTTTCCTTCGGATCACTTTTTTCTTTGTTACTTTTCTTGGCTTGCCTTGTTTAGTAACTTCTTCAGTGACAGTAACTTGTTCTATTACTGATTCAACATCAGATGGTTTAACAAACTCTACAACAGGCATGTGTTTTATGATCTCATCAGTTACTTCTTCTTCCGGTTTCTCAATAACTTCAGTAACTGGTGCCTTTCCTTCTTCTTCAATTATTACTGTTTCTGTTACTTGTTGTTTCTTTCCTTTCCTTCTAATCACCTTCTTTTTAGTTATTTTTCTGGGCTTGCCTTGTTTAGTAACTTCTTCAGTGACTGTAACTTCTTCTTTTACTGATTCAACTTCGGATGGTTTAACAAACTCTACAACAGGCATCTCTGTTATGATGTCATCTGTTACTTCTTCTTCTGGTTTTTCAATAACTTTAGTAACTGGAGCTTTTCCTTCTTCTTCAACAGTAACAGTTTCTGTTACTTGTTGCTTCTTTCCTTTTGTTCTTATCACCTTCTTCTTCGTTACTTTTCTCGGTTTGCCTTGTTTTGTAATTTCTTCAGTTACTGTTACTTGTTCTCTTACTGATTCCACTTCTGAAGGTTTAACAAACTTTTCAACTGGTAAATCCTCAATTAACTCATCAGTTACTTCTTCTTCTGGTTTTTCAATGACTTCAGTAACTGGAGCCTTTCCTTCTTCTTCAATTATTACTGTTTCTGTTACTTGTTGCTTCTGTCCTTTCCTTCTAATCACCTTCTTCCTCGTTACTTTTCGTGGCTTGCCTTGCTTAGTTATCTCTTCTGTGACTGTGACATATTCTTTCACTGATTCTACCTCAGATGGTTTAACAAACACTTCAGATGGCAACTCTTCAATCGTTTCTTCAAATACTTCTTCTTCTGGTTTCTCAATAACTTCAGTAACTGGTGCCTTTCCTTTTTCTTCAACAGTTACAGTTTCTGTTACTTGTTGTTTCTTTCCTTTCCTTCTAATCACCTTCTTCCTCGTTACTTTTCGTGGCTTGCCTTGCTTAGTAATTTCTTCCGTAACTGTTACTTGTTCTTTAACTGATTCTACTTCTGATGGTTTTACAAACTGTGTAACAGGTATTTCTTTAATAAATTCATCAGTTACTTCCTCTTCAGGTTTTTCAATAACTTCTGTAACAGGTGCTTTTCCTTCTTCTTCAACAGTTACAGTTTCAGTTACTTGTTGCTTTTGTCCTTTCCTTCTAATGACCTTTTTCTTAGTAACTTTTCGTGGTTTGCCTTGTTTAGTAATCTCTTCAGTGACAGTGACTTGTTCTTTCACTGATTCTACCTCAGATGGTTTAACAAACTCTTTGGATGGCAACTCTTCAATCGTTTCTTCAGATACTTCTTCTTCTGGTTTCTCAATAACTTCAGTAACTGGTGCCTTTCCTTCTTCTTCAACAGTTACAGTTTCTGTTACTTGTTGCTTCTTTCCTTTTCTTCTAATTACCTTCTTCTTAGTTACTTTTCGTGGCTTGCCTTGTTTAGTAATCTCTTCAGTTACTGTTACATGTTCTCTTACTGATTCCACTTCTAAAGGTTTGACAAACTTTTCAACTGGTAAATCCTCAATCAACTCATCAGTTACTTCTTCTTCAGGTTTTTCAATGACTTCAGTAACTGGAGCTTTTCCATCTTCTTCAACAGTAACAGTTTCTGTTACTTGTTGTTTCCTTCCTTTCCTTCGGATCATTTTTTTCTTTGTTACTTTTCGTGGCTTGCCTTGTTTAGTAATCTCTTCAGTGACTGTGACTTGTTCTTTCACTGATTCTACCTCAGATGGTTTAACAAACTCTTTGGATGGCAACTCTTCAATCGTTTCTTCAAATACTTCTTCTTCTGGTTTCTCAATAACTTCAGTAACTGGTGCCTTTCCTTCTTCTTCAACAGTTACAGTTTCTGTTACTTGTTGCTTCTTTCCTTTTCTTCTAATTACCTTCTTCTTAGTTACTTTTCGTGGCTTGCCTTGTTTAGTAATCTCTTCAGTTACTGTTACATATTCTCTTACTGATTCCACTTCTGAAGGTTTGACAAACTTTTTAACTGGTAAATCCTCAATCAACTCATCAGTTACTTCTTCTTCTTCTGGTTTTTCAATAACTTTAATAATCGGAGCCTTTCCTTCTTCTTCAACTGTAACAGTTTCTGTTACTTTTTGTTTCTTTCCTTTCATTCTAATCACCTTCTTTTTAGTTATTTTTCTGGGCTTGCCTTGTTTAGTAACTTCTTTAGTGACTGTAACTTCTTCTTTTACTGATTCAACATCGGATAGTTTAACAAACTCTACAACAGGCATCTCTGTTATGATGTCATCTGTTACTTCTTCTTCTGGTTTTTCAATAACTTTAGTAACTGGAGCTTTTCCTTCTTCTTCAACAGTAACAGTTTCTGTTACTTGATGCTTCTTTCCTTTTGTTCTTATCACCTTCTTCCTCGTTACTTTTCGTGGCTTGCCTTGCTTAGTAATTTCTTCCGTAACTGTTACTTGTTCTTTAACTGATTCTACTTCTGATGGTTTTACAAACTGTGTAACAGGTATTTCTTTAATAAATTCATCAGTTACTTCCTCTTCAGGTTTTTCAATAACTTCTGTAACTGGAGCTTTTCCTTCTTCTTCAACAGTAACAGTTTCTGTTACTTGATGCTTCTTTCCTTTTGTTCTTATCACCTTCTTCTTTGTTACTTTTCTCGGTTTGCCTTGTTTTGTAATTTCTTCAGTTACTGTTACTTGTTCTCTTACTGATTCCACTTCTGAAGGTTTAACAAACTTTTTAACTGGTAAATCCTCAATTAACTCATCAGTTACTTCTTCTTCTGGTTTTTCAATGACTTCAGTAACTGGTGATTTTCCTTCTTCTTCAACTGTTACTGTTTCTGTTACTTGCTGCTTTTTTCCTTTTCTTCGGATCACTTTTTTCTTTGTTACTTTTCTTGGCTTGCCTTGATTAGTAATTTCTTCAGTGACTGTTACTTGTTCTTTAACTGATTCTACTTCGGATGGTTTTACAAACTGTGTAACAGGCATTTTCTTAATAAATTCATCAGTTACTTCTTCTTCTGGTTTCTCAATAACTTCAATGATCGGAGCCTTTCCTTCTTCTTCAATTGTTACTGTTTCTGTTACTTGTTGCTTCTTTCCTTTTCTTCTAATCACCTTTTTCTTTGTTACTTTTCTCGGTTTGCCTTGTTTTGTAATTTCTTCAGTTACTGTTACTTGTTCTCTTACTGATTCCACTTCTGAAGGTTTAACAAATTTTTCAACTGGTAAATCCTCAATTAACTCATCAGTTATTTCTTCTTCTGGTTTTTTAATTACTTCAGTAACTGGTGCCTTTCCTTCTTCTTCAACTGTTACTGTTTCTGTTACTTGTTGTTTCCTTCCTTTCCTTCGGATCACTTTTTTCTTAGTTACTCTTCTTGGCTTGCCTTGCTTCGTAATCTCTTCAGTGACTGTTACTTGTTCTTTAATTGACTCAACCTCTGAAGGTTTTACAAACTCTGCTACTGGCATGTCTTCAATTATCTCTTCTGTTACTTCTTCTTCTGGTTTCTCAATAACTTTTGTGATAGGAACCTTTCCTTCCTCTTCTATTGTTACTATTTCTGTTACTTTTTGGTTTTTACCTTTTCTCCTGATTATCTTCTTTCTTGTAACTTTTCTTGATTTACCTTGCTTGGTTATTTCTTCAGTAATTGTTATCTGCTCCTTAACTGTTTCCACTTCTGATGGCGTTATGGATTTTTTAATTGGCAGAGTTGTAATAATTTGTTCCTTTACAGTTTCTTCTTCTGGTTTTTTTAGAATTTCAACTGAAGGTGTCTTTTCTTCCTTTACGTCTTTTGTTGTCTTAGGTTTTAATTTGTTAACTGTTTTCTTTTTAGTGGGCTTTTCTTTAATTTTTACAGTCTCATCTGTATATGGTACTTCTTCTTGCTCTTCATTCTCCTGTGTAATTTCTTCAACTTCTTCTACTATTGTGGGTTTAATTTCCTCTATGTCTTGTGCGTCTGTAACTTCTTCAATAGCCATAAATTGTTTCTTCGGTATCGTTGGTAATTGAGATTTGATGTTTTCAATTTCCTCTTCAATCACAACTGCTTTGTCTTCACTTCCTGTTTGTGGTTTCTTTTTTCTAATTATTGTTTTTCTTGTTTTAATGGCATCATTTTGACCATCTTTACTTCCTCTTCTGAAAGTTGTTGTATATTCTTGTGTTACCTCTGTGTCAGAATCAATGCTTTCTTGTTTAACTGTTTCTGGGTGTACGTGTTTTTTAGTGTGTTGTGTTAATAAAGTTTGATGTTCAACTCGTGCTTCTGTGGTTTCTGAAATGTGAGAGAATAAATGTTGCTTTATTTGTTTATTTTGTGTTGTTGAATGTATAATTTTCAGTTTTTAAATGAATTTTTGTTTTGTTATTCATTTTGGAATATGTTACCTGGTCTTCTTGTATTAGGGTTTTTTAATGTTTGGGTATAAATAGTGTGAGACAAAATGGGTAGTGTTTATTGTTTGTTTAAAAATTTTAGGTAGTATTTTCTTTTAGCGAATATTCTTTATTTAATATAACGTCTATATCAAGAGTAACTTTTATTTACTTTGTTTTACACATTCATGACTTGTACAAAATGTTTTATTTTCTCTGATAGAAAATATGAACTTTCCTGTAATACGAATTTTCTGTTTCAAAAATATGACCTCGTTGTCTGATTAACCTAATATTGTTATTCAACCGTATTCTACTTGAAATAATACACCTGAAAAATTTAGCTGAATATAAACATTTTTGAATTTTATAAAATTTAATGACAGAAAGTTATTGAAACGAATGGAGCAAATGAACAAAGGAAATCTTCTATTGTCTTCAATTTTGATAGCTATTAACTTACCTTTTATACTCTCCATATGTTCATCTTCGATAGTAATATAGGCTGTTTTGGAAGATGACTTCATAGTTTGCAAAAGATCTAACTCACGTTCATCAGTGGTACCTAAATCTGTGACAATAATGCTGTGTTTGATGTCTTTCGTTTCGCTAGCTGTTTTAGTCGATGGTTTTTCGGGATAGAATTCTGAAGCAATGTCTCCAGGTAAAACTTCTGTTTTAACTGCTACTTTACGATCAACAACGTCGGGTTGAGCACTACCTTCTTTAGCGACTCCCTTGATAACTTCTTTGGACTCTTTTTCGGTAGCTGTTACTTGCGTTACTTCTAAACTTTCAGAAACTCGAAAACTGATTTCAGCTTGGGCAATGGAGGATTTTCTTTCAATGGTAAGAGTCGATTCACTTTCTTGGACAATATTTTGTGTTTGCTGTAAATTTTCAAATGGTATTTGCTCGGGTAATATTTGTTTGAAGTCAGGTTTTGCTGATTCTGGAAGATCTCTGGTACTTGTTGCTGTAATTGTTTCGGTTGTTTCTATTGTCGTTTGACTGGGAATAATCATTTGAGCCGTTTGTGATGTTGGTACTTCGTCTCGTGGGAGGGATTTTTCATTTTCATTGGACGTCACCTCGGATATTGTCAGTGACGACATTTCTTCGAGGTTTACTTTTCCTTTCTGCTCTTCAGGTTGTTCGGTTGTTTTCAATTTTTCCGAACTTGTGAATGTTAGAATTTCCGTTGTTTCCGCTGCTTCGATGCCGGGAATATTTGGAATTGCCGATTGACCTTTTGGTACTTCAGAAGTTGTCAAGATTTCTTCGGATTCGTTGAGAATTGTCTCAGAAACGGAGATGAAATTCATCTTTTCGAATTCTGTTGTACCGGACTGTGTTTCCGGTTTTTCTTGCCCGACGAACTCCTTGGTTGTTGTTACAGTCTCGATTTCCAATTTTGAGGCAGTCTCGAGAGAGGAAATGTCGACTTGTGCTGTTTTTTGATCGGGTTTTTCTGAAGTTGGTAAGTTTTCCTCATTCTCGTTGGAGAGGATTTGGGAGATGATAATTGAGGACATCTCTTCTACTTGCGGTTTGCCAGCTTGGGTTTCTGGAACTTGATCCTTTAATAGTTCTGAAGTACTTATTAGAGTTTGTATCTGCGTTGTTTCGGCGACATCAATTCCGGTTAGACTTGGTCGAGCTGTTTTCTCACTAGGAGCGGAGGGAGAGGAGAATATATCTTCGAGTTCACTGAGAACATTTTGGGAAATTGTTAGTGATATTAGTTCGTTTATGTTCTGAACTCCCTGTTGTTGTTCAGGAAGTTTGGGTTTGATGAACTCTTCAGTTTCGATTACTGTTTGTATTTCCGAAGTTTCGGCCACCTCTCTTCCGGAGATGTTCGTGGATGCTGTCTTTTCATCAGGAACATCGGGTGCTTTTAAGTCGCCTTCGAATTCAGTGGTTATTACTTGCGATACAGTTAGAGATGTCATTTCTTCGACTTCGCCTGTTCCTTTCTGAACATCTGGTTTGAAGGTGTCGGCGAATTCATCAGCTCGTGTTACTGCAAGAACTTGGAGAACCTGAGTTGCTTCCGTACTGCCAATATTTGTTTGAGCTGTCATTTCACTAGGAAGTTTCGTTTCAACAAAGGTTTCTTCAGTTTCATTGATCACGACTTGAGAAACTGTCAAGGTTGATAGAGCATCCAGTGTCATTTTACTCCTTTGTTCTTCGGGTAATTCAGCTTTGGTGAAATCTTGAGCGGAAGTGACTGTTAAGTGTTCCGTGACTTCTGGTGCTTCTCTGCCGAGTAAATTAGGAAGAGCTGTAAATTCACTTGGTTTTGTTGCTTCCGGGAGTGTTTGTTCAGCTTCTTGTGAAACTATTTCTGAAACAGTAACTGAGGACAATACGTCCCATTCAGGAGAACCTTTCTCCTCATTCGGATGTATTGTTCTACTCAAATCTTCAGCATTTGTCATTGTTAGGGTTTCACTCGTTTCGGCAATTTCTCGACCAGATAAACTGGGTTGGGCAATTTTTTCAGATGGCTTTTCAGAACCGGGGAGTAAATCTTCTCGTTCTGTTGAAACCGTTTGGGAAACGATTAGAGATGAGTGAACGTCCAACATTTTCGTGCCTATTTGCTCCTCGGGAAGTTTCGATTTCTCGAGATCTTCAACAGTTGATGCTGTTATCACTTCTGAAGTTTGGGCAATCTCTCGACCAAATAGATTCGGTTGGGCTTGTTTCGTGCTCGGAACTTCTGGACTTGGTAGAACGTCTTCAGCTTCGTGAGAAATTACTTGCGATACTAATAATGATGATAATTCTTCTAGTTCCGGTTTGCTCTTTTGTTCATCAGGACCAACTGATTTCGTGAATTCTTCAACGGTTGAGACTGTTTGTACTTCTAGAGTTTCGGCAATGTCTCGACCGAAGAGATTTGTAATTGCTGTTTTTTCGGAGGGTTTCTCATCCTTGGGGAGAATTTCTTCCGTTTCATGCGATAGAGATTGAGAGACAATGATTGATGATAATTCTTCCAATTGTGGTATTCCTCTTTGTCCTTCAGGCGCTTTTGGTTTAGCGAACTCTCCAACACTCGAAACTGTTGATACTTCACTAGTTTCTGCAATTTCCCGTCCGGTCATACTTGGTTCCGCCTTCTTTTGATCCGGAAGTTCGGTGGTTGATAACTGTTCACCAATTTCGTTGGAAATTGATTCGGAAATGATGAGTGGTGACAGAACGTCTACTTTAGATACACCGGTTTGTTCTTCCGGTAACTTTGGTCTTAAGAACTCTTCAGTTTCATTTAGGGTTACAATTTGAGATGTTTCGGCAATTTCTCGTCCTAGGTAACTGGATTCAGCTACTTTGGTTGATGGAACACTTGCTTCAGGTAGAGTGTCTTCCTGTTCGTTGGAGATTATTTGTGATACCGTCACGGATAACAGTTCATTCAATTCCGGTTTACCTTTCTGCTCTTCAGGTTTAAGTGGTCTTTCCAGTTCGCTAACGCTACTAACAGTGAGGACTTCTGAAACTTGGGCTGCTTCCCTACCGAACAAATTTGATTGGGCATTGGATGAGGTCGGAATTTCGGGACTTGGCAACACGTCTTTAGCTTCATCGGAGATGACTTGAGAAACAGTCAAGGACAGCATTGTATTAATCTGAATTTCGCCTTTCTGTTCAAGTGGTACTTTCTGCTGTGCAAGATCTTCGGCGTTTGATATTGTCAGAACTTCGGAAGTCTCGGCTATTTCTCTTCCGATCATTTCCGGTTGTTTGGTCTTTAGTTTTTGTTCATCTGGTTTAATTTCTTCGAAAAGATCCTCAACGTTGGACATGGTTAAGACTTCGAGTGTTTCTGCGATGTCGTGGCCAGTCAAAGTTGGTTGAGCTAACTTGGAGGTTGGTTTTTCAGCTTCTGGGAGAGTAGCCTCAGCTTCGTGTAGTTGCGCTTGGGAAGTTACAGAAGTAGCCAAAAGTTCGTATTCAGTGTTTCCTTTTTGCTCTTCGGGAAGTTCGGGTCTCTTCATTTCTTCTACGTTGGCTACTGTTTGGACTTCGGATGTTTCGGCTATTTCACGACCTAAGATGTCGGGTTTCGCTGTCTTCTCTGACGGAACTTCGGCACTAGGCAGAAGTTCAGTAGCCTCACTTGACAGTGTTTCGGTAATTGTTGCCGATGGTAAGGTATCCAGTTGCGGTTTTCCTTGCTGCTCATCAGGACTTTTGGTTTTTTCGAACTCCTGGACATCGGCTACTGTTAGGACTTCGGATGTTTCGGCCACTTCCCTTCCGAGTAAATCGAACAAAGCTGTCTTCATAGTGGGAATTTCAGGTTGTTGTAAAACATCTTCAACTTCATTGGAGATGATTTGTGAAACTGTGATGGATCTAAACTCCTCCAACTCAGGAATTCCTTTCTGCTCATCAGGTTTCAAGGTTTCTAGTAATTCTTGCACGTTGGACATGGTTAGGACTTCTAATGTTTCTGCGATGTCATGACCAGACAAACTTGGTTGAGCTAACTTAGAGGTTGGTTTCTCTGCTTCTGGAAGAATAGCCTCAGCTTCGTGTAACTGCGCTTGAGAAGTTACGGAAGTAGTCAAAAGTTCGTATTCAGTGCTTCCTTTTTGCTCTTCGGGAAGTTCGGGTCTCTTCATTTCTTCTACGTTAGCGACCGTTTGGACTTCAGTCGTTTCGGCTATTTCACGACCTAAGATGTCGGGTTTCGCTGTCTTCTCTGACGGAACTTCGGCACTAGGCAGATTTTCAGTAGCTTCACTTGATAGGGTTTCGGTAATTGTGGCCGATGGTAAGGTATCCAGTTGCGGTTTTCCTTGCTGCTCATCGGGACTTTTGGTTTTTTCAAACTCCTGGACGTCGGCTACTGTTAAGACTTCGGACGTTTCGGCCACTTCCCTTCCAAGTAAATCGAACAAAGCAGTCTTCATACTAGGAACTTCGGGTTGTTGCAAAACATCTTCAACTTCATTGGAGATAATTTGCGAAACTGTGATAGATTTGAACTCTTCCAATTCTGGAATACCTTTCTGTTCCTCTGGTTTTATGGTTTCGAGCAGTTCTTGTACGTTGGACATGGTTAGAACTTCTAGGGTCTCTGCGATATCTTGACCCGATAAGGATGGTTGAGCTACTTTGCTACTTGGTTTTTGAGCTTCAGGAAGATTGTCTTCAGCTTCGTGGTAATCTGTTTGGGAGACTATGGAAGTTGTCAGGGTTTCGTATTCGGGTCTACCCTTTTGCATATCAGGAACTTCGGGTTTCTTCATTTCCTCAACGTTGGCTACTGTTTGGACTTCGGATGTTTCTGCTATTTCACGACCTGAGATGTCGGGTTTCGCCAACTTCTCTGACGGAAGTTCGGCACTAGGCAGAAGTTCAGTAGCTTCACTTGATAGGGTTTCGGTAATTGTTGCCGATGGTAAAGTATCCAATTGTGGTTTTCCCGTTTGTTCGTCAGGAATTTTGGTTTTTTCGAATTCCTGGACGTCGGCTACTGTTAGGACTTCCGATGTTTCGGCTACTTCTCGTCCGATCAGATTAGGTTGTGCTGTCTTTGTACTTGGCACTTCTGGACTAGGAAGCACGTCTTCTGATTCATTGGACGTGATTTGTGAGACCATGACCGATGAATGTTCTTCAAGACCAGGAGTACCTTTCTGTTCGTCTGGTAATTTGTCTTTTACGAACTCACCTACGTTTGCAATTGAAAGGACTTCCGAAGTTTGGGCAACGTCTCTACCAAGTAGTTGAGTTTCGGCTGTCTTTTGAGTTGGGACTTCCATACTTGGGAGGACATCTTCCAGTTCGTTGGATGTAATTTCCGAGATTACTAGAGATGAGAATTCATCGACTGTTGGTTTGCCTTTCTCTTCTTTAGGAGCTATGGTTTTTAGAAGTTCTTTGGCGTTGTCGACTGGTAGTATTTGAATAGTCTCTGCCGCTTCTCTGCCAAATAGATCAGCTTGCGCTGTCCGTTCGGTTGGAACATCAGGACTTGGCAAAGCATTCTCCGTTTCGTCACAAACAGTCTGTGATACGATCACAGATGACAGGGAGTCAAATTCAGTTTTTACAGTTTGCTCCTCAAGTTTAGAACTGAAGAACGTGTCTTCCTTGTCCTGAGTCAAAGTTTCGCAGATTTCGAGTGATTTAACTTCCTGGATGTTGATGTCCACAGTTTGGGAAGGAGCTTTAAAGACTCCTTCAAATGGCTTCTCGGATTCTTCAACAACGTTCTCTGTTATTGTTATACTTTCGAATGTGTCTTGTTCTGGTGAAGCTTTTTGGAGACTGAACGGTACGTCTTTTTGTTTCTTGTCTGGAATACTAACTTGGGATTCAATTTGAGTGGTTTCAACTGAACTGTGTTCGGTAACGATCGTAGTGAGTGCTTCCTGTTTGGTAGCAAGTTTCTGTTTCTCTAATTCACTAGTACTGATGTCTACAATATTTTCCGAGACTTCGGCAACAACGTGACCGTCTACCAAATTTCTGTCAGCTGTTTTCGCAGAGGGGAGTTCTTTCGGTTTGTATTCTCCCTCCTTGTCTTCGAGAGTGACTGTTGATACTTGTACACCTTTCTCTTCGATGATTCCAACGTCAGCTGTTGCTTCCAAGGCTTTTTTGTCACCTTCATAGATTCCTTCAGACTCGGTGACTTCAATTTCTGACTGCAGGACAGTTTCAAGTGGAATATGCGAAGGTTTTGCTGAAGCTACTGATGTTTTCAATTCTTCCAGATCGCCGGTACTCGAGTCGATGGTAATCTCCATTTTTTCGGCAATTACATGATGACCTGATAGTTCGACTGTTGCGGATCGTTCACTTGGTTTTTCGAGAGCGGCCAAAGAAGTTTCTTTGTCTTCAGTGATCACTTCGGTGACGATCGGTACGCCTATGTTGTCTCCAATTGCAACACTGGCAGTGTTACCTGTAACTAGAGGTTTCTCCTTGAATTCCATTTCTTTTTCTGAAATCACAGCCTCTGTTTGCTGGATACTCTCAAACGGAAGACGTTCTTCTTTTGCTGTAAATGATTTTGGAATTTCTTCCACGAAATCGCCGGGGAAAGCTTCGGGATTGATTTCCGTTCGTTCAGCAACTCGGTGTGCATCATAGGAACCAGTTGCTTGCTCTTCGATCATTTCCAATTTTCCAGTATACTCCTTCTCCTTATCGGAGGTGATGGTTTCAATTACAGTGATACTTGTGTCCTCTACGAAGGCAATATCCACCTTCTTCTCGTCAGGTCTCACAAAGTTCTCCAATGATTGCTCCAAATCGCCTGTTGCAGTTTCGGATGTAATGAGACTGTGGAACGTGATGTGATCAGCTGTTGCAGTAGCTGATTCAACACTGGTTTTTGTAAATTCACCAACGTTACTTTCGACAGTTGTTTCACTCGATTCAGCAACAATATGAGCTGGAATGTCAAAAGTAGCGGATTTAACTGACGGTTTCTCGGTGTCAGGTAACAAACCCTCTTTATCTTGAGCAATAACGTCTGATACTTGAACACCTTCACCGATTTCGAAATCCAAATTCGCTGTTCTACCAGCAGGATAATCGTCAATCAAACGTTCTTCAGTTTCACGAGTGTGTACCTCTTCTGCCAAAGCTGTTTGGTAGGGCAAAATCTCACTCTTCGATTTTACTTCTTCAGGAATTTGTACTTCAATATCTGAAACTCCAACATCACTACGAATTTCAAATTTGCTAGCGACGGAATGAAGTTCAAGGTCAATTGTTGCTTCGGCACTTTTAGGTTTCTCGTCTTTTTTGTAAACGCCTTCTTTGTCTTCGGCCTGTGTTAGAGTGGTCTGAAGAGCTTCACCTTCAGTAAAGGTAACTTCTACCTTTTTATCATCCGGTTTCACATCCAATGGTAATGGAGCTTCCATTTCTGAGACCGTAATTTCCGTTTGCTGAACTATATCGAGTCCGGTTTGATTCGGTTTCGCTATTTCCGCCTTGGGCTTTTGCTCCTCATAACTTTCAGTAGTGTTAGCGAGGACTGTTTCCTGGGTTTGTGCGACTTCATGTCCAGAGGTTAGATTCAACTTCACAGTTTGTTCAGCCGGTATTTCGGTTGATTGGAAGTCTTCCTCCTTTGTAACAAAAAAGAAAATGTTATTTTGCTGTTTTGTTGCAGGTGAACTTGATTCAATTTCCTTTAATAAATTCAGTTCTTTCTAGAATTCTCTCCGGAATTGGTTTTTGTTCTAATGAAAAATATATTTAAAAATTTAGAAGAGTAATTGTAAGCAGTGCAATAATTATTTACTTTATTTAAAAAATCCTCTTTTTTATAATTAAAATCCCCTTTTTATCTAATATTACAAGAGAAAATCACTGTGATCTCTAAAATTATAATTTATAAATTTATAAACTATTAGTTATAAATAGTATTCAAAATTATTATTTAACACTATTATCAATTAACAGAAGCAATTTAATATAATTATTATATGTTTTTACTTTTGTGATAATAAGTCTAATAGAAAATATTTTTATTTTTGTTTCAGGTGAGTTATAAACAACATATGTTTCCTATCGAGTTTATTTCGTAAGTAAATATTTAAATAAAAATTTATTGTTGTATATTATAAGTGAAATATAATTATCAACCCCCAGAAAAAAGTAATTTTATATTCAGCGGAAAAATTCTTTTCTAATTTTCTCTCAATTTATCCACTAAAATGAAGATTATTTTTTTGTGTCGTGCAAGAAATAATTTAAAAATTTTGCTTCATTTATTTAAAGAAAAATATTAACACCACAGTATTTTTATGGTATTGATAATGAATTAAATTGAAAGAAAATATCGGAAAATATATATTCGTTTTGCAAAATTTCTTTTGAAATATTTACAAGCGAATGTTTATAAAATATGTGGACTAATTTGTATTGTCGCATTAATTTTTTTGTAATTCATGATTTTATACGCTATCCTACAATTGTTTTTTACTTAATTTAAAAAATGCCCTGTTTTAAATTGAATACTCTTTCTAAAAATTTAAATTCCCTTTTTTTTAATTAACATCACATGAAAAATTCAGTGTAATCTCTGGAATGATTGAATGGATAAACATTCACCAATCAATATTCATCACTCCAAGAAAATTGAATCAATTTTGGAGTTAACAAATTTTTTATTTGATAGGAACCTAGATAGGATGTAATCTTGCAACAGGCTTGCAATATAATCTTAAAAAACTATTGAACTAAAGTTTACGACGTTAAACCTGACAATTTTCAAAACTCGTACATGGAAAATAGTTCAAAAAAAAAATTTTGATAAAATTCTATGCAAACATTTAATTATTTTCATAAATAATAAAAATTTCACTGGAATTCAATTATTTAAATTTTTTTTATTTCTTCGCAATAATCTAATTATTTTCAAAAATAATAAAATTTTTTACAGAGATTCAATTATTTTTAATACAATTTTAATTGAATTCTTCGAAAAATGTAATTATTTTTAAAAATGTTATTAAAATTCGTCAAAAGAATTCAATTATCTAAAAATTTCTTGATAAAATTCTTTATGAGAATTTAATTTTAAAAAACATTCCATTATTTAATAAATTATTTTTTTTGTATTTAAATAATTAAATTGTTGTAGAATTTCTTAATAAAAATTGATTTAAAAATGAATTTTAGTTTAAACTTTAGATAATTATTGAAAATTGAAAGCATTATAGCGTGAATTTTTAGAAATTGTACTAAAAATAATTGAAATTATTCGATGAGTTTTATTATTTCTGTAAATAATTAAAAGTTTGCGTACAATTTTATTAAAATTGTTTTTAAATAATTGAATTCTTTTGGGTAATTTTATTAAAATAGTTAATATTGAAAATCATTAAAGTGAGTGACAAAAATTGTATTAAAATTTTTGAAAATAATTGAATTTTGAAGAAGAATTTTTTTTATTTATAAAGATAATAATTGTGATTTTGTCGAGATTTTTTTGTAAATTTTGAACATAATTGAAAGTTATGATAAGAATTTTATTACTTTTGAAAATAATTGAATTTCTTGCAATAATTTGAAACTTCTTCAAAATTCAATTTTCTTAATATATTTAACTAAAATTCTTCTATAAATCTATTATTTTTAATAATTAATTAGATAAATATTAACAAATTTAACTAATTTTAGAAGATTTTAAATTATTAAAATTTTTCAAAAATGTTAGTTCATTAAAATTTATAATTAAATTTATTCGACATTGAAATTTTATAAAAATTCCTGCCTTTCCCTGAATGCCCTATGTCAGAATATATGATTATTATAATTATAATAATACTATATATTCCAATTCATATTTTATTTTTATAAAAAAAAAATTTAAATTAAAAATTTTTACTTTCTATTATTTTTGAAATTGCGAATTTTATTTTAAAAAGTGAGTGAGAAGTGAGCCGCGCGCTTTGTATTTAAATAAATAATAAATAAATACGCCGCAAGATTGTCTTAAGATTACGTGCTATCTGGGAAGAGTTGAAAAGAAGAGAATATGGGAAGAGAAGATAAAAATCTAAGATGTAAAAATACCTACCCTATTCAGAACTGTAATGAGCTGGTTGACGCTAAGATTTTCAGAAATCTGGAAATCAACATCAGCACTGTGTTCTAGAGGTTTCATCTCCTCGTTCCATTCTTTCTCAGTTTCAGCGATATTAGTCTCGGTGATGATCAATTCATCCATAGCGTCTTGACGCGTAAAGGCTTTATTAGTCTGCGGCTGATCAGCAACAATATTCTCGGTAGAGTATTCAGTGATAGTTTCTGATTTGATAGCTGTTGGATGAGCATCAACTAGTGGTTGAGCAGTCACATCGGGCTGATCACGCTTCTCTGGCGAGTAGAGATTTTCCCGATCACTGGCAACAATTTCCAGTGTGACAGCTCCAGGTCGAGTCTCAGTGAGTTCGACGCTAGCGATCTTTGTACTCGGTTTAATATCCTCTGTGTAGATATTTTCCTTTTCTGCCAACTCGTGAACACCGACGGATATGCTCTCCAGGAGGGTGTGACTTGGTTGCGCAATGCCCTTGTTCACGTCAGTGGGAACGTATTCGCCAGTCGGGGATTCGGTCCTAACTTCTTGATGCATTGCCGCAAGTTGGGTGGTGAATTCGGTTGTGGCATAAGCTTCTTTATCCACTATTCTTGTGTATTGGGTTTCATTTTCGGAGACGATCACCTCGGATGTGTGGATACTGGACATTTCGTTAAGATCAACATCGGCTGTTTTCGATTCCGGAGCTAGGGTTTCTTTAACCGGGGCTAGAGTTTCATCGGGGATTATCTCTCTGACGATTGTTTCGCGTAGATCGTCGCGTTCGATTTTTGCCACCGCTGAGAAGGGGGTGTCTTTCGGTATTTGGGTGATGTTGTCATGGGACAACACCTCTTCGATTTGGAGTGAGACCACTGGGTGGGTTGGTACCGTTTTGCCTCGATGGCTCTCCGGTAGTTCATAGAGTCGGAGATCGCCCTCCTTCTCGACGGATGTTGTCTGGAAGACTTCGATACCTTTAATGGAGTCGTAGATTGTTTCCACGATTCGTTCCTCCGGTTGTTGGACATCTTCCATTTGGTTCTCGCGGTCGTGGACTAGGACTTCTCTAATTTCCTTTGCTTCGGTTGTGTGGACCTGTACGGTTCCACTTTCGGTGATGAATTTAAGATCGTCGGTAAAGTCTGACGGATAGTCGGCAGTCTGGACTTGTGTCACTTTTAGTGATTCCTCGGGTCTGTAGGTTGTTTCGGCAAGCGCTGCGGTTGGTTTTAGGGTTCCTGTGTACTCGCCCTCGGATTCTTGAACTAGAGTGCTGGTGACCGAACCGATTTCGAGAGGAAGGATGACAGTGTCGGCGGATTTTGGGAGTGGTTGTTCACCGGATTGGTAGGGGTGTTCTTTCTCGGTGACTAGAGTTTCGGTGGTTACGATCGATGACACCTCGATTAGATTAAAATCGGCTGTGACCTTCTTGCTCTCCTCGACTGTTAGGATCGATTCCTGATGTTGGGAATCAACAGTCGAGACGGTTATGCTTTCTAGAAGATTCACGTTTGGTTGGGCTTCGAAAGTATCTATTTTGCGGTCTGGAGAGAAGATTCCCTCTCGTTCTTGAACCGGTTGCTCGGATGTTATGGCTGTTTCTCCGCTGTAGGAGACTTCGACCAGAGCTGTCTGTCCGGTTGGTAGTCTACCGGGAATGTACGTTCCCTCCTTTTCGGGAGCGTGCATTTCTTCGGTAACGCGTTGTCTTTGGGATATTATTGTCGTTGAGGCGACTTCGGTTGGTACGATCGACTCGGGATAGTATTTCCCCGGTTTATCTTGAGGGTGAACTTCTTCAATGACGACTGGTTCTATGGGAGTGATGTTGACCCGTGGTTTATTGGTGATTGTTTTTAGGGGTTCGAATTTGTCCTCAACTTGACCCTCCTGCACCTCATAGACAGTTAGACCCATTTGGGGTAAATAGGAGTCCTCCGCCTTGACAGTAGTCGGGGATATGAAATCCTCAGTTGGGACTTCTTTTTGATTGACGGTCGTCTCACTGATCGTGGTTGCCTCCTGCAAGGTCATGGTGATCTCGGCTCGTCCACTCGCTTCATGAAGGGAAGTCTTCAAGTCTGTGGGTTTAGCCTCATTGGGAAGAATTTCACTCACTTGGAGACTCTCCGAGGGGACTAGAGCTGATGTTGCAGCTACTGTTGTTGGTTTAAAGGCGCCAATGAATTCGTTGATTCCGCCTTGAATCGTTGTCTCTGTGATTGAATATGGCTCCATTGGTAATATAGAAACGGATGCTTTTCTCTTATCCGGTTGTATGTGTTGTACCTGATCGATTTCACTCTCGTGAGTTGGTAAATACTGTTCGGTTAGTGCATTCACAGTGTCTAGGGTGATTTTTGCTTTCTCGTCGTACGGTTTGCCTGGTGCTTGTTCAGTGGTTCGATTTAGTGGTACCACTTCATTTATTTGATGGGGAATATTGAGAGCAACTGATGTTACGGAATTGTCACTGATTACTTGGAATTCTTCAATTTCTTCTAATTCGAGTTCATCCTCTCCCACTTTTGGACGTTTTGGTTTCAATGCTTTTCTTGTCTTTTTGATAATCTCCTCCTCCTCCTCTTCTTGTTCGACTTCAATTTCAGCTTCCAGAGATTCTTTTCTTTTTTGCTTCAATTTTCCCTTCTTGTCCCTTTCGACTATTATTATTTCCTCCATTGTTTCCTGTTGCTCCTTGTTGATATCTTGTTCGACGATTTCCGATGTTTCGCGCTCATCTTCAATTTGGACAATTTCAACCCCCTCATCCCTATCATCGATACGAGGTTGTTCCAATGATTTCATGTCTTTTCGTTTACGCTGTGTCTTGTGTACTTGCTCAGTGTCCTCGTATTCTGCGGAAAGTATGTGAGAATTTTCGTGTAAGATTATCATGTGCGATTTGTCTGCAGGTACGCATTACTCCGCTTGGCCTGTGTCAACTTTTTTCAACAAAATTACTTTTTTGAAAATTGAATTTCTAATCAAATATAAATAAATATTTGTCTGTGTATTTTGAATATTATTCTTTTTCTGGCAGAGTGCAGCGTACATGTTTTGTAGAAATAGAAACAATTAAACACAAATTTAAGTTTTCATTGTTTGTTCAATTTTTGTAAAATTAAAAAATTATGGAAAATTTTGTAACTTTCTTCTTCAATGTTTTTTTTTTTTTTGATCAAAAAATTTTAAATTAAATTATTAAAATTTTAACAATAATGAAAACTTGTGTGACAAAAAATGAAAAATACCAAAAAAAGGATAGAAGGATATTTGCAAAAACAGTCATAACAAAAAATAGCAGACAGCAGACTATCAGCGCGTACGTACAGTGCAGGTGGGTGTTTTCTTTTTTAAACGGAAGTGCTGTTTGTTAGAGTTTTTTTGGCATATGTAGCTGCGTGTAATGACATGCTGAATTTATAAATTTGTAATTTTTGTGCATGTAGAGGTAGACAATGAAGAATATAGCGACAAATCAAAACCAGTGCTCAAGAATAATCACATAAATTGACACATAACTTCTTCTAATTCTAGAATATTCTTTTCTAAATTCAAGCATCAGAGTCTAAAACTAATTTTTGCTAAAGTTCTAAAGAGAAAAAAAATCCTAAAAGGAAAAAAAAATGAAACAAAAAAATTACATTATTTATTTTAGAAATTATTCTCATTATATGGAGAATTATTTTAGTAATGATGAATAAATTTACAACAAAGTTTAAATATCAAATGACCCAAATAAACATTCGATTGGATATTGAATTAATACGGTTGAAAATTTAAAAAAAGAATTGAAAATTGTGCTAAAAGTGATTCTGTCAGGGAATGAAGTATCTAAGACTAAATGTGCAATTTTTCATATTTTATTGTTGTTTTATACATGTATAAAAATTCCGAGTGTTTAAATTGTTTTTTTCTAAAAATGTATTTCCAAAGTTCCGGTATGACATTTTATTTTTATTGTCGTCAATAGTAATTTGATTCAAAAAAAGAAAAAAATTAACTACCCTTGTGGAAATTTTATTAAAATGAAATAAAAGAAAATCTAATTGATACTTACATTGAAATAAGAAATGCAGCTAGCGAGAAAGAAAGAGAGAGAGAAAAAAAAGAGCGTTGCAACTTGCGAAGCTGGATGAGAAAGGATTTAGAGAAGATATATAATATTATCTATATATATATATATTGTAATAAAATTGAATGTAGAAACTGTGCGTTGAAAGCATAGCGGCTTAAGCAGAAATTGCACAGCTATTAATTTCGATCATGAAAGCATCATGCATCTGAAAGAATACGAAAATATATTACGTTAAATGTTTAATTGTTAATTTTTATCAAAACCTTGATGAGCTTTTATTAATTTCAAAAATTCATAACTGCCACAAATGAATTCTTCCGCTTTGGTTGAAATTTTTCAGAGATTCGTTACAATTAGTTTCGAATGCAGAAAAATAAAAGTATTCAATATATAGTTAACTTATAATAATTATTATTAGAAATATTTTTTTTATAGTATAATTATCTATAAAAATAGAAATAGAAAAATAGAAAAATAATAAAAAATAGAAAATTACAAAAATACTATATTGACTAAAACAGTTAATTATTTGTTACATTTTTTAAAAAGCAGAGTACTTTTTTTTAAAATGACTAATTTCTAATATTAAAAAAATTAACCGATATTAAATTAATTTGTTAATTTAAAAAAAGTGAAACTGAAAAAGAAAAACGTGCAACATAATTGATCGATTCAAACCTTTTATTTCGCGAACATCTTGCTTCTGAAGCGTTCTTCTATCCTCTCTTCTCTCTGCAATCAAATATCATTGTTTTTTCAAAAAACAAAATCAGAAAAATTTTATTTTTCTCAAAATTGAAAAACAAGCAGAAAATAAAATAAACTTGTTTCTTTATTTCATGTCAACGTACAGGTACAAAAATATAATGTCAAACTTATCACACACTGGTTTGTTATTATTTATATATATATATAACACATAGATATATATTATGTACAAAAGTCATGCTTTTTTATAAAAAAAAAGGCACACAAATATTTCTTTTTTTTCTATTTACATATACAAGAGATGCTTGTTAAAAATAAGCCACGCAAAAGCAAAAAGTTATTTTGTATTTTTTAAAAATTTGATTGATGTCCACGATCAGCAGAGGGTAAAAGTCTCCTTTATTAGAGATCTTGCTGGAATTATCCGCCAACACAATGACACACAATCTCGACTCACCCATAACGCGTATCTCTGTTTCCTCGATCACTTCAATTCTCTGTGTTGCATGCTGCTCGATTTCCACCTGTTTAGAAAAAATTAAGTTTTTATTTCTTGAAGAGAAAAGATTTTTAAAAAATTTTTCAAGTTGAAAAAAGGGAAAGGCGGTTAAAACCTACTATTTACTACCTTTTTTACGATTAGCCACTATTTGGATACTTTTTTAAATTTGTGACACAAAAAGTGAACCAGTCTTTACAAAATACAAAAATATTCTAAAAAATGACTTCAATTCTGATGCGAAATTCGAAAATGAAGAACCAAAAATATTTTGCCAATTTACCTCAATGGCTTCGGTGACTTCCCAAGCTCTCGGTCGGAAATCATCGGGTGCAAAGTGAGTGATCACTTCCTCGACAGTGGCGTGCTGTAGATCAACCATTTTCATGAAAGCTCGGAAGCCAACAGTCGCGGCAACAATACTCTCATCGGTTGTTGTCTCCTCAGTGAGAACTTCAGTGATTAACGGTCCATGTCCTTGTCTCTCGACTAATTGAACCAATGCATTTTGAGCGTCAGGTGTGCGTAGTGCTGGAAATTTGTCCGTTCGATAGAGACTCTCATTGATTTCATTGACAGAAACTCCTTGACGCACGAGAAAACCAATAGTAGCCAATTCTCTAAGTGGCGATTCACCGGGTCCAAATTCATTTGCATTCATCACGTCCATTAATTCTTCAACTTCACGTGCAATATTCTTCTCGTGTTCCTTAATTATTTTCTCGACTGTCACCTCAGTTATAATCACCTCCTCCTCCTCATCATCTTTGCCCTTGACTATTGTTGTCTTCACTTTTTCTGGCTTCTTCTTTTTCTTCTTCAATTCACGAACGCCAAATTCTGGTTGAACTTCGGTGACGGAAATTGTTTCTGTTATTTCGGTTGTTACTTTAGCGCGTTCTTCAACTGTTGGGAGGATTTTCTTTGTTTTTTCATCGACCGTTTTTAGTGATGCTGTTGCTTCAGTGATGACTGAATCCTGAATTGGTACTATTTTCTTTGCTTGTTTTGGCTGTAATCATTTTTTGTTGTTATAATATTTGAAATTTTGTTTTTTTCTTTTCTTTATTTATTCAGGGTGGCCGCTGGACCGGAAAAACTGGGAAATGACAGGGAATTTTTTTGGACCGGGAAAAACAGAGAAATGACATTGTTAAATTAATATTACTAATATTAATATAGATTGAATTTTAAAAAGTTTTAAATTGAAGTTTTAAAAAAGTTGAATTGTAAAAGATTTTAATTAAAAATTCTGAATAAGTTAGTTTTTTGAAAAAAGTAGCCACCCTGTTATTTATTTATTTTTTTTATTAATTTTCTTTTCTTATTTTTTAATTAAAAAATTACCTGTTCGAGAACGTCATCGAATGTTGTGGTGGTCTCGAGTACTTGAGTTTCTTCAACGTCGACAATCATTCTATGAAAGGAAGTTGAAATAAATTATTATTGAGGCAAAAATAATGATAATCAATAATTCTGATAAGATTTCTTCTCACCTCTCATCCGTTTCATCTTGTGGTGTTATCTTCTCCTGTTGAATTGTTTTCTTGTCAATTTTCACGCGCTCTGATTTTACTTTTTCTTTGGTTTCTTTGGCTTTTTTCACTTCTGGTTTCTTTTTCTTGTGTGTTTTCTGTACAATTGTTTCCACCACCTCTTCTTCCTCTTCATCTTCTTCCGGTTGCCATGAGATCGGTCCGCCTTCTGTAAAAATTAATTGTTTATTAATTATTATTAATATTATTAATTATTATAAATTATCAATATTAACAAATAATTAATTATTATACAGTAATATTTGTTACGGAAATTGTTTAGTGACGTTCGCTATGGTTTTTTTTACTACAGATTTATTTATTTAATTACTATTTAAATTTTAATTTACTGTTTAAATTAAAATTTATGGTTTAAATTATAATTTTTTATTTAAATTATTATTTAAAGTGCAATTTATTATTCAAATGGTTAATTATTATTTAAACTACTAATTACTATTTAAATTATTTAATAATTTATTTATTATCACAGTTTTATAAGGATATCAAATTTAGAAAAAAAATGAATCAAAACGTTGCTTTGATATCCTTATAGAAAAATTATGTGTGAATTAATTTTATTTATAAATATATAGTGAAAGAATAAATTTTATTTATAATTTTTATTGTGTAATAATTATTTGTTAATTGATATTTTTATAGAATATTATATTACTTACCTGTAACTCGTAATTTTGCTTTTGTTATGGCGAGACCAATTTCGCTGGTTGCTTTACAAACATATGATGCTTCATCTTCCTTCGTGGACCGCTTTATTATTAATGCCGTTTTCTTTTCTTCATCTTTAAGTTGAATTTTCACATTATCCGAGTTTATAACTAATTTATCGTCCTTGTACCAAACAACATCTAAAATTTGCAAAAATTATTTAATTTAAAATAAAACTGTTAGGAAATGTATATATTTTGGATTTATTTTTTAATTTTAAATAGAACATTATTTAATAGAAATTATTAATTGTTTATATTTTTTATTTTCTTAAAAATAATTCTAATATAAAGTATTTTCTTTTCTTTTTGTTTCAGGTGAGTTAGACAAAATTTTCCCTGTCGAGTTTATTTCGTAAGTAAATATTTATTGAAATACATATATAATTATATATTATAAGGAAAATATAATTATCAAAGAATTTGATAATTAATTAAATTGAAAAAAAATATCTGAAAATATATTACTTGAATCAAATAATTTTTATTTGTATCAATTAAAATGTATTTGAATCAATAATTTCAGTATTTAAAACAAATACTATTTAATTGATTGAAATAAAAATCACTAGGGCCCCTAAAATAATAAATAAAAAATAAATACGAAATTAAAATATATAAAAATTAAATTCTAAAACAACAATTTTTTTTAAGTTTAAAATAAACGAGAATTTATTTTTCTTTAATGATTTAGAGAAAAAATTAGTGAATGATTTTTTAATTAAATACCTGGTGCGGGATTTCCGGAGTAGGAACATTCTAAAGTAACTTTTTCACCCTCTTGTGCGTAAACATCCGTTATTTCTTGAATAAAACTTGGTACAGATTGTGAGGCTGGAAAATTTAAATTATTTATTATAATTACTTTATAAAAGTGTATTAAAAAAGTAATAATGTTTTTTTTATTTTATTTTTCTTATTTTTATTATATTAAAAATAATTTTAAAGTTCTTCAGAATTTTTTTTTGTTCCAAATCATCTCATATACTTTACAAAAATAATTTACCTTTTTTCTCTCTCGTTGTCATGGAAATTGGGCCATTGTCAGTAATCTATCCACACAAAAAAGAAATAATAACATGCAAAAATAAAAACATTAGTTGAAAAAATCAAAAAACTTGAAAATAAAACAAGCAAAAAGATTAATTATTCTCTAAACTTGAATTTGTCAAAATGTTTATTAATTTGAATTAGTGACTGAATTTTTTCTTCTGAATTAGTAAATTTTACTAATAAATTAGTGGAAATTATTATTTATTAATTGCTACTAGTTTATTAGTAGAAATTGGTAGAAATTACAATTTATTAATTACTACTAATTTATTGGTAGAAATTACTATTTAATAATTACTACTAATTTATTGGTAGAAATTACTATTTATTAATTACTACTAATTTATTGGTAGAAATTACTATTTATTAATTTTTACTAATTTATTAGTATCAATAAAATGGTGAAAATTAATAAATAGAAATTTCTACTAATTTATTAGTAAAATTTACTAATTTAAAATCAATAGGTCAGTCACTAATTCAAATTGGAACATTTTCACTAATTCTAATTTAGAGTGTACATTATTAAAATATTTGATATTAGAAAAATTTGCTTATCAAACACAAAAAAAAATACCTGACATTGTGCCCCTCTCATCATCGCTGTGATGATCGGAAATTTCCGAATTTGAATAATTCGTTGCTAAACCTAAATTCCCGCTACATTGACTCTCGAGAAGTAAAAATTCTTGCAATTCCTCTTGACTATCGGCCGTGTGTAATTGTTGAAAAGCCTCTAAATCAATTTCACGTGGCTCCAGCGGATATAATTTTGGATCCATTAAATTTCGAAATTCACGATTTTGCAATGATCGCCGTGGAATTGGAATTCGTGATTTTGGATATGTATGATACTTTCGACTTGTATCGAAATCTAAATGAAAATCAAATTCCTTGGAAGTATTCTTTGATTCGGCGAAAGCAACTTTTTTCATTTCTTTATTATGGGAATATTTATCCTGACTAGTGCTACCGCCACTCGTTGATGCCTCACTATTCTCTTCGATTGGCGATAAATAGAAATTATTTAATTGATGTGAATGATGCATTTCCGAATAATCAATATCCTCATCACTTGACGATGTATTCGATAATTGAATTCTTCTCTCTGATTTTGGTGGTGGAAATTCACCAAAATCCAGGACAATTTTGTTTCCTTTCTGGTGTTTTTGTTTTTCGATTTTTTCACACTTCTTCTGATTTTGTAAAGTGATTTCAGATTTTCTGGGAGGGGAATATTTTGCTTTTTCAGTTTTAGAATTTCTGGTTTTTGGGTTTTTTTGATCTTTTCGGATTTCTGTGATTCTGGGTCGTTTTGTTCTGGTCGGCGATGGTGAGGATGATAATTTTGATCTGTCGTTTCTATTTTCTATCTTCTTTGGTTTGGGGGATGATTTTCTTTTGACGTTTCTTCTCACGTGTTCCTGGGGAGTGGTTTCTTTACTTGGAATTTTTCGATCCTTCAATGGTACTCGTTGATTTGGTTTTTTTCGTCCAGTGGAAATTTTTTCCGATCTGTTCTGCAAAACTGGCTCGGAATTGATCGTCTCTTGTGTAGTGATGAATTGGGATTTTGTTGAATGTAAGTGTGAGGCACTTTTTGAGAAGAGTTTTTTCTTCGATGATGTTTCGGCGCGTGGTATTGTCGTCGATTGTAACCATGAATCCTTGAGGCAGTAATCAACTTGAAAAATTTTGCCGACTTGTTGCGAGGTTTCATTTTGATTAAGAAAGAATTCACGTACACTGGTTGATGAATCATGAATGTTCATCAGAGTTTTTGTCGATGAGAATTCACTGACGATTGTTGAACTGTCACGTTGTGAAGATGAACCATCGTGCTCGTCGAGACTATCGTTGGAAAATGTGCATGCAGACACACTAAGAACAGATGATTTGGAAAATTCCCTCTTACCTCGAAGTGCCTCTTGCATTTCTTCCATGTGCGACACCCATGATGGTTTTCGATATTGTTTCGTTCCCACGATACCTGAATTTTGAAAATTGATTAGTCAATTTTTGCTTCTTCATTGCTTCCTCATAGGAAGCTTTAATGTGATTTTTTATTATTTATGAAATATTTATTTAAAAATAAATGAGTTAAAATAAATTGTTAGAAAATGTAATAATAAATGCTATTTGGTGTTAATGTTTTATGTAGTATTTTTATGTATTTTTGAGAAGGGGGAAATTAGGTTTGTTGTAGGTTTCACAGACGCTTTCAACGTTGAGCTGAAAATAACTTCAGACGGCATTAGAACAAATAAACAGACATAAGAAGTCTGAGTTGAAAAATTATTATCTGAGCTTGAATAATATTATTTTTGGCTAAAACTTTGATCGTACCTTCTACTGATAAATAAGTAGTTGTCGTTGATACTCCCAATGGATTGTGAGCTTCAAAAACAATTTCACCCGTATCGTCGGGATATGTTTCGGCAATCGTTAGAACTGATGTTCCATCATCAAATTCCTCGATTTGGAATTCTTGGGAAGGAATTATTTCTATTCCCTGCTTGTACCATTTTCCTTCTGGTTTCGGCTTTCCCTTTACTTTTACCTCCAGCCTGAAAGATTTTTATTTGTATTCACGATTATTTTAATTTTTATTATTTTTTGTTGTTGTTTTGATTATTTTTTATTTATTTATTTTCTATTCTAAGTGTCAAAACAATGACTTGATTGATGATTCTGGATGAAAAAAGGAAGAAATTACCTGGTTAGTTCTCCATCTTTAGTGGGAATCATTTGAGGAAGCTTCTTGATGATCTCTGGCGCGGATTCTTCCGTATCAGTATCGAAAAGAGGTCCTTCCTGAAAATTTCCATTGAAGAATATTTATCCTTTGTTTCCTTAATTATTTTTTGTTAATTAACTTTTATTCGTGCTATTTCTACCTTTGGAGATAAGAGATCTTCCTCTGACCCGCTTTGTCCAGTAAGAAGGGAAGTCGCTACGATCGAAGATGCTATTTCCGAATCTGGTACATATTCGTAGGCTGTACAAATTTAAACAAAAAATAATTAATTCTGATTGGAAGAGAAAGATTTCATTCTGATTAGAATAAGAAGAATTAATTTTTTCCTCACCTTCGACAATTAGCGACGTTGAACAAACAGCTTCACCAACGGGATTCACAGCACGACATGTATATTCACCAGCATCTTCTGGGAATACTTCAGTGATTGCCAAACTGCAAACACCTTCTGAATCCTGTAGAATTGTGATCTGCTTACCCTCCTGAATTGGTTTCTGATCATGATACCATTCAACTTTTGGAATTGGTTTCGCTTGAATGACGCAAGTTAGATTAACATTTTCTCCGTCCATGACTCTTACAGGCGATAATCTCTTGACAAACGTTGGCGATGATTGTTCAACTGTCTCCTCCCATGGGATGTCCAGTAGATTAACGGTCGCCGTACACGTTACCGAACCAACAACATTTTCCGCTCGACATGTGTACGTGCCGGCAAACTCTGGCACAATATCCTTGATCAACAGAACTGATCGATTTTCTTTTGTGACTATTCTCATCTCGTGTGTGGTCTAGAAACAAAGGGAGAGATCATTAGAAATTGATCACCATTTTTTATTTTATTTGCTTTGTTGGTAGCAACAACGGTTGCTAGGGAAATCGTAACCTTAACAACTGTTGCTGTGAAAATGGTACCCTTAGCAACGGTTACTAGGGAAATGGTACCAATCCAAAAGTAAAGTTTGCAAAGGACATGGTAACCACAGCAACTGTTTTCATAGCAACGGTTTCATTTGTTTTCGAAAGAAATATTTTTTAACTTACCTGAAGAGGACGATTGTCATGGAACCATTGGAAGGAAGCGACGGGATACGATTCGACAATTGTTTCCATAATGACAACTTCTCCCTCGGCGACAAGTTGCGGTTGAATCGGTTGAATGAATCTAGGAGCTTTCGCAGCTTCCGTATCGTCCTCCTTCTCCCTAATTGTAACTGATCCTGAACTTCGTGCCTCACCGGCTGGATTTTGAACTCTAATTTCATACTTTCCGGTATCCTTTTTCCTCGTGTCGGTGATGACCAATTCGGCACTGTTCTCATAAATATTGACACTCGTCTCGTCGGATGGTGTAATTTCAACTCCATTCTTAAACCACTTGACTTCTGGTTGTGGTTTACTTTCAAATTCGGCAACGAGTGTCAGGGGTTTACCGATTTGGGCAACTAATGCCGGCAGTGGTCGGGTTATTTTTGGAGCACGTAGTACTTCCGGTTTTGTCACGATAGGCGCATTACTTACTAGAAGATTAGCACGACATTCTGCTTTGCCAAATTTGTTGACTGCTCGAACACGATAGATCGTCTCGTCCTCATTGGTTGGCTCAAGAATTGTTAATTTACTCTCACCAGTTTCGGGTATGAAGGAAATCTCCTGTTTTCCTCTCTTTGGTTTCACCTCCTTATCACCGCGATACCATTTCACTTCGGGTGTTGGTTTTCCAGTTACTACACACTCGAGTATTGCTGGTGTGTGTTCTTCAACCATTAGTGGTTTTATCGGGGATACGAAGTGTGGAGCAATGCCTTCTTCTTCTTTTTCTGTAAAACAATTTTTTATATTAACAACTGTAGGGGAATAGAAAATCAAGAAAATAGAAATCAAAACGAAAAAATCAAATCCAAAATTTTGTTGGATTAGAGAAAAATCCACTCAGGGGGGGAGGGTATTAAAGTGGTCATGCAGAAGAAATAACGGGATTAAAAATTCACAAACAGGAAAAGCGGGAGAACACTTGGAACTGAAAGAAAAGATGATTATTGTACCAAATATGACAAGATTGACAGTTGATGTAGCAACGCCAGCGGGATTTGAAGCTCGGCATGTATACATGCCGACGTCTTCCTCCTTGACATTCTTCACTTCGAGTGTTGCTGTGGTCTCCACAACGTTCATCTCGTACTTTTCACTGGCATGAAGCTCTTGTTCATTTCGGTACCAAGCAATCTGTGGGAAGGGTGTTCCAATGACAGTGCAAATGAACTTCGCGGGCTTTTCAACTTCAACAATTACTGGTTGTAATTTTTGAATGAACCTAGGTGCAATCTTTTTTTCTTTATCGGTCATGGAAATTTCAACTTGTGTTCGGGTCTTTCTCGTTGGTTTTCCCTTCTTTTGATCATCGACAGTGATTTCGAGGATTTGCTCTTGATGGTCAATTTTCTCGGTGACTATTTCTTGGGTGGTAATTGTTTCTTCGGTTTCGAAGATTTGATCTACTTTTGGTTTTACTTCCTTTGCCTTTTTGGTGCGTGGTGTAACTTCTTTTTGTTTTGGTTTTTCGGTGATTGTTTCCTGAATGTCGAGTGTTTCGAGGTCTTCTTGTGTTTCGGTGACTTCTGTGACTTCTTCCCGTTCGATGGGAAAGATAGTCACGTCTTCATTAAATTCGACAACTTTCTTTGATGGTTTCTTTGTTCTTCGCCAAGGAGCGACTGACGTTTCCAAAGGTTTTTCTTCCTCTGGTTGCTCTTCCTCTGGTTTTTGTTTTACAACTGGTTTTAGTTGGACTTCTTCTTTTTCGGTTTCTTCCTTCGGTAGACGTTTCACTGGTTTCAAGGTTATTTCTTCTCGTTCTTCCGGTTGTTCGGGTTTAATTACCCGTCGAGTTTTCTTCACTATCTCTTCCTTTGTTTCTTCTTCAACTACTTCTTTCTTCACCGGTTTTAGAGAAACTTCTTCCTTTTCGGTTTCTTCTTTCGGTAAACGTTTCACTGGTTTTAGGGTAATTTCTTCCTTTTCGGTTTCTTCTTTAGGTAGACGTTTCACTGGTTTCAAGGTTATTTCTTCCCTTTCTTCCGGTTGGTCCGGTTTAATTGTTCTTCTTGTTTTCTTCACTATTTCTTCCTTTGTTTCTTCTTCAACAATTTCTTTCTTGATAGGTTTCAAGGTAATTTCTTCCTTTTCGGTTTCTTCCTTAGGTAAACGTTTTACAGGTTTCAAGGTTATTTCTTCCTTTTCTTCCGGTTGTTCAGGTTTGATGACGCGCCTTGCTTTCTTCAGTGTTAATTTTGAGAAATCTTCCACTTCTTCAACTTCTTTTTCCTCTGGCTGTTCTTCAACCACTTCTGGTTTTATTTCTTCAACCTTCTTTGGTTTTCTGCCCCGTCTCCAAGGCATTTCTGTTTTCTCTTCGGGTTTTTCTTCTGGTTTCACTTCTATTGACGTCTCTTCGACCTGTTCGGTTGTAATTTCAGCCGTTGATTTTTCAACCTTCTTGGGCTTCTTGCCCCGTTTCCAGGACAATTCGGTTTTTTCTTCCGGTTTTTCTTCTTCGGGCACTTTTTCCGGTTGGACTATAATTGAAGTCTCTTCAACTTGTTCGGTTGTAATCTCCGCGGTTGCTTTTTCAACTTTCTTTGGTTTTTTGCCACGTTTCCAGGGCAATTCGGTTCTTTCTTCCGGTTTCTCTTCTTCGGGTACTTTAGGTACTTCTTCCGGTTGGACTCCAATTGACGACTCTTCAACATGTTCCGTAGTAATTTCAGTTGTTGATTTTTCAACCTTTTTAGGTTTCTTGCCACGTACCCAAGGCAATTCAGTTTTTTCTTCCGGTTTTTCTTCTTCGGGAACTTCTTCCGGTTGGACTCTAATTGATGTCTCTTCAACTTGTTCGGTTGTAATCTCTGCAGTTGTTTTCTCTACTTTCTTTGGTTTTTTGCCCCGTTTCCATGGCAATTCGGTTTTCTCTTCCGGTTTCTCTTCTTCAGGTACCTCAGGCACTTCAAGTACTTTAGGTACCTCTTTAGTTTGGACAGTAATTGATGTCTCTTCTACCTGTTCGGTTGTAATTTCAGCCGTTGTTTTTTCAACCTTCTTGGGCTTCTTGCCCCGAATCCATGGCAATTCGGTTTTCTCTTCCGGTTTCTCTTCTTCAGGTGCTTCCTCCGGTTTGATTTCTTTTGTGACTTTTTCCTGAGGCTTCTTTCGACCACGACGCCAAGAGACAGTCTCCTCTTGAATCACTTCCTCTTCCTGAATCTTTTCAGCCTCTAGTGTTTTTACTTCTAGTTGAGATTTTTCTAAAACTGTGGTTTCAGTTACTTCTTCTGTAGTGACTTCCGCTTTTTGAACTTTGAACGGTTTGAGTTGAACTTCTTCGAGTTTTTCCTCAGGCTGATCTTTCTTTACCGGCTTAGCTCTTTTCAAGGTGACCTTCTCTTGTGTCCATGGAACAACTTCTTCAGGCTTATCTTCTTTTTTCGTTTTTCGCAAATCTTGCGGTTTTTCTTCTGGTACTTCCGGTTTTTTAACGGTTTCAACTTCAATGCTTGTTTCCTCCATTTGCTCTGTTGTAATTTCAGCAGTTGTTTTCTCAACCTTCTTGGGCTTCTTGCCTCGTTTCCAGGGCAATTCGGTTCTTTCTTCCGGTTTTTCTTCTTCGGGTACTTCTTCCGGTTGGACTACAATTGAAGTCTCTTCGACTTGTTCGGTTGTAATCTCCGCGGTTGCTTTTTCAACTTTCTTTGGTTTTTTGCCACGTTTCCAGGGCAGTTCGGTTTTTTCTTCTGGTTTTTCTTCTTCAGGTATTTTAGGCACTTCTTCCGGTTGGACTCTGATTGATGTCTCTTCAACTTGTTCAGTTGTAATCTCTGCAGTTGTTTTCTCAACCTTCTTCGGCTTCTTGCCCCGTAACCATGGCAACTGTGCTGTTTCTTCCGGTACTTCTTCTTTAGGCTTTTCTACTTTCTTGGGTCTCAGAAGAATTTCTTCTTTTTCTTCTTGTACTTTTTCTTTCCAAACTGGTTTTAGACGCACTTCCTCTTTCGTTTCCTCTTCCTTAGGTAACCGTTTCACCGGTTTCAAGGTTATTTCTTCTTTTGTTTCCTCTTCCTTCGGTAACCGTTTAACAGGTTTCAAGGTTATTTCTTCCTTCGTTTCCTCTTCTTTTGGTAAACGTTTCACTGGTTTCAAAGTAATTTCTTCTTTTTCAGTTTCTTCCTTTGGTAATCGTTTAACAGGTTTCAAGGTTACTTCTTCATTCGTTTCCTCTTCTTTTGGTAAACGTTTGACTGGTTTCAAAGTAATTTCTTCTTTTACGGTCTCTTCCTTTGTTAACCGTTTAACCGGTTTCAAGGTTATTTCCTCTTTTTCTTCTTCTTCCTTTGGTAAGCGTTTTACTGGTTTCAAGGTTATTTCTTCTACTTCTTTTTCTTCTTTCGGTAAACGTTTCACTGGTTTCAAAGTGATTTCTTCCTTTTCTTCCGGTTGTTCGGGTTTAATTACCCGTCGAGTTTTCTTCAATTCCAATTTTGCGAAATCCTCAACATCCTTTTGTTCCGTCTTCTCTTCTGTTGTAACTTCTTTTTCTGTTTTTGGCTTTCTGCCTCGTTTCCATGGTAATTGACTTACTTCTTCCGGTTTCTCTTCAGTTGGAACATCGGAAACTTGTTCCAAAGGTTTTTCTTCAATCACTTCGGGAGTAATTTCCGCAGTTGTTTTTTCAATCTTCTTGGGTTTGGGACCACGTTTCCATGGCAATGCCACTTCCTCCTTTTCTTCCGGAAGTGGCTTAACTTCTTCAGTCACTTGTTGTTTCGGTTTTTTGCGATCTCTACGCCAGGAAACTGCGGTCTCTTGTTTTTCTTCTTCGATTACCTTCTTCTCGTCGAGAATTGTTTCCTCTAGGTCGGATTTTACTTTCAAGAGAGAAATATCAGTTTGTTCGGAATATGGTACTTTTTCAGTTACCACTTTTTCTGTTACTACTGTTACTGTTTCTTTTTTTGTTTCTACTTTTTCCGTTTCGATTTTTTCTGGTTTCAACGGTTTGAGTTGAACTTCCTCGAGTTTTTCTTCTTGGACATCTTTTTTGGTGGGTTTGGCACGTTTCAGGGTTATCTTCTCCTGGGTCCAAGGAACCTGTTCAGGTACTTCTTTCTTTGGTTTCTTTTCCACTTTCTCTTCTGTTGGTACTTCTTCTGGTTGAATTTCGCTTGTTTCTACTTCTTTTGGTTTTTGATCAATTTTCTTTGGTTTCTTGCCTCGTATCCATGGAACTTCACTTACTTCTTCTGGTTTCTCTTCAGATTTTGGTACTTCGGGAACTTGTTCCGGAAGTTCCTTTTGCTTCTTGACACCTCTTCGCCAAGAGACTGCTTCCTCTTGTACCTTTTCCTCTTCAATTGTTTCTTTTTCCTGTATCTTCTTCTTTAGGGTGATCTCTTTCGTCTCCTCTTGATCGGTCTTTACCTTCAGTAACGAAACGTCTATCTCTTCACTATATGGTACTTTTCCTTCTTCAACTTTTGTTGGTTTGACTTTTTCTAGTTTGACTTTTTCCGGTTTAACTTTTTCTAGTTCAACTTTTTCTACTTCAACTTTTTCTGTCTCAATTTTTTCTTGCCTAACCGGTTTAAGTTGAACTTCCTCGAGTTTTTCTTCTTGGACATCTTTTTTGGTGGGTTTGGCACGTTTCAGTGTTATTTTCTCCTGGGTCCATGGAACCTGTTCAGGTACTTCCTTTTTCGGTTTCTTTGTCTCTTCAACTTCGATTTCTAATTCGGCTGTTGTTTTTTCTTGCTTTTTGGGTTTCTTTCCTGGCTGCCAGGCTAATTCGGTAATTTCTTGTGGTTTCTCTTGTTCGACCTGTGGAATTTCTTCGGTCTTCTTTGGTTTCTTGCCGCGTATCCAAGGAAGTTCGCTTACTTCTTGAGGTTTCTCTTCGGACGGTACTTCGGGAAGCTGCTCCGGTTGTTCCTTTTTCTTCTTGACACCTCTTCGCCAGGAGACTGCTTCCTCTTCCACTTTTTCTTCTTCTGTTTTCTCTTTCTCTATTTTTTCTTTTTCCTGTATCTCCTTTAGGGTGATCACTTTCGTCTCCTCTTGATCGGTCTTTAATTTCAGTAACGAAACGTCTATTTCTTCACTATATGGTACTTTTCCTTCTTCAACTTTTGTTGGTTTAACTTTTTCTAGTTTAACTTTTTCTAGTTTCACTTCTTCTAGTTCAACTTTTTCTACTTCAGCTTTTTCTGGTCTAACCGGTTTGAGTTGAACTTCCTCGATTTTTTCCTCTGGAATATCTTTCTTGGTGGGTTTCGCTCTCTTGAGGGTTATTTTCTCCTGGGTCCATGGCACCGGTTGATCTTCTTTCTTTGGTACTCTTTCTTCAGTGGGACCTTTTGGTCGTATTTGTTTCGTTTCTGTTTCCTCGATTGTTATGTCTGTTGTTGTTGTTTCAACTTTCTTGCGTTTCTTGCCTCGTATCCAGGGAACTTCACTGACTTCCTGTGGTTTTTCCTCAGTCTCAGGAACCTGTTCCGGCTTTTTCTTCTCTCCTCTTCGCCAGGAGACTGCTTCTTCTTCTATCTTTTCTTCCTTCTCTTTTTCTTCTGTCTTCTTCTTTCGAGTGATTTCTTGATCGGTCTTTAGCTTCAGTAACGAAACGTCTGTTTCTTCACTATATGGCACTTTTTCTGCTTTAACTTTTTCGAGTTTAACTGTTTCTGTTTCAACCGTTTCTACTTCAACTCTTTCTGGTCTTACCGGCTTGAGTTGAACCTCTTCAACCTTTTCCTGTGGAAGATCCTTCTTCTCTGGTTTAGCTCTCTTTAGGGTTATTTTTTCCTGGGTCCAAGGAACCGGTTGGTCTACTTTTTCGTCCTTTTGGGGTCTCTTAACCTTCTTGCTGACTTCCGTATCTTCGTTGATAACAAGTTCAGCGACGTCTTCCCGTTCGACGTAATCGGTCGTATCTTTTGTTATCTGCACCTTTTCGGTACTTTCCTTCCTGACAGTCTTTAGTTGCACCTCCTCAATTTTCTCTTCGGGAATTTCTTTCTTCTCTGGCTTGGTTTTCTTCAGTGTTACCACTTCTTCAGTCCATGGTTTCACCTTCTCCTCGACGGGTAAGGTTTGCTTTACGGATTTTCGTGTAATGTCTGTGTCTTTAGATACTTGAAGTAGAGTTGTATCTTCAGTCTCGACAAAGTCACCGGTTTTAGTCTTTTGACCCTTACGTTTAGTGATATCAACCCGTTTGGTAACATCCAGAAGTGATGTATCTTCTTCCTCGGTGTAATCTTGTTTGGTTACATCGATTTCTACCTTCGATTCTTTAGTGACAGGTCTTAGGTTTACTTCTTCAAGGACTGGTTTAGCGATTTCTGATCTTTCGGGTTTGGAAGGCTTTAGCGTGACACTTTCCACAGTTTCGGTTGGTATCACTTTCTTTTGGGGTTTTGATTTTTTGAGTGTTATCTGCTCCTCGGTCCATGGTTTCGGTTGTTCGGGCTTTTCGCTTTTCTTTGTAATCTGAACTTTTTTGTTGATATCCAAAAAGGTTGAATCTTCTTCCTCGGTATATTCTTCTTTTGTATCGATAGTCTTTGTGTCGATCTTTTTTGTTTCGTCCTTTGTGAACTTTTTCAGTTCCACTTGTTCTAGAGTGGCTTTGGAAATTTCCGTTTTCTCCTGTTTGGTCGGTCGCAAGTCGACTTCCTCCAATTGTTCCTTGGGAATTACCTTTCGTTCGGGTTTCATTTTCTTCAGTTCTATCTTCTCCTCGGTCCATGGTTTCACTTTGTCGGTTGTTTCTTCCGATTCTTTGACCTCTGGAAATTGTTTTCGGGACTTTAGGGTAATTTCCGTTTTGGAAAGACCTAAGAGTGTTGTGTCCTCTTCTTGACTGTATCTCGTGAGTCCATCTTGAGTGTCTTCGGTTAACAGTCTTTGTAAGGTTTCTTCACTTATCGCCGGTTCTTTTGGTACCGGTTTCAGTTCCACTTGCTGTAGACTTTCACGTCTTATTTCCTTTTTCTCAGTTTTCGTCGGTCGTAGTTCAACCTCCTCCAAAGTTTCCCTCGGTATCTCTTTAATTACCTGAGTCGCTTTCTTGAGGACTATCTCTTCCTCTGTCCAAGGTTTCACTGTATCAATTTCTGGTTTTAATTTCCTATCTAAAGAAACATCACGCGATTTTGGTATACTTTTACGCCATGGTGTTATATTTGTGGGTCGTGATCGATGATGAACACGACTCTTCCTCCAGGGCAATGTCTCATCGCCTGGTGGAAGTGGTGTTCCTAGAGGAAGACCCTCTTCGTCATATTCGATTGCATCCTTTGGCACATCCTTTGAAGCTCTTCGCTCTATCAATGATCCTCCCACAGATGTACCGATCGTTGGCTTCTTGCCAGTCTTAGCACCAGGTCCCATTGAATCTTCAGGGACTGGTGATTCATAATAAACGCCTCTTCTTTCTGTAAAGACGTCAACATTTTTTTTTTGCTTTGTTTCTCCATGTTTTTGATCATTTGAATAGAAAAAATAAATAAAGATCAAATGCTGAAAGAATATTTGGATAAATTCCAAGAAAAAAAAATATATCATATGATCGTCTGTGGAAAATTCTGTTTTCATTATAAAATATTAGAAAATAAAATTAGCCAGTCTTGAAGCGATACAAAGTCTCATTATCGCGGGGATTTTGCACTTGGCAGTAAAATAAACAAGAGAGGGATTAGAGTGAAATGAAATCGTCACCTTGAGGGAATATATTAACACTAAGGGACTGTGATGTTATTTACATTGCGCAATATTATTCCCTGTCTAGAAAATTTTGACCTCGAGCGAGTCCAACTTTGATAAAAATCATATATTTTTAGTTTCTACAAGGTTTTTCAGGTGGAATCAGAAAGAATTTATTTCTTTTTCAAACTTGTTTTTTTATTTATTTATTTATTTTTTTTTGTAAAACGTGAGTCACTTGGTTAGGAAATAAAAAAGAATCATTCTTCCCACTTCGATTGAAGAATGAGACGGGCAATTATTTTTAAATTGTTTGGCTACTGTGTTTAAACACCATTTTTGGTACATGGCCAGTCGACACGGTCTGGTAATAATATAAATTAATACGCTCTTTTTGGTTGACATGTGAAACGGATTCGCGAGTATTATAAATTTTCGTACAACATTGCTGAGAGAATTATTGCTTTTGGAAATTTATGCCGTTCACAACGAGTACAAGGAGTTTGGTTTTGAGCCAATTTGAGGAACGATCTGCGCGATGTTTATCTTGACTAGAATTATAGATTTTCTTCTTTTTTCTTTGGCTTATTCTAAAACTGTGAGAAATTACTCAAGACATTTTGGCTTTTTTGATTATAAAGCTTCCGGGTGTTTCTCTCAATATTAATTTTGCTCGTTACTTGATCTCTTTAAATAAAATAAATAAAAATAAATAGACAAAAAATAAATTAAGAATAAATAAACAAAAGATAAATAAAGAATAAATAAATATAAATTTATACAAATAAATAAATAAACGAAAAAAAAAACGAAAAATAATGAAAATGCTAACAATTTGAAATTGAATTGTTTCATTGTTGTGAATTATTGAAAGAGAAAAATGAAGACAATTTGTCTGTGTGTGTGTGGGGGGAGAAAAGAAGTTCGCTGAACGACCTGAGTTTTCATGAGGGGCTATTTTTAACGGGGATTGGCCACAGGGTTAAATAATTACAAAAATAGTTGAGCCATGAAGAGCAACATGCCTGTCCATCAACATCAGAAACGAGAGACATTAATTCAGCGGCTTTCGTTTGATTAAGTTATTTACTTAAGTGTTGTAAATCATGTCAACATTCTCCTCTATTCAACAAAACATAAATCAAAATCAACTTCTTTCAAACAAATATAAATCATTTGTCAGTCGATCATTGGAAATTATAATTTCTTGGAAATAAAATTTTCCCCAAAAATGAGAATATTAACCAGACTAATGACTTTTTTTGGCCAATGATTAAAAAACGAATAAATAAATAAAAAAGAATAAATAAATTAAAAAGTAAATAAATCATGAAAGATCACATGAAAAATTGAAATTGGATAATATTTTATCAAAATTGATCATTGTCAAATTAGAGTCAACTGCACTAGAACTTGACTATTTTATGATCAGTTAATTTATTTAAAAAGATGATAAATTCTCATCATGAATTTGTACAAATTACGAAAAATAAATTATGAAAGATCACGTGAAAGATCACTTGGAGAAAAAAAATGATCGTTTGGTTTGAAATGATTTCAAAAGTGAAGTTTGAGTGAGGAAAAAAAAATGATGGAAGGAATGAGTGGAAATGTAGAAGCTTGCCTAAGAATGGGAACTGTAAGTGGTGGGGATCTTATGCATGACATCACTTGGTTCACCTCCACCTCTTGCTTCGTCTATCCACGAGCATAGTTATCCACTGGAGGTTGAAGAGTGTATGTGCGTTCCAAAGGGGTAGTTCTTTTATTTTGCGAAAAAAAATTTTTGTTTTGTGCGCGACATTGTGAACTCAAAGTTTCAAGTGTTTTATTTTTTTTAAAAACAGTGATTTTATTTTTTATAGAAAAGAAAATCATCAATCGATTAGTGTTTCTTTTGAGGAATTTAGTGAATTATTTTGCCGGTGGTTTTTTTTTTTGACAGTTAAACTTTGGCCGCTTTTGATCAAACATTTGAAAATGCCAAATATTAATTTTTGATTTTTGCATAATTATTTCTTTTTGAATATTTTTGGTTTACTAATATTATTTTTTAATTTTGTTTACTTATATTTGTTAATTTTGTTTACTTATATTTTTTAATTTTGTCAACTGACATTATTTTTTTATTTTTGTTTATTGATATTATTTTGTTACTGTTGTTTCTAAATATTATTTTTTTAATATTGTTTCTAAATAGTATTTTTTAATATTTTATATTATTTCTTATTATTTCTTCAGTATTTAACTGATCCGGAATATTTCTTTCGATAATTATTTCGAGAGGGAAATAATTATCTAGAAAAGAAAATTTGTTATTTTTGTCATTTCTATTCACGCTTTTTAATTGTCTGTTCTATTTTCAATAATCGTTCTTTCAAAATTAGTTTCTTTTATATTCTTTTTTTGAAATATTTCCTGTTGGATATTTTTTCTTCTTTGCTATTTCGGAATCTTTTTTCTTTTTCTTCTATTTTTAACAATGGTTTTTTTTAACAATATTCAAAAATACTTTAAATTCTTTTGTTTTTCTAAAACTCGTAAAATATTTTCGTTAAAAAACTCAATCTGTATTTTTTGAAAATTTATTTTGTTGGTTTTTTCATTTTTATTTCGTATTTTTTAATTTTCTTTTCTATTCTTTACTTCTCTTTTAAATTGTTTTATTTTCTTTTCATTTTTTTCCATTCTTTATTTTCCATTTTTTTCTTTTTAGTTTCTTCTTTTATAAAATTATTCAAATTTGGCATTTTTCGAGTTGTTATTTTTTTCCACTCGTTTGATCAAGAAGCGGCCGGTTTTGAACAGGATAAATGTAATTTTGTCTTAAGAGAAACCGTTAAGAAAGTGGTGTTATATATTTTAAATGCGATCAAATTTTTTTTTTTTTAAACCTCTCGTGAATTTTAATTCTCAAATGGAATTTTCTCGAAAGATTTTTAAGGAGAAATACGAAAAAAAATGAGTGAAAGAAAGAGACTTATCGGAAACCAGTTTCTGCTAGTTGCACACATTCTGCAACGCTACACGCTCTTTGTTTTTTTGACTACGATGGCAAAGCGTAACGAGTTTCAAAACTTGTTTTTGCACGCGAGTTCTACATATAATTTTTCACAATCTCCACATCCTTCAGACAATCGCATCTTCGCAGTTTGTTTTGTGTGTTTTTTTTTTACTTAAATTAATTTTTCACATGAAGTAATTACTATTTTTTAATTTTTATAACAAAAATCTGTAAATATTCTCTGTAAGTTCGAAAAATAAATGAACGATACAAATAAATAATTTCTTGGAGTTTTATTTATTGTTTGTGGTTATTGGTACTACAGTTGTAATTATTATTGTTGTTTACTGTATTCAATAGTATAATTGACATTTATGATTTTGTAATTTTTATTTTTGTTGTTGTAATGATTATTATTGTTTTTACTATAATAACTATTGTTGTTTTACTACGAAAATTATTATTGTTGATACTGTAGTAATTAGTATTACTGTAGTAATTAGTATCACTATAGTAATTAGTTATACTATAGTAATTACTACCACCAGTAATTGGTATCACTTTAGTAAATACTATCACTACAGTAATTAGTATCACTATAGTAATTGCTATCACTATAGTAATTAGTCTTACTACAGTAATTGTAATAATTATTATTATTTTTATTATTACTATTATTCTGCACTATCCTCTAATTTTTTCCTCTCCACTTTTATTACAGTCAAGTTTTCCTTTTTACTGAAATCTTTATTTGAAAAATAAAATTTTTTATTCGATTCTTTCTATTAATTTTTTCGAAAAAAAGATTTTCTAAATTTTTGAAAGAAAAATAATTTTTTTATTCTAAAGAAAAATATTTTGATGAAATATTTGATTATTTCTATAAACGAATTATTAAAATATTTTTTGATGATAAAATACTCGAGGGAGAAAAAAGAGAGAAAGAGAGAGTGTTGCCTTCTTGTGTGATGATGACGAATCAACTTAATAGTAGCGTGAGCTTCCCAATGACCAGAAATACCCCAGAGAGTTTCCAAGAGTACGCTGACACGATGGATGATATTTCAGGCACGCTGAATCATCGAGTTTGCTGCGAGCTGGCTGAAATAGCGATCGTCGTTATTCACAAAGGTGAACGAGAAGTTGGTTAAAGGTGAGAAAAAGAGGTCTTCAAATTTGCAATGTTGATTCAGCCTGATGTTTTCTTCTTCTACTTCTCCTCTTTTTTTTTGGTGTCAGAGACGTTGAGGGACGATACCTTGGCACACTCTTTCTCTCCATTAAATTCCACTGATGGTTGAGTCAGGTGGTTGACTGTTTTGCTCGATTCAAAGACATGACCGTGAAAAATGTCCAATTTGCACTTGTCCCTCTGCTCTAGATCAATCATTCTCGTATTCGCTATATTTAGCATCTCTCATCGTTGACAATATTCATCAAATTCGACTTATATTTTTTCAACATTTTCCAAATTGTTTTTATCATTTAGCATTTTTTACAATCTATCATTTTTTTATCATTTAGCATCTTTTACTATTTACTTTTTTATCATTTAGCATTTTTCTATTTATCATTTTTTACTATTTAATTTTGAAAATATTCTTTTCTGGTTGTTTAAAATTATCAAACCGAATTTAAAAAATTAAATTTTAAAATCTCTATTACATAAAAAATGCATTGCAAGAAATTAAATTTCCAAATGATGGTAATTTATCATTTTTCTTTAGTTTTTTTTTTCCTTTTTTTCAACAAATTTTAATTTTCTTTTAAAAATGTTGTTTTTTTTTGTGAACAATAGTCTCGACAATTTTGAACAATAGAAATTTGAGAAAGAAAAATAATCGAGTTGTTGATCAAGGAAGTGCAGGAAGAATATATAATAGGGGAAAGAAAAAGAAAAATACTTAAGTGTCATTAGTTTTAAAAAAGAAGGGATCCCAGGAAAAGATGATGGTCTGGGTAAAATCCCTACCGCGCCAAATATAGACCCGTAATGTAATACACGTCACGTACACAGAAATAGCATAAGAAGTCTAGCTGAGTGCACACGGCACATCGAGCGTTTTGTAGCATCCTGTGTGTGCTCTTTTTTGAATCCAAGCTGCTTAAGATCGCATTGAAATTCATGAATTTTTGTTTGTATTCCGTGTGACTATCAATTTTAGACAATATATATATTAAGAAAACTGGAATGAGGGACGGAGAAAATTTAAATATTCACACATTTCTTCACTGTCTGAATTATGTGCGACAATTCAATGAATAAATTAACCCGGAGACGTTGAAACTCAGATTTTCTTGAGAAAAACAAAATTCGATTCTAAATAAAAGAAATAAAATAAGATTTTAATGTTCAGTCTTCTGTTGATCAAAATTAGTCTTGATTTTATAACTTTGTTAGAGTTAACAAGAATCAACGTGTTTAAAAATAATTTTACTGCATTCTCCTCATGTGTTTGGTAGCAGAAAATAGGAATCAATTTTTGGAATTGATTTTACTGCATCTGATCAACAACTTGATTTGGATTTATATCTTGAGTCTTCAATAAATCATTTTCGTCGTCGATCAAAAAATTTAATGAATTTGATTAACATTTTCTTTCATTAAAAATATCGCTTGAAATCTGATTAATAGGTATTTTCTTCTATTACAAAAATATCGTTAAAATTATGATCCTAACGTTCTGAACGTTCAAATGAACGAAATTTATTTATATCTTCTTGAAATTAAATTTTTATTATAATTATTTTGCCTCAGTTTCAAGAAAATTAATTCTAAGGTTTCTAAATGTAAAATTAAAGTCTTTAATTTTTATTATAATCAGTAAATTATGAAAATATTTTTAATAAAAAATATTTCGTTCATTTGAACGTTCAATCTTGTGGATAATCTAAAATTGCTGAATGTTACAATAACTTTTCATTTATCTTTTTTTAATAAACTGTTTTGCTAGTTTAAAAACACTCTGTTTATTACAATTATAATATAATTCTAAAAATAATTATAATGTGTATAAAAATAATTATAATAAATATTATAATTATTATTTGTTACTTTTGACAAATTTTTTTTAGCAAACATTTAGCAATTTTCTTTTTTGCGTTCGTAGCAACTGCAGTCCGAAATGTAGAATATTATTTATTGTTAAACAATTCCAAGAAAATTTTGCAATTTGTTATAATTTTTCTGTTTTAATAATTATTTCTAATTTGTGAATAACTTACAGCTTGATTGTCGCATTTTGGAAAAATTTGTTTCAATTTAAAAATACTAAGTTCACTAATCTCGATAAGTGTTTAAAAAATTTACCGGATAACAAACTAAACTTGTATATTTGCAATACTTTTTATTAGACTTTCCATTGTACAATAATAAATAATTAGTAAAACGTTAGATGATTTAATAATGTCATTGTGACTATACAGTAGAGTGAAGTATGAGAACAGAAGCGATTAAACAAATGCGATTTTATGTATTAAAAAACAAATAAGTATTATAATTATTAATAATAATACTATTAATAATTATAATAATTATATAATAATATTAATAATTATAATAATTATTATGTATAATAATATATTATGTATACTGCTGAAAAAATCACCCAATTGATTTTTTTCTCATGATCGCAAACAAATAACAAATTTTCATTATAATTCGATTATTGCGTTATGAAACTCGTTTTCTTAGCCTTCAATATTTCGTTTCCATTTCAACACATTATTGATGAAATTGAATTTACTGAGAAATCAGCATTGAGTAATTAATAAACACTTTTTTTTTGCTGATGATTTTAATGTAACTTTGAAACACAATTCACTGGAATTTCACGAGGTTTCTAAAATTAAATGTCATCAGAAAAAAAGGGAAAGAGATCATTTAGCACTACCTTCGTTGAATAAATATACGACGCTCAGGGATTCTTTAAAAAAAAATACTTTGCCTTACTAAGCTCTATATTGCACGATCAAAAATTTTTTTTTAGATTTTGTTTTTTAATATCAATGTTAGTAGAAAAAAACTGCCCGGTTCGTTTCACTGTGATTAAAACTAGCGATTTTTTGTTAAAATAATGCGGGAACGATTTTTATTACCGCAAGAGAAAAAAAGTTTTTTTTTTGGAGAACTCTTGATGAGTCCCGTACTTTATTACCGAGTTTTTTTTTTTTTGAATATTTTTAAATGGATGGGCAATATTGGGACAAAAGTTTGTCAAGAGCAATTTTGGTTTCGTTTTCTTTTTGACGCTTCAAGACTGAATTAGCGAGTTTAAGTGGAATTCAGTTCTTACTTTTGACGATGAGCTTGGCTGATGTTTCGACAGTGCCAGCGGAGGTTGTTGCACGACAGGTGAAGGTGCCAGTGTCTTCTTCGTAGGTCGTCGCTATCAGCAATACTGCATTGTTTCCCTCATGAATCATCTGCGACAAAAAAAATCCAATATTTTTTTTAATTTATAATTTTTACTTTTAGATTTTTATTTAAATAATTTATTTATTTTCTACTTTACTAGTGAATAAATTATATTTTTATATATTGCGATTAATATTTAAATAATAAATCATAAGGATCATAGTCTCCTTATTTTTCTAATCTCTTTTTTACCCTTTTACCCATTTTTATCCCCTTAAATTTATAAAATTTCCTAAAAAACTTAAAGTCATGCATATTGTTCTCTTTTCATCTTTTTTTCTAGAGAAAAACGTACAAAAATTACCTTTTTTGTAAGAGGGATCATTTTTTAATTATATCGAATTTTTACTTTTGCAAATTTTGAAAAAATTTATGTTTTTCTAAAACTTAAAAATTATTTTATATTATTTTTTAGAATTTTTAAACTTAGAAATTTTATTCAAATTTTCTTCAAGCGCAGTACAATTTGTTATTAAATTTTATTATATGCAGAATCGATTTGACTACATCTAAAGTAAATTTTGCTAATTTTTATAAAGAAATTTTCTTCGGAAATTGTAAAAATTATTCTGGAAATAACAATTTTTAATAGTATAAATTTTACTATTTTTAGAGGAAATTTTACCAAGTCTGAAGTAAATCTTACTAATTTTTACTGATATTTAATTCGGATACTGTAAAATTAATAGGATCTTAAAACAAAAGTAATTCAATAGAATTATTTAATAGAACTGATTTTTTGTTTTCATTTTTTTGATAAAAATTTTAATATTAAGTATTTTCTTTTCTTTTTGTTTCAGGTGAGTTAAACAACATTTTCCCTATCGAGTTTATTTCGTAAGTAGGTAAATATATTTCGAAATATAATATAATTAAGTATATATTATAAGGAAAATATAATTATATATCAAAGGAATAATTTGTAAATTCTGATTCGTTTATATTTAACGAATAATTATTTTTTTCGAGTTGATAATTAATTAAATTGAAGGAAATGTAATATTACATAAAAAAATCACTGTAATCCCTGGAATTATTACGAAACGAAATTTTTGCAGTTTTCTGAAAATATTTTAAATTTTTAACAAGAATTTTTGAGTAGAAAATGAAAATAATAATAATTAAATATTATTAATAAAGTAAAAAAAATATTATTAATATTGTAAAGAATGTAGGGAGTATACAGTAACCGAAGTAGAGAGTAAAAATTTACTTCAAAATGGGAGTTAATTTACACCGTCGAGAGTATTAAATAATAATAGTGATAAATATAATTATATCAAGTAAAATAATATTGATAAATATTGATAATAATAATATAAATATTATTAATATTATTTATATTATTATGTATATTATTATTAACAACTACTAAATAATAATATTAATAATAATACTAGTAGTAATGAAAATAATGATTGGTAATGATTAAAGAGAATTAATTGATAGCTTCCCTGGAAATTTTGTTTGGGATTATTTTCTTTACAATTTTAAATTTTAAATTATTTCCGTGATAATTAAGTACATTTTTTTATCTTCTTTCTGATTTTAATTTTTTTCATTAGCATTTTTTTCCTCACGTGATGTTTGTTTTTCTTAGGCATTTTATAATTAATTGTTGAGATAATAAAAAAGGCAATTAGTCAATGTTCTCACCTGGAAATCCGGCGACTGTGGTATGAGAGCACCTTCACGATACCATTGAATGGTGGGTTTGACTTTTGGTGGAGTCACTTGTGTTTTAAATTGAGCGGGCTGACCTTCAAGGACAATTTGATCCTTGAGCGGTGATAATTTTGGTAAAACGTCAGCAGTATCAGGAGCTAGATTAAAAAACAAAGAAATTATTCATTTCGTAGAGAGAAACAATAATTTTGTAGGAAGATTAATATTAAAGTAGACAATGATTAGAAATATTATGGAATATGATAAATAGCTAGTTTATTAATTGACTGTTGATTGATAATGTTGATTGATTATTGATCACCATTGATGACAAATGAACAGTTGCAGATTAAAGTGTTTTTTCAAAGAATCTCTTAAATGGATTAACGATTATTGACACCTACCGAGTACCCTAAGATTAGCGGAAGTCGTCACTTCTCCCGCTGGATTTTTGGCAATGCATTTATAAACGCCCTCATCCTCGGGGAATGCCTCGGAAATTCTTAAAGTACAAAGATCAACCTCCTTTTGCATTTGGAAGTATTTCGATGGCTTGATAACCTTTAATGAAAAAAAAATCCATTCAGTAATTTACAGAATCCTTATTCTTCAAAATTTAAGATTAAGATCTTAATTAAAATTAATTAAGATGAAACTAAGAGAAGATGATTTATGATTCTCTCACCTTGTCTCCCTTCTTCCACTGAATTGTAGGAGTTGGTTTTCCAGAGATTCGACATGAGAAGGCAACAGACGTTCCCTCCTTGATGGTCTGATCCTTAAGTGGTTCAGTCACACTTGGAGCTTTTTCAGCTCCAGGAGTTGATGGTTTCGCTGATTTCGCCGGTGATTGTGGACCACGAACTGTGCACTCAGCATCGCAACGCGCTTCTCCAGCACTATTTAGAGCAACACATTCGTATTTTCCAGTGTCTTCTGGTACACTCTCGAGAATCAGTAGAGTATAGGTGTTATCTTCCTCCAAGGTCTTGTATCGAATGTCAGCAACGATCTTCTTTCCATTCTGTAACAATCAACAAGCAAAGGAAGCAATTAATACCAGAAATTTATCAAAAGGATTGATTGTCTGATGAATCGATCAGAAAGAATTTCTACTAACCTTGAGCCAATAGACGTCGAGTGGTTTCGTTCCAGTGACCTTGGCATCGAATCTCGCCAATTGACCAGCATTGACAGTTGTACTTTGAATAGTCGAGAGAAAACTAGGTGGAACCTTTCCCCCTCTGCCAGGTTGACGTCTCCTTTCTTCAACAACAAGATTAGCGCTGCATTTAGCTTTTCCTCCACGATTCTCAGCAATAACCGAAAATACACCCGAATCTTCCATAAACACTTGTCGAACAATCAATACTGATTTTGTACTGAACGTATAGATCTGCAGATCAGAGGAGTTTGTAATTGGAAAATCTTCCCTGTACCATTTGATCGTGGGCAATGGATCGCCATCGAATTCAACCTCGAATTTAGCTTGTTCCTGCTCAAAGGCACGGCATGGTTGAATTTTTTTCGTGAACACCGGTGGTGTTGACGGTTTCACTTGACCTTGAACAACACGTTCCTGTGTTTTGGCCTTGTGCTCCATTTCCGTTGTCTCGGTGGCGGTGATTTTTCTTGTAATCTCAACGTCTCCTTTTGTTTCCTTCTGCGTTTGTTTTTGCTTTGCTACGTGCACCTCACGTCCATGAACTGTTGATTCAGATGGATCTGGTGGATACTTACCGGAGCCTTTCACACGCTCGGTGTCAATATCCACTTGAGTGGTGAATGGTTTCTTGACAATTTTCGGAGGTGGCTGAACTGGCTCTTGGGGTTGTTCTTCCCTGTTGAGGAAAAAGAAAATAATAATTAGCAAATTCTGCTGATCGTCATTTTTTTACTTTTTAATCTAATGGTTATAAAAAGATATTAAATCTTTTTGTTCTTATCAGTCTACTTACAAGTTTTCTTGATACTTTTGAGCCATTCCCTTAGCCATTGAATTGCTGACAATTTTCTCACCGGGAACAGCGTATTGATGTGATTGCTCACGTAGTCTTTGTTCCTTGAGTACTTGATCCTCCTCGAGTGTCATCAATTTATTGTAGTAATCCTCATTTTTCTTGGTTTTCACCGACTTTTGCCAATCGGTGTCAGGCTCTTTGAATACTTTTGGTGCTAGATGTTCGGTAGCAATTGAAACACCCTGAGATACACTCTGTTGACGTTCATCAAAAACTTTTTCGAGTTCTGTATCCTGACGTTCGGCTTGATATTGAGTGAGTTCATAATCGTACCAAGCTGGAGAAAATTATTGGCTTTTCTTAGTAATTGAAAAGAATTGTAATTATTGAAAATAATTAAACAAACATTTTTTGCATGCTCAATAGTATTGACATTTCTAGTACATATAGATATTATAATTCAGTTTCACGAAGGATTATTACGACACAACATTCGTGATGCAACAGTAAACACATAATTCGGCTCCTCAATCACTTTTAGAAATAAATTCTTTTTTTTGAGGGGAAAAGCAGGATTTCCGGAGAGAGGATATAACCATTTTGATGAAGAGAAATATTCTTTCTCAGTTTGATATTTGATAAAAAGTTATAAAGAAATTTTTTGAAAAATATAAAAAAATAAAGTATTCAAAAGTATCTTAATGTTTCTTAAGAGATAATTTTAGAAAGAATTCCATTGTCTTAAAATGGTCCAGCCCAGCGAAGTAATCAAGGGGCTTGAATCTCTTGTTCAAATTGAAATTACGATTCTGTAAAATCCTAGGATCAATTGTTTTTGCTAAATTGAAATTACGATTACGGAATATCCTGGGATCAATTTGAACGAGAGATGGTAAATTATTCAAATTATTTAGAATATAGACACTAGAGAAGAATAATAGGATTTTAAAAATTAAGATTTTATTTTTTCAAACGGGGCTGAGTAATATTGAACGTAGAATAATTACCAAAAAATTAATAAACATGGTGAAATACAAATACTTATATTGTGATGATGATTATACATTAACTATACCTGAAGCGAACATTTCCTCGAGGTATGCGTATTGTCAATTTCTCGATATTCATCGGCCAAATTTTCAATTCCAATTGCTGCAGTGCATTGAGCGTCGGAAGAAGCTAACGGATTGGGATTTATAAGAAAAATCAAGGAACAAGGATTTTGGATGTCGTTTTTGATATTTTTTTTACTTCTCTTTGGGATTATTTAGTTGCGTGGAAGTGATTTTTGAGTATTTTGTGCTCGAATAGAATTGTACGTGTCGCATCGTTTTTTGTATGTTGAGAAAATGATTTCGAATCATAAAATTCAAGTAGCTCGTGTGCCAATGTGATTGTACCATTGTTTTTCTTATTTTTGATTTTACGATTGAGTTGAATTGAAAATATTTAAGTTTGAAAAAAATTTATTGTAGTTTTTTTTGGTACCAGGATGTGTATTTTTTGGTACCAATTGAGTAGATTTTATTTCTTGATTGATTCTTAGAGTTATGCGTAATTTTCCTTGATTAGGAATTATAGGATCATCACAATAATTCATGATTAAGAGTTGATCAGATCTTGTCAATTCTTTATGATCAGGAATCACTACGATCATCACAGAATTCCCTAATTAAGGAATCATCAACATCAGCGAAATAAAATCCCAGATTTGACACTCTTTCAACTGATTGCCGTAAATCAGAATCATCATGCGGAATGAAAATACACATCCTGATAGTGATTTAACGAAAACTTTGACAGTTTTCTGGAACTTACGTCTTGGAGAGTTTTTGAGAACTCCACGATAATCGTCACTGCGCGGCTTCACTGTAAGAGTGGTTTCTGTTCGTGCTTCACCAACCGAACTTCTGGCAATGACTTCAATCTTTCCATTGTCATATTGCCTGGTTTTCGGTATATCGAGATGATACATTCCATCGTATGTTAATTTGTATCGCGAACCCTGATCAGAATAAACCAAAAAATCATTATTAGAAGATATTTTTTGAAAACTGATACATTAAGAGGATAAAATTTCATCAAATTACGTTAACAACGGTGTGTCCATTGATCAACCACATGACACGGGGTTTAGGATGACCGGTGACACGACAACAGAATCTGGACCAATCGCCTTCTTCAACGACGTACGGTTCCGGCTTGCTGACAAATGCTGGAGGTGCTTTTACTTTCTCCTCCTCGCCCTCTTCTTCTGGTACACTACAATTATCATCGATTACAGATTTATACTTTCTAGTTACCAGGATGCTGAATTCTTGATTGAATTGATTGAGTTCTTGATTGTCTCGATTGAATTGATACAATTCTTCTATTTAAACGGAAGGGATTCAAAAATAGAGGAATACTTACACTTGCCAGGCAGCTTCCATTTCGCGAATCTTTTCGATACTCTTCATTCCCTTTGGTAATTGTGATTCGTAGATGATTCCAGGCTTGCCGGCTGTCTTGATGACTGCTCTTGTTTCATCCATTCCATAAAGATTTGTCGCTCGACAGAGATATTCGCCACTGTCTTCAGGATAGACCCAACCGAAGTTCATGGCAACGTAGCCGAAATCATAAATTGGAGTGAATCTGTTCTTGTGTGGCAATGGTTTACCATTGAAGAACCATTCGACCTTCATGTTTGGATCGCCAACCGGAGCAAGCTGACATTCAAATTTAGTATTGTTCATCTCAACAAGTTCTGTTTGATTTTCAATCTGAGTGACGAATCGTGGCGGTTGCTTCTTATCAGCATCGTAAAGATCATCCTCCGTTAGATGAACCTCAGAGGTGTACTTCTTGATTGTCGCTTCCATTTGCATCAGGGCTTCTGATTTCTTCATTCCCTTTGGTACTTGATTCTGCAGAATGATGTTTGGCAACTCTGCAAGCAGAAACAATTATGTTGATCACAAATAAGTTATGGTTAATTGTCTAACGTAAAATTTATTGATAAAATTTTGATGAATTGATAAAATAAAATTGATAAAATTATCAAATATGGTTGATTAGAAAACTTACGTTTGCAAGAAACAGAAGCTCTGGTGGTGTCTTCTCCAAGATCGTTGATTGCCTTGCACACATACTCGCCGGAATCTTCGGCATAAACGTAAAGAACGTCCATTGAGACGAAGCCCATGTCATAAGCTGTTCGGTATCTGTGACCAGCTGGAATGAGTTTTCCATTCCGGTACCACTCGATACGAAGATTTGGATCATCTTTCGGTTCGACGCGACATTCGAAACGGACCGATTCGGATTCCTCGACTGTTGCTGATTGGATTTGAGTGATGAATCGTGGTGGCTGTCGTGGTGGTTCCGGAGGTGGAGCTTCGGTGACTGGTCCACGTTCCAATTCCTTCAGTTTTTCCCCACTCATTCCACTTGGTAGTTGAGACTCAAAGTCAATAGCTTTCTTGGCTAAATGGACAAAAATTCGTTGTTAATGGACATAAATACAATGAACATAAATACAGTGGGTGTAAATAAAGAATTTAAAATCTTACATTTACAAGTGACAGTAGCTTTGGTGGTCGCTGATCCCCATTTGTTGGTAGCTCTGCAAACGTACTCTCCACTATCTCTAGCGTAGGTGTAAGACAAGTCCAGAGAAATAAAACCAAAATCGTTGATCTGGTGAACTCGTGATCCGGTGGCAAATGGACGACCATTGTGGAACCAATCGATGCGCATTGTTGAATCATTCGAAGGCTCAACACGACAGTCAAAGTGACTGGGTCCAGCTTCCTCTACCTCAATGTCCTTCAATTCGACCGTGAATCTAGGTGGATTTGGTGCCTCCTCTTCAGATAGAATTTCATCCTTCTTATACAAAGCTTCCTCCAGTTTTTGAATACTCTCCGTTCCAGTTTTGAAATTATTCGGAAGTTGGGGTTCAAGGATGATTCCTTGACGACCGCGAACTTGCAATTTACAGGAGACTGTCGCCTCACCGTGTTTATTGGTAGCCTTACAGGTGTACAAACCAGAATCTCGTTGATAGCAATTAGCAACTTCAAGAATGACAAATCCAAAGTCATGAATTGTCTTCACTCTAGAACCGGCTAGCAATGCTTTTCCATTGTGGAACCATTCGACTCGCATACTGGAGTCATTGACAGGTTGAAGGCGACATTCAAAGTGAGCTAGGGAATTTTCTGATAGAGTCAAATCTGATGGAGTGGTGATGAATTCGGGTGGTTTACCAGTATCATCATCGGGACTAGGTTGACCGGGTTCATTGCCAAGACCTTCAAGTTCGGCGATCTTGTCGATTGTTCCCTCCATTCCCTTTGGTAGTTGTGATTCGAGAATGATGTTCCTCTTGCCGGTACACTTCATTGAGCATGTTGTGACAGCTTCGCCATAATCGTTCGATGCCCTGCAACTGTATTCACCAGAGTCTTCTGGATAGATTGGCGATATTTCCAGAATAACGAAACCAAAGTCACAGAAGGTGCGGAATCGTGAACCAGTGCGAAGAGGTTTGCCATTCCAGAACCATTCGACTTTTAGTTTTGGATCATCGGTTGGAATTAGACGCGCTTCAAAGTGTGAGCTTTCACCCTCACGAAGACCGTCGAGATTGCTCAAGGGAACAGTGAACATTGGCGCCTTTCCTGTTGTTTCCACTGATCTGTCATCTTTCGTGCGAACCATCGAATCCTCCAAAGTTTGTATCTTCTCCAAACCGCCTTCCATTCCCTTTGGCAATTGTGATTCCAAAATGAGATTCGCCTTGGACAGGCATCTCAAAGTCGCTTTTGTTGTATCCTCTCCGTATTTATTCACCGCTCTGCATTCGTAAACACCAGAATTCTCCTCGTAACAGTACAAAATATCGAGAATAACAATTCCAAAATCGTGGAATGTTCTGTAACGATGACCATGGGGTAATTTCTTGCCATTGTAATACCACTCTACCTTGAGATCCGGATCAGTGATTGGAGTCAGTCTCGCTTCAAAGTGCGCAGATTGGCCTTCGACTAATTTCGTGATATCAGAAATTTGGGTGATGAATTTCGGTGGTTCGGCAACAACTGGTGCTTGAGATGTCTGTTGATCACCGTTAAAGCTCTCGAGTTCACGAATTCGAGCCAAAGAATCCGGCTGAAGGGAGTCTGAGTAGACTCCACCTTTGCCGAAGCACTTGATTGTCGCTTTGGTGAAGTCTTCACCAAATTTATTGCTTGCTTTGCAGACATATTCCCCAGAATCGTGGGACATAACACCAGCAATGTCCATGACCACAAAGCCAAAATCTGACACCATCTTGAAGCGAGATGAATGACGCAAGGGTTGTCCATTATGGAACCATTCAACCTTCATGTTCGGATCACCAACAGGTATCAGTGTGCATTCAAAGTGAGCCGATTGTCCATCCTTAAGACCCTCCAATGATTGTATGTGGGTCGTGAATTTTGGTTTCTGTCCCTTCGACTTGTCGACACATTCAAGATTCACGCTGATCTCAGCCTGACCCCATTTGTTTGTCGCTTTGCAAGAATACGTTCCGGAGTCTTCGATCTTTGTTCCTAGTACTTCGAGAACAACCATTCCGAAAGCATAGACTGTTCTTGTTCTATGACTGGCTTCTAGGGGTTTACCATTGTAGAACCATTCAACAACCATTGTTTGATCACCGGTCGGAGTGAGAGAAGCTTCGAAGTGTGCTATCTCTCCTTCGGATAGGTTGCTCAGATTTTCGAATTGTGAAGTAAATACTGGTGGATGACCTTCATCACTCTCTTGAGCGGCAGCTGCCTCTCGTTTCAGTGATTCTTCCAAATCTTGGATGGCTTCCAAGCCTTCCTTTCCCTTCGGATGTTGTGATCTCTCGATTACGTTCTCCTTCGTCGAGCAGTAGATTGTAGTTGATGTGAATGCCTCACCAGCTTTGTTGAACGCCTTACAGGTGTAGATTCCAGAATCCCGATCATAGGCATCAGTGAGATCGAGGGTGACGAATCCAAAGTCACTTGTCATTTTGAATCGTGAGCCATGCTCCAGTACCTTGCCATTTAAGTACCATTCGATCTTGAGATTAGGATCATCTTTCGGTTCCACTTGTCCCTCGAGATGAAGAGGTTCGGACTCGCCGAGTTTGAATTCCGGTTGAAGTGGAACAATCCAAACGGGTTTGGGGTATTGGTGTTCTGGTCCATCGTCCGGTCTTTGGAGTTTAGATGCATAGGCGTCATCAACCTCTTTCACTTTTTCTAGACCGGCTTCACCCTGTGGATGCTGGGTCTGTAGGTAGATACTCTGCTTGCTGGTGCACTTGAGTGTTCCGGTTGTTTGTGCCGTTCCTTTATAGTTGGTAGCCTTCACTGTAATCAGTCCCGAATCCTCTTCGTAAGCATGATTGAGATCCAAAGCAACGTATCCGAAATCGTAGGTTGACTTGTATCTTGCGCCGGTTGGTAGAGGTTTGCCATTCAGGAACCATTCGATTTTCATCGTGGGATCCTTGGACGGTTCGACGTTGCACTCAAAGTGGACATTTTCGCCCTCGATGCATTCAACATTGTTCAGATGAGAAATGAAGACCGGTTCTTCATAAGTAGGTTCGACTTCTTCTTTGGTTGTTACTTGGGGTTGTTCTAGGGCGTCAATTTTCGGAAGAGCGTCCGGATGTAATGTGTCTCCCATCAGCCAGTGTTTGTCGCCGATCTTCAGACTGCAGGTGGAAACAGCTTCTCCTAGTAGATTCACAGCCTTGCAGGTATAAATTGCCGAGTCGTCTGGTCTCAGACTGTTGATCGACAGGGTAACGAGACCGAAATCGAACGTACTTCGTAATCTCGTTCCTGTTTGGAGGGCGACTCCGTTCTTGAACCACTCGGTTCGGAGATTAGGATCCGCTCTTGGTTCAACCTGAGCCTCGAGGTAGACGTGTTGACCCTCTTGCAGTTTGTCGTAACTCTTGAGATGAGTGGTGAAGACAGGAGCTTGTTGAGGTGTAGTATCAACAAACATTTCGGGAACTTTGTTCATTTCCGCTTCCTTCAATTGAATCTTCTGCCAGGCGTCCGGTTGGATCGACTCACCGGATATTGCTGAACGAGCCTTGACCTTTAGGGAAATTGATGATACAGCCTCACCTGCTTTATTGATAGCCTTGCAGGAGTAAACACCGGAATCTTCGGGAATAACTTTCATAATATTCAAGGTAATGAATCCAAAATCGTGACTAACGTGGAAACGTGAACCCATCTTGAGTTCGACACCATTCACGTACCACTCGAAGCGTAGACTTGCATCACCAACAGGAACAACCCGACACTCGTAGTGGGCGATTTGACCCTCCCACAATTCGGTTGGTCCAGTCAACAATTGGGTGAAAATCGGTTTATCGAAGGTTCTCTCCTGCTCATCAGGACGAGTTGGTCCCTTGTCGGCTTCCAATTGAGCGATCTTCTGCTGAGCCTCCGGATGATGACTCTCCAATTGTATATTCGATTTGGTTTGAATTCTCATTGAAGCAGTTGTTACAGCTTCGCCTAGCGCATTCGAAGCACGACACATGTAAACTCCTTCATCGTTATCGCGAACGTGCGAAATGTCCAGAGATACGAATCCAAAGTCATGAACCTTGGAAATTCTAGAGCTGGTCTCAAGGGGAGTTTCATTTCTGAACCACTCGACCTTGAGTGTTGGATCACCAACTGGAATCAGGCGACATTCAAAGTGTGCTGTTTGACCTTCTGGAATTGCGTCAATATTCTGCAGTGGTTGAGTGAATACTGGGCGTTGTCTGGTTTGTGGTTCAGAGACATCGGGTCTCTTCCAAGGTTGTTGTGATTCCAGTTCGCGAATCTTGTCCAGTCCTTCGGGACGTTGGGAATCAAGAATAATATTTTCACGTGGAATGACCTTGAGCTCGATTGATGAAACGCATTGCCCAAGATTATTGATAGCTCGCACTGAATATTGTCCCGCGTCTTCTGGAACAGCGTGACCAATGTCAAGAGCCACGTAACCAAAATCGAACGTTACGTGGAAGCGCGATGCTGATGGAAGAGGTTTTCCATTGTGGAAGAATTCAATTCTCAAGTTCGCGTCATGAAGTGGTTCCACTTGACATTCAAAGTGAGCCGTTTGCCCTTCGTAAATTTCAGTTGTGCCCTAAAAATCAAACGATCGTTAAATTATCATCAGAAAATCTAGTTCATTCTAAGCAAAATCAAAAATTCGAGGAAGGAAAAATGGAAAATTGAATGATCATTGGATCATTTAAGGGAAAATAAAAATAAACCAAGAAAGGGAACAGAAAAAAAATTCAAGCAGTATTAATACCCTAAGTTGAGTGACAAATCTCGGAGGTGTCACTGGTGGTTCATCAACTTCCAATCGAGCTGGATGACCTTGAGCCTCTAATTCTCGGATCTTCTCGAGACCATCAGGATGTTGTGTATCCAAGAGAATTCCATGTCGAGCTAGAGAGAAAATAAAAATATTCCATCATCATTATCAGCACTGTTTTTCTTTCTCCTAATGATGATGGGAATCAACAAGGGACAAAGTGAATTAAAGACTGGATGTTTGGTACCATTATTGAAGAAGAGAAATTTTTTTTTGATCCAAGAAAAGAAAATTAAAGGTGATGGCGTACATTGATTGATAAAAAAGTGATTGATTGAGAATTGAAAATCCTCTTTATTCGACAACTGTCGATCCAGATCCACTATTTAAATTTTTTTCACATTTATGCTGATTGACAAGGCATTTCAGTATGTAAGATCATTATTGTTTCTCTTGCGTGATATTTAACAATAATTTCCGCGAAATGATCCTCACGTTTCGCAATATAGGGACATTCTCTTTCGGCACTTGGGACACGCTGACAGTTGCACCAGTCTGTCATAATAAGTTTTTACGTTTTTTCATGAATCAGTTGGAATCAGTGAGTTAAATGATCAATGAATCCATTAATCAATAAATCGATCGGAATCAGTTGATTCATTTATCAATTTTTTAATCGAAATCAGTGGATTCCTTGATCAATGAATCAACTGATAATCAAATTAAAATGAAAAAAGGGGAATGATTTTGAAAAATTTAATATAGTAGGAGGTCTACTTACATCCTACTTTAATAGTGCAAGTATTAACAGCTTCGCCTGCAAGATTTGTAGCCTTGCACATGTATGTTCCAGAATCTTCAGAATAGGCATAGAGAATATCCAGAGCTACGTAACCAAAATCATGAGTTGAACGGAAACGATGTCCTGTTTTTACTGCCACACCATTCACGAACCTGGAAATTTTGTTTATGTGTGATGAGATCCTCTGAGTAGATCAGATGATTTGATGAGATCGTAAGATCTGACGAGATCATCTGATCAGATCAAATGATTTGATGAGATCAGAAGACCTGATGAGATTCTCTGATCAGATCAAACGATTTGATGATATGACAAGATCTGATGAGATCCTCTGATCAGATCATACGACTCAATGAGATTATAAGATTTGATGAGACAATCTAACTGAATCCGAAAATTCGGTGATCAAAAATCAAGAATAAGTACCATTCGATCTTCAAGTTCGCGTCGTTGATTGGCTCAACTCGACATTCCAGATGAGCATGTTCACCTTCCCTGAGATCAAGATTATTTAACGGAGTCAGGAAGACTGGCTTCTGATGAACCACTTCCTTCTCGACTTCCTGTTTCACTTCAACAGTTTCCAATTCTCGGATCTTTTGGAGTCGTTGAGCGTCCAATGTGTCAAGGCACAGACCTTGTTTGGCTGTTGAAAAATGAAGATTTAATTTTTTACCAACAATTTTGAGTTGACAATAATCATTATTCATAATTATCAATTGATTTACTGGTGATTTATAATTGAACTTACAATCAACAGAGATGACACAAGTTGTGACAGCTTCACCTGCAGCGTTCCTAGCCTTGCACATGTAGGTACCAGAATCTTCTGGATAAGCATAGAGAATATCAAGAGCAACAAAACCAAAATCGTAAGTGGTTTTGAATTTATGACCCTGAGGAATTGGTCTACCATCTCTGAACCATTCAACAATCATTGTGGGATCATTGACTGGAGTCAAAGTTGCCTCCAAATGGGCGCTCTTTCCTTCTGGAAGATGTTCAATGTTCTTCAAAGGTCTTCCAAATTTGGGCTTCTCAGCGATAACCACATCTTCCTGATCAGCCTTCTTGTAACGGGAATCATCTTCCAAGTACTGGATCTTCTTCAAAGCTCCCTCGTGTTGAGTTTCACGGATGATGGAAGCTTTAGCTAATCATTCCAAACAGATCGTAAAATTTTAGCAAATTTTCCAATAACAAAAAAAACCAGAACCTTTCATTTTGTGAAAAATTTTTTCTAAATGTGATGAAAAATTTTGTGATAAGATCAAGATTGGATGGATTGGATACTTACACTTAACGTCAAGTTCAATTGAACTGGAAGCAGTGCCCAATTTGTTGGTTGCTTTACAAGTGTAAGTGCCAGAATCTTCAGCATACACTGAGAGAACATCCAAAGCAGCGAAACCAAAATCACACGCTGTTCGATATCTGTGTCCAGTGGAGAGGGGTTTTCCGTTATGGAACCACTCGACCTTCATGTTTGAATCAGGATAAGGTTCAATGCGACACTCGTAGTGTGCACTTTGACCCTCAACTAGATTCTTAGGTCCGTTCAATTGAACAGTGAAGGTTGGTTTTTCCTTAACTACCACTTCCTCCTCTTCACGACGCTGATATTTGCTGGTGTCCTCCAAAGCTTGAAGTTTCGATAAGCTTCCTTCGTGCTGGGACTCAAATTGCAGAGCTGCTTTTGCTGTAGACAGATAAAATTTTCCATCAGTGATCAATCAGATCAAAAAAGTGTTATACTTGTTACCAAATGGATCATGGTTATCAGAACAAAAATCAAATTCGAAAACAATGACTTACATTGGACAAACATTGTTGCTGATGTAACAGCTTCTCCAAGATCATTGACAGCTCGACAAATGTAAGTACCAGCATCTTCAGGTGTTACATACTTCATGTTCAGAGCAACATATCCAAAGTCGTGCATTGTTGTTATTCGGTTTGCTGTGAGAAAGAAAATCAGACCGAAGATCAAAATTTGAACGAAATGATTAATGATCATCAATGAACAAACTTTTGGATTCAAACTTACAAGCTAGGATGGGAACTCCGTTACGCAACCATTCGACTTTGAGTTTAGAGTCACCGACAGGAATCACACGAGCCTCGAAGTGAGCCGCTTGATTTTCAGCAACTCGAAGATCCTTAATTGGCATGGTAAAGATTGGTGCTTGCGAGATAATTTCCTCCTGCACTGCTTTTCGCTGGTACCGGGAAGTGTCTTCCAAGTGACGCAGTCGCTGAAGCGCGTTTTCGTTTTGCGTCTCCATGTAGATCGATTTTTTAGCTAGAAAGAGTAAATTAAGTTTTGATGATCGGAAGATTATTTTATACTGATCGTACTGATCAAGGAATAATTTTGTACTGATCATACTAATCAAGTGATCATTTTATACTGATCAGACTAATCAAGTTATCATTTCGGAAGGATCATCCTAATCTAATGATCATTCCAAATGGATCATACTGATCGAATAATTATTTCAGACGGAGCGTACTGATCAAAAGATTTTATCAAAGAAAAAAGGAATTAAATACTGATCGTATTGAGCAAAAGATTTGATCAAAGAAAAATATAATCAAATACTGATCAGATGATCAACGATCCAAAAATGAACCAAAAGTATTCCTGATCAAACTTACAGTGCACATTTGCGGTCGCTGACGTCATAGCCTCGCCAATCGCATTCCTGGCTCGGCAAGTGTAAGTTCCAGCATCTTCCGGATAAGCGTACATAATATCCAGAGCAACGAATCCAAAACTATTGGTCTCAATGAATCGGGAACCAGCCTTAACTGGCGTGTTGTTGTGCAACCATTCCACTTTCATGGTGGCATCAGAGACTGGAATCAATCGACACTCGAAGTGTGCTCGTTGTCCCTCCTTGATCTCAACGTCATTCAGCGATGTCGTGAAGATCGGAGCTTGAGTCGTTGTTTCCTCAACATCTTCCCGACGTTGGTACTTTGATCGATCCTCCAAATAGTGAATCTGCTCGAGTCCCATTTCATTTTGTGTGTTGGTCAAAATTTGAGCTGTTGATCTGCAACTCAGCACGCAATTAACTTCATCACTTCCAACAAGATTCACAGCTCGACACGTGTAGGTTCCACTGTCCTCTGCGATCAGATCAATCACGTCCAGAGCCACGTAGCCAAAGTCATGAATGGGACGGAAACGGTGTCCTGAAAGGAAAAGAAAATTGAGCAAAAAATTGATGATGATGATCAAACTTATGATCAAACTTTTGATAATCAAACTTATCAAACTTATGATCAAACTTTGATGATTCAGTTTCCAGAAAGGAAATATTGGTACCCACCTATTGTAACTGGACGTCCATTTTTGAACCACTCTACTTTAAGATTAGAATCGGTGACTGGTTCCAATTTACATTCAAAATGAGCATGTTGTCCCTCGCGGAGATTTTCTTGATTCTTTGGCTTGGTGATGAATTTGGGTTTGACATTGACGACCTCGTCGACGAGTTCATTTCTCTTGTATCTGGACGCATCCTCCAAATACTGAATTCTCTCTAGTCCTTCCGGATGCTGTGACTCGAGGAGAAGATCTTTCTTGGCATGAACACGAACCGAGCATGAGGTGACAGTTTCGCCAAGTTGATTGCTCGCCTGACAAGTGTAGACACCAGAATCTTCTGGATAAACACCAAGAATATCGAGAGCAACATAGTCAAACTCATAGGACGGTCTAAAGCGATGACCAGTCATGACTGGTCGTCCATTGACGAACCAATCGACTCTCATTGTTGCATCGCCAACTGGTTGCAATCGACATTCAAGATGAACATTTGTCAGTTCAACAGTCTCGATATTGTGCAATGCTCTCGTGAATTGTGGCGGTTGCATTACAGTCACATCCTCGTGCTGTTGTCTTCTGTATTTCGATGAATCCTCCAGCATTTGTATTTGCTCCAGTGAATGTTCATTTTGTGAATCGGTGAGAATGTCGGATTTACCAATAACACGTACGCAGGCTGATGTATGAGCGGTGCCGAGATGATTGGTTGCACGTACTGTGTATTCACCTGAATCGAGAACACTCGCGTGAATAATGTCGAGAGCAACGAAACCGAAATCGTAATAGGTTCTGAATCGTGAACCAACAGTCACTGGTCTTCCATTTTGGAACCATTCGACTCGCATTGTTGGATCACCCATTGGTTCCAAACGACATTCAAGATGGATGTTCTTTCCCTCACTCACTGGCTTTGGATCATTCAGTGGTTGGACGAAAATTGGTTTTGATTTTGATATCTCCTCGATGTGATAGTGCGGTTCAACGAATTTTGAATCCTCGAACTTCTGGGTCTTCTCGTAGGCTCCGTGATGCATGCTGCTGGTGTCGATATTCGAACGGGCTGTAAAATGAATCAGGTGATCAATGAGGTGATGATCATATCATCACTATTTATTTATTCAAAAATAAGTTCCTAGCGTAATGAGCCCATTATGGAACAAAATACAAATGATGAACAAATAGTAATCGAATGATCATGTGGTGAACAAAAAATCATTAAATGAACAAATATTTATCAAAATTATCAAATGAACAGATAATCATCGAATAAACAATTGGTTATCAAAATGTTCAAGTGGTGAACAAATAATCATCAAATGAACAAATGACGATGATTCTTTGTTGATTTTTTAATCATCAAAACAATCGAACGATCATCGATGCTCAAATAATCAGTTCGCCATTAATTACGGAACAGTTTAGAAACGATACTCACTTTCGACCACCATTGTAGCTGACAATTGAGCTTCACCCAGAGAGTTTCTCGCGACAACTGTATAAGTTCCAGCGTCCTCGGAACGCACCTGAAGAATGTCAATGGCAACGTAGCCGAAATCATGATATGTTTGAATTCTATTGGCAGCGGTGATTGGCTTGCCATTGTGGTACCACTCGATTTTCATTGATAGATCACTTTGTGGCTCGACGCGAGCCTCGAAATGGGCTCTTTGGCCTTCGACAATTTTATTTGTTCCTTTTAGTGGTCCCAGGAAACGGGGAGCTTGAGATATTTGTGTCTCCTCCTGTACACGACGTGTATAACGACTAGAATCCTCGAGACTTTGAATCTTTTGTAATCCCATTGGATGTTGACTGTCATAGATGATGTCATTTTTACTGATCACACTCAGTTGGGCTGTTGTGTGCGCTTCGCCAACCCTGTTGTAGGCACGGCACGTGTACACTCCGACATCGTAAATCGTCACCGACTTTATTGTCAAAGCAACGTATCCAAAGTTGAAGAAACTTGTGATTCTTGAGCCTGGAAAAAAATTGTTGATCATTATGATGATCTGAATAAATGTTTTGAAAACTTGGGTTTCCAACTTGAAATGATTCTTAGAAATTATTTTTATCGAACTGGAAAGGATTGCCAAGGGATCTTTCATCAATTCTTCAGAGATCTTTGATCAATTTTAATAATCTCCAGAATTGGTCAAAGGAAAAACTTTGAAGGAAGAAAAAAAATTTTTGGAGGGAAATTAATTTTGGAACTTGATCAACATACTAGCTTCAACTGGACGTCCATCCTTGAGCCACTCGACTCGCAGGTCGGAGTCACCAACTGGCTCGAGTCTTGCTTCGAAGTGAGCAAAACCTCCTTCGCGAATATTATTTTGATCCTTGATAGGAGTCTTAAATACCGGTGGGCTCGTTGGTTCCGGTTGATGTTGAACATATTTCTGTTGCATGGCGTGTTGATAAGCCTCCAACTCCTCGGCAGCTTCGATATATTTCTGCTGTTCGGGAATTCCCAAATCAGTCGTCACGCTCGTACGTGCTGTAAATTGAATAATCCAATCAGAAAATTGATCAAGAATCAAAAAACAAAAAATTAATTAATCAATTCTCACCAAAGACACGAAGATTCGCAGAGCTGATGGCCTCTCCCAAGCGATTAACAGCTCGAACTGTGTAAGAACCAGCATCTTCAGCTCGTAGGTGCAAAATATTCAGTGAGACGTAACCGAAATTGAAGATGGTTGTGATTCTAGAACCTGATGAAAAATAATTGTGATTATGATTAGATCCGAAAATTATTATTTTTTTTTTGAAGAGGAAAAATACGATCAAGACTTACTAGCTGTAATGGGTCTTCCATCCTTGTACCACTCCACTTTCATCGTTGGATCACTTACAGGAGTTAGCTGCGCTTCGAAATGAGCATTGCGTCCCTCCTGAAGTTCACCGAGATCCTGGAGTGGACGGATGAAGACTGGTCGCTGTGAAGAGGACTCATCAACGCTCTCCTGTCTTTGGTACTTGCTGTAATCCTCAAGTTGTTGAATATAACGAAGACTGTCGGGATGTTGACTTGTCTGTTCAATTGCGGCGCGGGCTGATGAAAAAAAGGAATTTCTTTCATTTTTCCTCCAAGAAGAAGATTAAAAATCCATCATTGAAGAGTAATCTCTGCTGAATCATTAATCAAGGAGAAGATTCTTCAATGTTCGCCTTGATTAATGATTATTGATTCAGCAGAGATTTTTCAATCTTTGTTTTGATTAATGATTCAACAGAGATTCTTTAATCTTCGCTTTGATTAATAATTCAGCAGAGATTCTTCAATCTTTGCTTTGATTATTGATTCAACAGAGATTCTTCAATCTTTGCTTTGATTATTGATTCAGCAGAGATTCTTCAGTGATCATCAATCAAATTCTTGATTGTGAATTTAATTTTGATTCTGATACTAACGTGTTACGCCGAGGGTGGCACGAGATTCAGCGACTCCAGTGGAGCTGACAACACGACAAAGGTACTCGCCGCTGTCCTGCTGTCCAACGGAAATTAGGTCCATGGCGATGAATCCGAATTGGAAAATGAAAGTCGCTCGTGAGCCTGAAATCAGAACAGTTCGTTTTGTTTCCATTTGGAAAAAAAAGAGACGAAGGATCAGAAAAATTCTGAATCTTCTTCATCAGAAGAGTTCTGAACTTTCATCATCAAAAAAGTTCTGAATCTTTATCAGAAGAATTCTGAACTCTCATCATCAGAAGAGTTCTGAACCTTCATGATGAATTCCGAATCTTCTGAAGACAAATTTCTGAAGAAGAGTTTTGGATCATCTTCTAGATCAAGAAAAAAATGATGAATAGATTTTTTTGCTGGTAAAGTATCAAGTCAACTGGATTGATCAACTCACTTGCGACTAAAGCTCTGCCATTGACGTACCACTCCACCCTCATGGTTGGATCGCCCACCGGTTCGATTCTGGCCTCGAAGTGAATTCGTCCTCCTTCGATTTGATGAAGATCCCTCAATGGTATGATGAATCTGGGAGGTGGGTAAATTCTATCTTCTTCCGATGGGGGTAAATATGGTTTGGCGCGTTCGACATGTTTCAGGTAAATCACTTCGGGGCCAGGTGCAGGTCTAGAGAAGAAGAATGATTATCAAATCATTCATTGATTCATTCAAACATTCATTCATCATCAAATTTCTTATTAAATTATTAAACTATTAAATCACTATCATCAATGGATGATAATGATGATGCTCCTGATGATTATGTGTCTTAAGAAAAGAAGAGAATTTTTTCTTACTCAGGTTCGATGACTTTCGTCGGTCGAGGTAAATTCAGGCGTCTTGGTTCAGGGATCGATCCTTTAGGTGTTTCGACGAAAAGTCTGGCTCGGGTGGCGGTGGAGCCAGCCACGTTCTGTGCCGTGCACTGGTACCATGCCGCATCAGAGAACTTTGCTCGAGGGATGTCTAGAGTCGAGGCTCCACTGCCGTCCGTCGATATGCGCACGTCGGGGCCGGGCGCTATCGGTACGCCGTCCTGAAAAAATCATTGATTATCAGCATGTTAACAATGATCTCTTGAATCAATCACCTCTTAATCAATGTTCTCTTGATCAACAATCTCTAGATAAATTGACTTTTGTCCAATATTCTCTTGATCAATGGCCTTTTAATCAAGTCTTGTCCTTTGGTCAATAGACTCTTGATCAACAGTTTTTTGATCAGCAGTCTCTTGATCAACAGTCTGCAGATCTAGATTTAGATGATGATCAAGGTGATTTCTCGATCAACAGTCCCTTGATCAATCGTCTCTTGATCAACAATCTCTAGATCAATCGTCCCTTGATCAATAGTCTCTTGATCAACGGTCTCTTGATCAACAGTCTTTAGTTCTAGATTTAGACGATAATCAAGATGATTTAGATCGAGAGAAATAAATTGAATCAAGAGCAATAAATAAAATCAACCACTAATACCTTCTGCCATGAGATTCGTGGTGTTGGTGTACCAACTGCTCTAGCCGTGAAGACAACTGGTTCTCCTTCCTTAACATTAGTGGTCGTGAATCGTTCAACAAATTTAGGCGCAACCACTTGTTCCTTTTCAATCACATTCAAATTACACTGGAACGATGTTTCGCCGGCTTTATTTTTCGCAACGCAAGTGACAATACCGGAATCAGATCTACTGACATTTGTGATCATCAGAGCATTATTACCCGATTCATTCACCAATATTTTGTGTGTCGCATCATTTGCAACTGGATAGCCATTAATGTACCACGTGACATCTGGATATGGACGACCAGTAACTCGTGATTCAAATCTCGTCATTTTACCCTCAGTCACATCACGATCGGCACATGTTCGAATGAAATTTGGTGCAAGAACCTTTCCCGATTCACTCGATTCTTGAGTGAAACTTTCAACTTGCGATGTCTGTCGGAGAACGTCACGCGATTGTTGACTTGGAACATGGTCAACTTGATCACTTGATTCAATGGCAAGATATGCTGAACTCATTATACAGCCGTTGGGATTTTCCGCTAATAGTGAATAATGTCCAGTGTCATCGGTGCGTGCTGATCGAATCCTCAATGTTGCTGTTTGATTTGAATAATTTGTCTCAAGTCGCTGTGAATCGCGGATCCTTTGGCCATTTTTGAACCAGGTCAACTGTGGAAGAAGAAAAATACGTTAATCACAAATTTTATTGGTACCATTTTAATGCTACCATTCTTGTGGTGACAATTTGTTGGTAACAGTTTATTGGTACCATTTTATTGGTACCATTCTTTGTTGTCATTCTTTGTTGCCAAAATGATACCAATAAATTGGTACCACTTTATTGTTTTATACTACTTTATGGTCACCATTATTTTGGAACTAGTTTATTTGAACCATTTTATGGGAACCATTTTTTGTTTCCAAAGTGGTACTAAGAAATTGGTACAAGTTTTTGTTAATAATTTATTTCTTTATACTATTTTATTGGTACCAGATTATTATTACCATTTTTTATTGTCAAAGCAGTAGCAATAAATTGATACCAGTTTATTGTTACTATTTTATTGTCTTAAATTATTTTATTGGTACCATTTTTCAGTGCCAAAATAGTATCAATAAATTGGTACTAGTTTATTCTTCTATTTTATTATTTTATACTATTTTATTGCTACCAGATTATTGTTAACATTTTTTATTGCCAAAGTGATACCAATAATTTGGTACCAGTTTTTTTTACTATTTTATTGGTACCAGATTATCGTTACCATTTTATTGTTACCATTTTTTATTGCCAAAGTGGTACCATTCAGTTGGTACCAGTTTTTTTTTTGCTATTTTATAGGTTTTTTAGTACTATTTTTTTATTTATTTTATTAGTACCAGTTTATTTATTGAAGCAATGTATTGTTACAAATTGGTACTAGTTTATTGGTAATATTTTATTGATGCCATTTTATTGGTACCAGTTTATTGATACTATTTAATTAGTGACATTTTATGGTAATAGTTAATTGATACTATTTTATTGGTGCCATTTTATTGGTGCCACTTTATTGGTACCAGTTTATTTTTACTATTTTATTGGTGAAATTTTGTTAGTACCAGTATATTGATACTATTTCATTGGTTCCATTTTATTGGTACCAGCATATTGATACTATTTTATTGGTGCCATTTTATTGGTACCAGTTTAAGTGGTCCCCTTTCTGTGACACAATTTTTGGGACCATATTTCTGTTACTACTTACTCTAGGTTTTGGATTGCCGGATATTTTAGCAGTGAATGAAGCATCAGATCCTTCAACAAGTTTCGAATTTCTTGGCTTTTGTGTAAATTGTGGATTTGATTCGGGACCTAAATTACGTTCAACGATCTGAGACATTTGAACATCTGATTCTCCCACATGGCGTCGAGTAATTGATTCTCTAAATTCCTTTTCTCTCATCACTCTATATTCGAAAGTGTCAACCTATAATAAAAAAAAAAAATAATAATTCTTGAATTCAAATAGCAATCGGGAAACAAAATCTGTTCGTGTAATTTTTACCAATATTTGGTCAATGGTTAAAATTAAATTACTGACCTTGAAGTCTTCAATAGACATATTATTTGTTCCATTTGTATAATTTTGACTATCAACATATTGTTGATAACTGCGTTGTTGAAAGCTTTGGCTTCCGGATTTTTGTTCAGTCGATTGAAAGGAATGTGAATATTCCTTTTTGAAACCACCCACTTGCTGTTGGGGTGGTGGTCCAAAACCTTCGGGTTGTATGTGAACGGAACAAATGGCTTCGCCTAAAATTATAAATTGATAGTAAAATATTTTCCAAACATAAATCTATTATTGAAAATTATTATCCAAACATATATCTTTTATTGAAAATTATTTTCGAAACGTATTTTTGTGATTTGAAATGAAAAATATTTTCCGGAATATTTTGGAATAAAAATAAAATTGTAAAATAATTTACAATAAAGAATTTTAAGAAGAAAGTAGTGAGAAATTTACCATATTGATTTTTCGCATTACACGTGTATTCTCCCTCATCTCCTGGTCCAATTTGATTAATTTGAAGTTTAACAATTCCAGTCTTGCTATCGTAGGTCATCCGAATTTTTTGTGATTCCAAAAGAGGTACGCCCTTATGGGTCCAGGAGACGGAGGGTTTCGGATTACCACTAACTCGTCCTTCGAATACGGCATTACCACCTTGTGCGAACCTGGCATTCTTAAAGATTTGCTGAAAAACTGGTGGCGATGGATCACCTGGTCTGCCCGTAAATCTGAAAATAGTTAATTAATAATTTTCGCACTCGAAAATAAAAAATGCAAATATTAATAAAATAATTACACACAAATATAAATTTCTCTATGAAATAAATTTTTTGTGTAATTATTTTTTATTACTAAAAATAGTAGAATTAAAAAGAAATAGGTAATTAACGCTCAAAGCCAGAAAAATATTTTTTTTATTGCAAAATTAAAAATATTTTTTGATAAAGAAAAATAAAAAAAAATAATAAAATAATTACACAAATAATATAGTTTTTGTGTAATTATTTTACTACTAAAAGTAGTAGAATTAAAAAGAAATTATTAATTAATGCGCAAATCTAGAGAAATATTTTTGATATTGAAAAATTAAAAATATTTTTCGATAAATAAAAATAAATAAAAATAAAAAAAAATTAATAAAATAATTAATCAATTGTTAATTAATTTAATATCAGTAATTAAAATAAATCAATTGCTAATATTTACTAAATCACTATTATATATTGTATTTATTATTTATAATTTTTTATTTACGAATATTATTTTATTATTGTTTAATAATTATTGTTTTTTTATTTTTCGAATTAAAACCGGTTAATTAAACATAAGTACCTTCATTAAAATAAAATAAATAAAATAATTTAAAAATTAAATATAAAGTAGGTAAAATTAAAAATAAAGTAAAAATTAAATAATTTAAATAATAAATAATAAATAAAAAATAATAAATAAATAAATAAATAATTAAATAATTAAATAATTATTAAATAATAATATAATAATAATAATAATATAATATAATAATAATAATAATAATAATAATAATATAATATAATAATATAATAATATAATATAATATAATATAATAATAATATTATTATAATTAATAAATAATTTTTTTTTTAAATAAAATTGTTAGTTTGAAATAGTTTTATGGTTTATAATTCCACAAACGGTTTGTTTACATTTTGTATAGAAACAATAGGCGGTGAACTTGAATTCTATTTTGAAGGACAGTAATAAATTGAAAGGAAAATTTTAATTGTATTCAAAATTTCTACTGAGCCTTATTGGGGGTTTTATTACCTGCTTTGAAAGAGTCCCAAAGAAAATTACATTCACAGATCAGTTAGTATTCGAGTTTTGACGCGTAGAAATGTACGAAAATTTCACTAATTTGTAATTTTTAATCGTGATTTTTTTTTATGCTAAAAAAAAGTATTTTTTAATTTGTAATTTACGGGAGTGTTTAAAATTTTTGTTTCAGTGAAATTTGTGACTGCGGTTGTCTACACTACTACAGATGTATCAAGACCGGATTGGACAGCGTTTAACAACACAATTTAAGGTACAAAATAATTATAAAAAATATTTTTAAATAATATAATTATAAATATATATTTTGTTCCTTTTTGAATAATTAAAAGTCGAGTTTAAATTTTTGTTTGAAGTTTATTTAAAATTTATTTCAACTATATTTTAAAAGTTTTGTTTGTTCCTTTTCAAATAATTAAAAATCGAGTTCAAAATTTTATTTTTTATTTAAAATTTATTTCAATTTTATTTAAAAAAATTATTCCAACTTTTTTTTAAAGATTTAATTAAATTAAATTTGATTTTAAAATTTCATAATTTAATATTTTTCTTGAAAGTAATTTATATATAAAATTAAATAGGTATACGAAAATAAGTTTTGACCTTGTGATTACAATGTCTATAAGATTACAAAGGTCTATTATTCCGATGTAAACATCCCGAGTATAATGAAATCATTATCCTCAGGTATCTAACACAAGAGTTTGACAACCCCAATTTAAATCAAGAATAGAAATTCCAAATTAAAAAAAAATATAATGATTTAATAATTTTGTATAGGATCAATAAATTATTGTTTATTAATAATTATTATTAAATTATTACAATAATTAATAAATACTATTAACCGATGAATATTTACTTAATTTTTTTATTATCAGACAAAATTAAATTAATTTCAATTTAATTAAAATTGAAAATATTTATTTATATAAATCAGAAAAATTATTTATTATTAATAAATTGAGTATCGTTAGTCATGAATTTAAAAAAATATTAATAAGACTTGAAACTTACGCTGGTATCGTGGGCGAAGTTTGCATCATTACCTCCCCTTGTACTGTAAATAAAATTTAACAAAATTATTTTTAGAAAAAGAATTAATAGAATTTAATAATAGAAATACATAGTATAATTATAGATAAAATTTAATAATTATTCAAATTATTAAATAATTATTTACATCACTATTAAAAAAATTAAATAATTATTGAGTCTTTTCATCAATCAATTAGTTTATCATCAATAAACAAAAATCATCAGAATAAATTAATTGTTGATCTTTGGAGTAAATTAATTTTTGATCATCGAAATAAATTTAAATATTGTTTATAAAAATTAATAAATTACTAAATGGAGTAGAAAAAATATTCTTCATTTTTTAGTGAAGAAGTAGCTGATAATTACGTTCTCCACTTAAGTGATATACGATAATTTTTCTAAGTGAATCATTTTGATTCTCTAGTGGCTTCTAATGACTCATACACCAAAATTCATGAATCACATTGGGAGTCAAAAAGAGTCAACTAGTAGTTAATAGAATACAGTGAATCACAACAGTGGATATTTTTAGATTATAAACTATTTTTAATCTGTAATGAAGAAATCGTTGATCATCAATAAGAAATTGATGATAACCGATATGAAACAACTTATGTTTATCAATATAAAAAAATTGATGATATTCAATGAGAAGAAAAAATTGATGGTATAATAAATGTGGAATAATTAATGATCATCAATATACAGAAATTGAAAATCATCAATGAGAAGAAATTGATGATAGCACATTGAAAAATTGGTCTCGCTGATCACAATTTGTCCCCTTATTTACCTACTTCCGTTTCTTCCAATTTTCCCTTTTTTATTCCCTAAATTTAATAAAATCCCTTAAATCACTTAAAATCAAGTATATTCTCTCCTTTTTTCATTTTTTTTGAAGAAATTATTTAGAAGAAAACGTACAACAAATTTTAGTACTTATAATGTAAACAAAATTTGTTATTAAATATTTGCAGAATAAATTTTACTACTTCCAAAGTAATAAATTTTTCCAGTTTTTATAAAGAAATTTTATTTGGAAATAGTAAAAGTTATTCTGGAAATAATTTTTTATAGTATAAATTTTATTATTTTTAGATAAAATTTTACTATTTCCGAAATTAATTTTGCCCATTTTTATTGCTATTTAATTCGGAAATAGTAAAAAATTGATGAAATTTTAAAACAAAAGTAATTTAATAAAATTATTAAATACAAATTATTATTTGTTTCAATAATTTTTTCCGATTTTTTCTAATATTAATTATTTTCTTTTCTTTTTGTTTCAGGTGAGTTTAAACAAAACTTTTTCTGTCGAGATTATTTCGTAAGTAAATATATATATTGAAATGCATATAATTATAAATTATAAGTAAAATATTATCAATGGAATAATTTAAAAATTCTGATTCGTTTATTTAACGAATAATATCAGCTCCGCAGTATTTTTATTGAATTAATAATTCAAATTAATTAATTAATTAAAATCATTAGTAGACAATTACTAATAATTAGTAAATAAAAATAAGTACAAAAAATAGTCATATTTCACTAATTGAATTCTTTACAAAAATTTTTAGTTATTTTTGCATATCCTAAATGTGCGTTTAACTAATAAATAATTAATTATTATTAACCATTTCATTAGTAAAACTAAAATATTATAATTTGGATCAGAATGACTTTTTCCAATGAAATGAATTATTTTTAACTAAATTCAAATCAGAGTGAGTTTCCTTTTTAAAAATTAAAATTCCCTTCTTATCTAATAATACTTGAAAAAAATTACTCCTGTTATCCCTGTAGGTCTTTCTTTTTCTAATTTATAAGTTTATTAAATAAAATTTATTTAATAAAATAAATTTTAAATTCTAATTGTCGCATTTTGAAGGTCAATTTAAATGGTTCAGAAAAAAATTGATGATCATCAATATGAAAAAATTGCTCATAATTAAATTGAAGTTTTAAATGAAAAAGAGAATAAATTATAAAAACAAAGAAATTGACGATCATCAATATGAAAAAATTGATCATAATTAAACTGAAGAGTTAAATAAAAAAGGGAATAAATCATAAAAATACAGAAATTGATGATCATCAATACAAAGAAATTGATTACAACTAAATTTAGAAAATTGACAATCGTCCAGCGAAAGATCAAAATAAACAAAGTACTGATCATTTGAAAGACAAAAATATATACCTAATCTCTAAACAAAAACGGAAATTGATAATCATCCAATGATCGACTGATCATAAAATTATTTAATTACTTTCAACAAATTCCATCATATTTGTAAATTAATTTTCAAATCTACCTAGAAAAATAGACAATTAATTTTCTTTTTCATTTTTAAAACTAATAATAATAGAAAATAAATTTTAATTTTTGAGTGATATTTGGTAATTATTATTATAAACCAGAAACATATTTCTCGCTCGGTTATAATTAACATAAATTATAATTGAAATTCATGAAAAATTTCAAAAAGAGGGAAACAATAAATTAAAAAATGTTTATTTACAATTTATTCGATTTTCCAATAAATTTTCCAAATTATCTAAATTTAAAATGGTGTTTATTTATAAATTCAATCGATTAAAAATAGGGACCGTGAAAATTGCAGTTAAAATAATAGGGATGTTAAAACATGTGTGTGTGTGTGTGTGTGTGTTTGAGTGAGTGATTCGTGTTGGCTCTCTTGGGTGTTATTGTTAATGAATTCCGACGCAAACACACTTGTCCTAATTTCAGTAGTGTTTGGAGGGCTTTAAATGTGGCAAATTTTTTTTCCTGTTTAACGCATTGAATAATTGGTCTTCTCCTCTTTCTCTCTAATCGTCACATTGTGAAGGTCGAGCAAATGATCCAGAATTTCGTGGGCGAGAGAGTAAATGTAACATATTTCTTCGATGATCCTCGATAGAGGATATATACAACGGGGAGAGTTTGGACGAGGTGTGGTGGGAGGGGGGCCGAAAGAGCCTATTTTTGTGCGAGATGAGATCGCGTTACCGGGACCCATTTTAGGAGCAACTATCTTTACTCGACGCTCAGCGTCTCGACGTCGACTCGGTACGATTTTCTCTCTCTCTCTCTCTCTCTCTCTCTCTCTCTCTCTCTCTCTCTCTCTCTCTCTCTCTGTCTTTTGCTCTCTCTATCGATAAACTGTATCTTTCTTTATCTCTCTCTTTTTCTCTCTGTCTCTCTATTCTTTTTCCCTCTCTTTTTCTCTTCGTCTCTTTTATTCTCTCTCCCTCTCTTTTTCTCTCTCTCACTATTTTTCCCTCTGTCTCTCTTTTTTTCTCTCTCTCTTTTTCTCCTTCTCTCTTTTTCTCTCTGTCTCATTCTCTCTCCGTCTCTTACGCTCGAGGTCCACGAATTTTGCTACCGTTGACTTTGCTTGTTACGCAAATTCAGTCACTGACCAAAATAACAGCTACAGAGCGTAGAAAGGCGAACAGTGACTGACTTGTTTGCTGGCCTATTCTTTGATATTGCATTTCCCCCTTTAAAGAGACATTGCATTGCTGTCCAATAGCACTCGTTTAATTGTTTACAGTGTCGACAGGTTGCACCGTCAGCTGTTGAGAAACAGCGACATGTAGCAAAGAACGCATCACACGTCACGTGCATTTAATTGATTATTGAAAATGGCCAATGAAAAAGAAAAAAACGATATTTACATAATCGAAACAATTGGCACAATAATTTTGCAATTTCGAGGAAGTGTTTTTTGATATACGCGACAAAGGAATAAGAGGAAACTTATGATTTTAATATTACAAAAGTACAAAAGAATTAATAACAAGAAAGTTGAAAAATCTATGAAAATAAATAAAAAATAAAGAGGTAAATAAAGAAAATAAAGATGTTAATAAAAAATAAAAGAGAGAAAAATACGAAAATAAAACAGAAAAGAAGGAAAAATTTAGAAAAGAATAAATAAAAAATATCGAAAAGAATAAATGAAGAAGTAAATAAAAGAGAAAGAAAGAAAAATATGGAAAAGAAGAAATCGAAAAGTAATTCAAAAAGAAAGGGTAGGGGTAGAAAAAGTATGAAAAAGAATAAATAAAGAAGTAAATAAAACCGAAAAGAAGGAAAAATATGGAAAAGAAAAAATAATAAAGAAAATATAGAAAAAGTACTAAACAGAATAAATAAAGAAGTAAATAAAACCGAAAAGAAGAAATCGAAAAGTAATTAAAAAAGAAAGGGTAGAAAAAGTACGAAAAAGAATAAATAAAGAGTAAATAAAAAGAATAAATAAAAACTTTAAAATGTAATAAATAAATAAAAAAATAATGGAAAAATAAATAAAATAAAAAGATGCGATTAAACTGATAGATAAAATTATAAATAAAAAATGGGTACAAAAATAAAAGAAAAAAATAGATGGAAATATAATAAAATTGGTTTTCATACTGAGACAGGTGAAGAATTATTATCGAATGTTTTTGACAATGACATAATATGACGGTTGTAAAATTTGATTTTGACAATGAATTTTATTTCGAGGGCCAAGAGAGAATATAAACTTTTTAAAAAACTAAAAATTCGCTTGGCAAAATAATTTTGAGTATAGTTTTTGTTTATTGATTTATTTTCACGTTGTAAATTTTACATCTAACTTTTATTATTTCTGGGAAAATTTGTTTATCCTAACCTCTGTGTAGTTTTTGAACAAATTTAAAAATGATTCAAAATTATTTCGTGATGGAAAGAATAGTTAATGGTTAGATACAAGAAAATCATCAATTTTTGTCTTTATTTCTAATTTGATTTGTTTGGATACGAAACCGCTAGTGAAAAAATTATTTTCGCGCCTCGATTCATCAATTTGGTACAGAAATCATCAGTTTTTGATCAGAAATTCCAGAAGAAAGTTAGAAAAAAATTTAACAAGAAAATCATCAATTTTTGTCCTAATTTCTAATTTGATACGTTTAGATAGGAAACTATTGTGAAAAAATTATTTTTCCCTCGCTTCATCAATTTGGTACAAAAATCATCAA